GCAACATAATTCTAAGTCCTTCGAGGACTACTGACTTGTTAAGCTAAGCCTCTCTCAGCAGGAGAATCCTTGTGATTATAAATAGCTCCATCTTTTAGAACATAGCTGTGCTTTCTTGTGTAGCAGTATCCCAGAGTTTGAAGAACCTTCTTTTTCCTTTCAAACAAGAAGCTAATGTTTCATCCTATTTTAATGATTCAGTTTACAGAATTACCAGTACTGTGCTGTAATGGTGAATTCTTCCTTACTTCTCATGCATTTTTACTTAATCTTTTCTTGTGATTCATAGGAGTGTTTTTGGGCCTAGGCCTGAGTGGAATCATTCCTACTTTGCACTATGTCATCTCGGAGGGATTCCTGAAGGCTGCTACCATAGGACAGATCGGCTGGTTGATGCTGATGGCCAGCCTCTATATCACGGGAGCTGCCCTGTATGCTGCCCGCATCCCTGAGCGCTTCTTTCCTGGCAAGTGTGACATCTGGGTAAGTATTATCAGGAGTAGTTAATGTGGATACATATATGCCTGTTAGAGGGTTACTGGCAGACTGGGAAGTGAAATAATTGAAAAAGTTTTAGACTCAAAATTGAGAGAGCTGTACTCTAGTCCTAACTCTCCTTCATTAGTTCTGTTTCTCTGGACAATCAGCACAATAATAACTAGTATTTATTGAGCGCTTACTAGGTGCCCGGTGCAGTACTGAGTGAACACTTCACACAGATTACCTCATTTAATGCATTGGCCCTAGGAGGTGTAACACCTGTTATTAAGGTTTCATTTTACAGATTAGGAAATGAGGCTTAGAGAGATTAGGTAACTTGTCTAACGTGCCTGGCTGTTAAGTAGTAGGAGTGGAATTTGCATCAAGCTTGGCTGATATCAAGAGTCTGTGCTCCTGTATGCTGCACTGTACAGGCAAGGCATCTAGTCATGCTTTGTCTTGGTTTCCTCGTTTATGAAATTAGGGTAATAGACCAGATTTTTACCAGAGTCCTTTTTGATACCAAAATTCAGTGATTTGTAATGAGAAATTGAGTACTTATGGTTGGACGAGGACGTAGAGATAACTGGATTGTGATTAATGGTAAGAGAAGGGGAAAAGAAAATATAAGGAGACCAGTAGATGAAAATTTGATAACTGAAGATGGCCTGAAACATTTTTAATAGTACACCGTTGGAGGGTGGTTTGAAGTGAAGTGTGACCTTTACAATTCTGTTCCTTAGCCTGTTGCTGATTATTGTAGACTAAGCTGATTATGTAGTCCCTTTAAAGTTTAGTTTAGCTATCTGTAACATGAAGATATTGCAAATTTAGGCAATCTTTTGAGCTTCAGATTGACTAATTTGTCTTTCTGAGATTGCCTCATCATAATTTTGACATTGATGTGGAGAGCTTTTTACCTTTCCCCCCTTTTTGGGAGAATGAATCCCCTTTGGTTTCCTAGGAAACGTCTTTTGGGACATGATTTTCGGATCCTCCTTGTTTACATTTCTAAAACAGTGTCTTTCCCTTGATAAATGCTGTTTTGCCACTGTACTTGTTCATTTTGAAACTATAATGAGAGAAAAGTGTAATTTTTGAAAATGATGTTTGGTGCACTGAGCAATTGATAACCCCTTTTAAGATACGAACTAGCAATCAACAGAACAGATTAAATCAGAAATAATAACACATGCCTGTAGACCAGCTTCTGACTTGAGAAGGAAGTGAAAAAAGCCCTGCTTTCCTAGTCTTTTGATAGAGTATGTTGTTCATGTAATTCCAGAGTCTTAGAGCTGAAGGAAACTCTAGCCCCCATGTTTTAACCTTCCACCCAATCCTGGAAATCCCTTCAGTGTTTCTAACAGAGAGCAACATTTAAATGACCATAGCTTTAGTGCTTTAGTCCACATCAAAAACGACCATCAGCAATGAGGAAAGGCAGCCCTATGTCTAACCATGGCCACTGCTAGGCATCAGGGAATCCGTGGGGCTTTTGTGGTCTGTCGGCAAGAGAGTCTGTGTATGTCATTTGCCCCTGGGTTCACCAGATACTCTAGCACATTTCCAGGTTAAGAACTTACTGGCAGCACCTTGATTTCTTTGGGGGCAGCCAACCTTCCATTCAGCAGAATGTGATATGCCTAATAGATGTTCCCAGATCTGTGGACGCCTCAAATTTGAACTCTGTCACATCCATTCCCTGCCTCTGCTCAGCATAAATGATCTTAAGAATCTTTAGTGTTCTTTTAATAATGTATGGCTTTCTCTACCCCTCTCCCTTTTTCTTTGCCTCCAGTTTCACTCTCATCAGCTGTTTCACATCTTTGTGGTTGCTGGCGCTTTCGTTCACTTCCATGGTGTCTCAAACCTCCAGGAGTTCCGTTTCATGATTGGCGGAGGCTGCAGTGAAGAGGATGCACTGTGATACCTACTCGTAGCCAGGGACTGTGTGACCCTGAACCAGGGCCGGCAGCGCCTGCCGGCCTCCCTTACTGGCCATTGATGTCAGTGCCAGAGGAGCCCCAAAACTTTGACAGCCTCATGGGCTTTGTGACGCCCCAGGGGCTCCACGTGGTACACAACTGAGAAGAGAAAAACAAAAATAAATCATACCTCAAAGGATGGAGTGCATCAATTTGGAGAAAAGGAGAAATGGCCCAAACCCTGACTTATTCTTGGGATCTACCAGTTGAGAACTCTGTAAGACCCTTGGCAAACTGGCTTCTGATCCGTATCATATTTCTTTGTAGAAGATAGGGAAACAGTTTACAGGCAGTTTGTTCTTCTCCCTTTCTCTCTCCTTAAAACAATAATACAAACCAATTTAGGTGAACATTTATATCCTATTAAGAGGTGGGAGTGTGATTTTAGATGCTCTTTTGGGAGAACAAAGAAATTAATGTAAATAAGATTTCTAATTTACTGTTTAAATAAGAATTTATATAAATGTTTAAAATATAGGGGTAGGGGAGGGAGGGAGAATTTTTGTATAGAATGAAACATGCAAGTACCACACACTGTTTCAATTTTGCACAAAGTGACTATAGGAGGATCAGGTGATAGCCCCAGAATGTATAATGCCTTGGTGCACCAAGGTGCCTTCTAAAGGCTGACATTCCTTGGACCCTGGTGGGGCAGAGAGTACAGCCCCCGCCCAGTGATCACATGGCCACTCTCATGCCCGAGAGCCTTTGGGATCCTCAGGTTGAAGGAAGTGGCGTGTGTTTTCCCAGTGGAAGCAGCACCTGAACGGCTACCAGGATATGTTAGATAAAGGCTCTAGGTAAGGGGTCATTTGAGAGACTCACTTGTTTCCTGCTCTGATAGTGAACCTTTCGAAGGAGCAGAGCCACCGACTTGGGAAAGTCAGTTATGTTGCAAAGGGGTGGTGGAGACAGTAGGAGGAGCTCTGGAAATGTTAGCACACGTGCTGATCTGAGTACTTCCTGGCATCCTGTTCACAAGTTTGTTATGATTTTTATCTGATTGTAGGAATGTGAGAGTTCTCCATATCCTTCATATGGAGCTCTGGAACTTTCCCTCTGTTAGAATCACTGCCCTATGTACCCTTCTTCCTCCTGGGAATAAAGATTGATCTTTCCCTGGCATCACAGCTCTTCACATGGAGCCAGCCGCAGAAGAGATCCTGACTTGTCCAGGGGTCTCCTGAGCTCATTTCATAGGTTAGGAGAACACTTCCTTTGGATTAGGAAAGATGAGTTTCACCTCTGGTACACTGTCTTGGTAAGTCTAGGTGTGACCAACACCTCAGCTCTCATTGGACGAGAAAGCCAGGAGAAATCTTGTAAAGCAGGGTCCAGTACCCACCATGGAGTTGTCAGCATTCCTTGAACCCCAGTTTTTAGGGATAGCGTAGTGGGAAGTTTTAAAAGGAAATTGTATGTTATTGCCAGGGAGTCTGGTAGAATCCTTAAAGCTCTATCTTTAAAGACCTGCTAGAAGTGAAAAAAAAGATTGCTTATGTCGCAGAGGTGTGCCCGTTTATGGTGTCAGGGAGAGTGGTGAGGGGATCTGGTTTATAGAATTCCGAGCTTGGCTCATAGGTGAATCAGCAAAATAGCAGTGGATTCTTAGGCTACTTACTGTCATCTAAGACTTCAGGTGATTAAATTACATCCTGGGGATTGGGAATATTAGAACTAAACATCAAGGCCCTAAGCTTGGGAACTGACTTTCTCAAGCGGGTGTTTGAGAATATGGGACGGGTCTCCTATTTATTCGGTATAGAGTTTTCTTGGTTATTTTTCTCCCTTCTCTCCCCTTCCAGTCTCAGCGAAAGCTGGGAACCAGGAAGAAAGAATCTGTCGTAGAACTTGGAAAGAACTTAAGAGGATTTTGGTTCTGGATGAGGTCACTGCCCCGGGTGCTAGGTGGACCCAGCAAAAGACTCAGTGGGTGAACTACTGTAGTGCCTGACAGAATAAAGAACAGTATTACTCCCTTTGAGAAAACACAGTCAGCTGGACAGTGGCCATCTGAAAGGATGCTCACTTAGTTTCTTGGAAACAACAGCACATATCAGAAGCCAGACTTGCTCTTTGGTCATGCACTTTGGGACACAGGGTATAAGATGCAGCCCTGTAACACTACCAACAGAAGTGGCAGTCTCTGGGCCCAGTCACCACCCCACACCCAAAGGAGGAGCTGAATCTGGTTCAACATAGCACAAACCCTTAGGAAAAAGGAAAATAGCAATGATGTATAATCCAGTAAAAATCTTCCTTTTTAGAGTGTGTGTGTGCGCGTGCCTGTGTGCGTGTGCCCATTTGTGTGTGTTGTCTATGTGCAGCTCACTACCAACAGCCTCACTGTGCACTTGGTCTGACAGTGCTCGCTGAGAACTCTCACCAGGCTGGCGCCTGAACGCCTTACTCTCAGCACTCAGAGGCTTGCTTGCTCTGTGCAGATTTTTAATTTCCTTTTTTGGCCCCAGGCTGGTTAGGTGGTTAGGACCTCCACAGCTTCATTCTTTCACCATTAAATAGTGGCCTTTTTCAGTATTTCCCCCTTTCCCTTTATAAATTGCTGAAGCCACAAAGCACATTTTTGGGGATCATACAAGCTTGGGGTTCCAGAAAGGCATCTGTGTGACGGTTCCATTCACCATGAAATTTCCCTACTTGCTGTATTCTCAACTTCTAATAAAAAGAACCAAATGGAATATGAACTTTTGTTGTGTATTTTTTTACTGTCTCAGTTTACCTCCCAATAGCTTTTGGCACTTCTTACTTGAAGCTTAAGAAATTCTCAAAAACTTCCCAATCTGAAGGCACAAATCAGAGTGCTTATGCCCAATTCACTCTTCCCCACCTTCCTTATGCTTTCATCATAACTGGGACCAGGGTTAGAATGGAGAGGAGAGCTAACTCCAAAAGGCGGTTCCTAATTTACTATTAAGGTGTGTAAAAATAATAAAAATAATATAATGAACACCATATGCAAAGGGGTGTGTTTAAAGGACTCTTGATATCTCATATAATCATAACCACCACGCTATGAACTGATCAGTATTATTTCACTCTCATTTCATGGATGAGGAAACAAGCTTAGAAGGGCAAAATCGGACTCTTGCCAGCACTCTAAGAAGAAAATTCAGATTAAATTACCTCATTATATTGACTTAAAGGTTTTGGGGTTTGTTAACCCTTGTATGTGATTTAAGGAAGGAGAAGAGTCCCAGTCCTTTTGCCTTAGGTAAATTTAGTTTTTCCAGGGGAATTTCCAGTATTTGGATAATACGTCCATTCTGATTTCTCATTTTTAAGGATAGGTAGAACTTTAGGGTTTCCCTATAACTTACCCAGGTATAGACCACTGGATTGCATTCACTCAATGAAGAATAAGCTGAGACATACAAATAACCCACTGGGTTTTTTCTAGTTTTTTGCTAAAAGCTGTCTATATGCTCCCTTTCTCAGGTGATGTCTGTGGATATTGGAAATAAATGAGGACAAGTTTGAATTTTGACTTTATAAAATGCTAGGGCTCTGGGTGCTCTAGAGAAGCCTTTGGGCGATGTTGCTTTAAAATTATTCCAGAAAAAATATCCTTGTCTCAAGCATATTTTGCTTCAGTTGTAGCACATTCTGTATTTTCCTTCCCTCAGTGTGCATGGACTGTTGACCCCCACTCCCTGTGTCCTAATGTATGAAGCTTTCTGCCTTCAACTATTGGACTTGTGAAAACAAGGTCAGTGTGGCTCTTGTAACCTCTGCTTGTGACGGCACAGAGCGGGGATCAGGGAAGCCCAGGAAGCAGGGACTCCAGCTGCGGGATGCCCACCTACCATCCCTGGGCCGCTATGCTGACCTAGAAAGAGTGAGGTTCAGAGTTCAGTTCTGCCACTTGCCAGGTGACAAAGGCCAGAAGTCATTTATTTCCCTAGCCTCTGCTTTCTCACCTGTTAAAATGGGGCTTATAAAATAGCCTTTGCATCTTTCACTGAGATGCTGTGGCTCTTACAGATCAACATTTCTCAAACTTTCCATAGTGATTGGCGTTTCTGCCAAACTCTTGCTCTAAATCCTCCCTTTTGTGGTCTGCAACCCTCTCTCCCAAATGTACTTTTCTGACTTTAAGATATGTCCACTCTCTTGCCCTCCTGAACCAAAACTTCACTTAGCATTATGCAGTGATTGTTGAAACATTTTAACCTGAAAGTACTTCTATTAAAACAAAATTATTAGGTGGATTTAGTAGTTAATATATTCCCCTGGTAGCCTTGAGTTCTTGGTTATCCAAAGGCTTGCAACATTTATAAGAAAAGGAATTTCAAGATTCTGTCTCCCAGAATCTTGTCATTTATTAAATGACCTTCATTTTAACTTTGCTTCTCTGAAATCAAGATGATGGCTCTTTAGTTTGAGCCAGGCTGCCACCTGCTGTCCTTTGGTGGTTCTGTTAAAAGTAGAAAGAGGAAGAATAGTTCTGACCTCTGAATCAAAGGAATATTCTGCTCTCCCAGGTAAAGAGCAAGGTTAGTTTGTCAGAAATGGTTTTTCCTTCCATTGGTTCTGAAAGGGATTTCCAGATTTTATAGTTCACTCCTGGCCATGCAGAGGCAGAGGGATGAAACAGACACAAGGCTGGGAGCTGCCCCAGCACTTCCTAAGCTTGGTTTGTAAATTATGTGATCAAGCTAGTTGATAAGTTTGCCTGAAAATGTTCTCTCTGGTTGGGTGGGGAAGAGCCTTTTCAAAAGACAACACTGGATTCCTGTCCTAGAGAGACAAGCAGGCGGTGTTCAGGAGTCAGTAGTTAAGGTCAGATGCTGTTGGAGGCCAGAACATTTATCAGTGCCTCAGAAAGGCACGTGGGTGGCCATGGGCCCTTGCAGGGAGGGGCTGGAGCACCTGTTAAGAAGTGCCCTGCTGCCCTGCCTGCCAACGATGAGGTCTTTTGAGCTATGGCAGGCAGAGGGGCTGGGGAAACAGCTCCCCGCTGCTCTCTCGCTCACCTGCGACCTTGCTGTTGCTCTGGCATCCAGACTCTAAGTTCTTTGTCCCTCCTGCATGAAACAAGTTCAAATGATGACAGTAGTTAATGTGTCATTAGTGCTTTCTAGATGCCAGGCAGTTTCAGGCACGTTATAGGAATATCACATTCAAACCTCATAATACTCTTCCAACGATTTGGAGCCAATTTTGTAACTGTGCTTCAGTTTCCTGGTCTATAAGATGGGGTTGATAATAGTACCTACTTCAGAGGGTGGTTGTGAGGATTCAGGAAGTTAATGCCTGTTATTGACTTGGTCCGTGTAAACCTTAGCTCTTCCTAGCGTTACTGTGCTGCTTAAGCTGGCTGAGTCAATCCCTTCTCTCCTCTGAGGCTCGACTTCTTCAGCTGGAAACAGTCTGTTACTGCTTCCCTCACAGGGTTGTTGTGAGACTTAAATGGTAATGAAAGTAGCATCGTATAATCGATGCTGTCAGGCGCTTTACAGATATCACAATGAGTGTGTTTTACAGAGCTGGCCTACTCTAGAGAGAAGTCGGGCCATTGCTGGTGGGAAACTTGTACTGTGAGGTGTGAAGGGCTAGACGGGTCCCCGAGGCCCTGCACGCCATCCACGCTTATCATGGGGCTTGGCTGGACCTCCTCAGTGGTTAAGCTTAAAGATCTGGGGTCCCCAGAATGTGTACACAGTTCTGCCTTCACAGTGGAGATGGCCGTCTCTTAGGAGCCAGGTCTGAGGGGGAGGGAGGAGGCAGTCCCCGGGCCTCGAGACCCTGGGGGAGGTGTGAATGTGGATAGTGAGTTCCCAGATATAGCTCTCTTTCTGGTGGACTCTGCTTTGGAAATTGGAATGTTCTCAAACGTTCCAACCCCAGGGACAAAATCAGGTGCTCGTTTTGTAGATTAGTGGCCAGAAAAGGACCACCATGCGACCTAGACCTCCCTGGGCATCTGGAACCAGCCCTCAGGAGACCCGTCACCATACCACTGTGAAGGACCACCCTTCCCAGGGACCTCTCTGCTTGGCTGCAGCTATTCCTGCCACCGCCCCTGGACTTGCATCATCTTCCAGTGCAGCGGCTGGATGTTTCACTCTCTTGGCTTTTTCTTAGAGACATGCAAAAGTTCCTTTAACTTAGGGCTTTGCAAAGACGTTTTTAGAAGGTTTTTAATAGCAACAGTTTGCAGACATCACATACAGCCATGTTGATGTAAAAGGATTTAATACCTTTTCCTATTCTGGGTCTTTCCCATTACTATTCACTTTCTTGCCTTTTTCTCCTCACTCTCTCTCTCACACACACAGTTAGATCTCTGAGCAGCAGCTAGGAAACTGAGCTGCCTCCACCATGCATCTCACTTTGAGGAAGCTCTGTTTCAGGGGGGCACATGTTCTTGCCTTCATCTCACTTCTGCCCTTGGCCTCATTCTACTGCTCCCTCTTAGTACCTTTAAGTCCTCGGATTCAACTGAATGAACAGGTTCCTTAGAAACAGCTGACCCTTTCTTTGGCTGGGTCTGGACTTCTGGCGAATAGATGCAACTAAATTCTTTTGTCTTGGTCCAAGTTGAGCTCATGCTGGACTCCCGAAGAGGAGGTAGGAAGGATGGGAGGATGCCCATTGATACTTGGGGTGGATGGTACCAGGAACCCTGGAAGGTCTTGGGGAAGTGGTTTCTGGTTTCATCCAGCAATCTCAGGAGGCAGTGACCATTAGCCCAAGAAAGAGATGAGCATTGACCCACATGTAACCCAACTGTAGTGAGCTGAATCCCACATCAGTTGCTGACTCTTTAGAATGTCTCTGGATGGATCACCTTGTCAAAACAGGAGTCAGACTGGCTGGGTGTCACCACAGCAGCTGGGGTGGTAGCACCCAGGCACACAGAGGCAGCAGGAGCAGGGTGAATGAAGCTGAGGTGTCTGAAGTGCCGCCACAGTCCTGGGCATTCTCCTGCAAACCCAGAGCAGAGATGAGGGGGCAGCATTCAAGATGAGGTAACCATCCCAGCCAGAGGAGGTAAGGAGTAGGGAGGAGGGTCTCTGGGACCAATAAGGGCCCAAAACCTGGGGAAATGGGTAAGTCCCAGAAAGTGAAGGAAGCTCTGCCACCTTTCCTAGACCCTCACCTTTTAGGGGAAAGTAGAGGCTGTACACTCAGCTCAAGAGCCGGGCTCAAGCCTCTGCTTGCCCTCCGTCTTGGAGTGCGTGTGAGGTCATCCTCTTAAAATGACTTCAGGAAAGCCATTGACTCTGGGAGCACTTTGATGTGAGTTACTTGTGGCAGCCATATCCAGCAACGATGATACTGGGTATAAAGCGCCCAGTTCAGGGCCTGCCACGTGGTGGGGGCTCACCATTAGTAATATGCACATAAGGTTTCCTCCTATTTGCTCAGATCATTCAAAGCGAAGCCCAGCTGCAATGAGGACAATAGGAGGAAGCTGTGTTTTAATTCACTGAGGGCCCAAACCCTGGGAAATGTGGACCTCTTTATAGAGGCACCCTGGGATCCGGGTTGCCTTGGTACTTGAATGACACGGGGGCCTAAATGTGAATGCGTGTGTTTGGATATGTTCCAAGGAGGTGCACAAGTACTGCTGCCTTCATAAGTGTCCAGACGCATCATATCTGCCAGTGCACAGACAGTCACAGAGCTGAGGACCCAGGATGAAGGCCAAGGCCCACTCCTCACCCCGCCGAGTCCCTACCTCTGGATGGAAGGCGTGGCAGGAACCTGGTCGCCGGCGGAGCTTCTGGGAACGCATCCTGTCACACTTGACAGAGGCGTTATGTGCAGAATTCACTGTTAAGGCGAATGAATACCTCACAACAGGAAGTGATTCTGGAGACTTAAGTTCTGGAAGAACCTACCCTGGTGGGACCTGCTGCCTTGCAAGTGGCTTCTGGGGTCAGGAGGTAGCACCAAGGGGCCTGGGAGAAGGATTGGAGAACAAATAATGGTGTGGGGGAGGGTGGGCTGGTGGGGGTGAGGAAGGCTGACCTCTGTCTCAAAATCTGAGCCCCTCAATGACATCCCCTCCATGTCCACCCAGCCCTCCCCCCGTCCTCTGGAGGACTGGAAGGATATATTTGACTTCGGTAGCCTCCTGCAGGATGAGCGGGAAGATGCTACAGTCACAGGTGGTGTCTGTCACCAGGAGGAGAAGGTTGCTATTGGGAATCTGTTGCATCACAAAGATCCTGCAGTAAAGAGAGAGGTGGGTTCGTGGAACTTCTCCACGGCAGGCTTGACATTGGGCTTCTAGGGAAAGAACTTCTGGACACTTACTAGCGTGGAGTTGGGGTGGCAGGGGAAGGAATGAGGCAGGTCAGATTAGGGGCAAGTAGAGGAACAATCCTGGGCAACTGACTCATCCTATTGGCTTATTTTACCCACAAGCCTTTGCAGTTGCACTGCTCCTTTCCTAGCAGAATGGAGAAGGCAAGGAAGACCAAACCAGGACTTTTTTTTGGTGAGGAAGATTGGCCCTGAGCTAACATCTATGGCAGTCTTCCTCTATTTTATGTGGGATGTGGCCACAGCATGGCTTGATGAGCGGTGCTAGGTCTGCACCTGGGATCCGGACCTGCGAACCCCAGGCCGCCAGAGTGGAGTGTGCAAACTTAACCGCTATGCCACCAGGCCGGCCCCCAAACCAGGACATTTTTAAGAGTGAAAGGAGTTGTTATTAATATATGCAGGGACAACTGGCATAAATCAAGACTGTCTCAAGCAAATAGGGAGGTGTGGTTATCCCTGCTTTGGGCAACTGCGGTGGGGGCAGGCCACGTGGGGAACATGCAATGCTCAGGCTTGGCCACAAGGTGGCACAGTGCCCCTGTGCACTGTCCAGGAGTCCTGTGGAAGAGCCAGGCAGTAAGGGGTTAGCATGGGAAGCCTGTCAGGCACAAGGCCCGGTGCATTACATAACAGCAGCTGCCGCCCACTGAGCATCTCCCCCAGGAGGCATGATTTTACACACACACACACACACACACACACACAGACGTACACAAGCACAGGTGTATGTTTAACATCCCCCACACCCTATGAAGTTGGTATTATTCCCTTCTTGTAGATGAGAAAACAGGCTAGAAGGGGTTAAATAACTTCCCCAAGGTTACACAGCTAGGAGCAGCAGAGCCAGTTTTTAACTCAGATCAGTCTATTCTAAAGTCTTTGCTTTACAACACACCATTTAGTTTACCCTCACAAGAAGGATTTAAGGTAAGTGTGCAAATAACAATAGCCCCAAGAAAACCACTGTTGTGAGGTTAGTGTCCTCCCAACACTGCACACTAGTGTAAGAGGTGGAAAGCTGGCTCTGTCTGATGGCAAGGGCCGAGGCCTTGGGAGCTCAGGGCCATCCTGGGAAGGCCCTGGTGAATGGCAGGGCTGGCCAGGGGACACCCCAGAGGAGGCCACTGCCTCCCGGCCCAGGACAGAACTCCCGGTGGGGAGGTCCCCGAGTCGGGGGTGGGAGTCAGCAGGAGAGGACTTTTAGTCTGGCCTCCCTGGCTCCCTGCCCCAGGGCTTGGCAGAGCTGGCCGCATCTAGCGGGAGAAGGCCTGAGTCTGAGCTGGGCCCCCACATGCCAGGGGTGGTCTGACAAAGCTAGGAACCCTCCTCCACCCCACCCACTCCTGAGGCCATGCTCGAGCTCTCCTGCTTTTCTGCGTGGACAGGTTTCTAAGGGAGAGCTGACTTGTTTCTTTCTTAAATCTACCCTTGCCTTCCGAGGGCTTGCCTGATGGAATGGAGCTGCTGAGGGCTGGCCTCTGCCTAAGCGGGTGTAAGACAGACACCGAACTGTGGGATCATTTTTTCTGTCTGGGGTGGCTTTGGGGCCTGAGGTGGGGGTGGATCTGCTGACACAGGATCTGGCCTCAGGACCACCTCTCCCTAGTTCCCTGCCCAGCACACCCGCCATCCACTGTCCCCAGCTGGCCAGCTCACTTCATACCCTCTGCCTCAGCCTGTGCTTCCTCCACTGAGGAAAGTGTGAAACAAAGCCCTTTCACTGAGAGACCCCCCTTTCTCCCCACTTTAAACACGGCTCCCTGTCAGTGACAAAGCCCCACCCCAAGGCTGAGGACAGGCAGAGCTGCCTCGGGTCTTACTTCTGGCAGGCCCCACACTCGATGACCCCGTTGGTCTCCCGGATGGCCATCTGGTGCACAAACACGGGGTACTCCGTGTCACAGGGCTGCAGCGTGTCCTGTTTCTTGTGCTTGTGGGCTATGGGGAGACAGAGGCACAGATGGGAGAAAGAGCATCACGGGAATTGGAAGGGCCTTAGAAGTCCGTGCCCGTGAGGATCTCAGCTTCAACACTTCCGGGGTGAGTGTGGGCACTACCAGTGAAGCACCTTCTAGTCTTTTGCAGATGGCTCCTTTGTCAGAAAGTTTTCAGGACTTGTAAAGGAGGGGTGGGGTGAGAGAAGGACAGGGAAGGGAAAGGAGCAGAGTGCACCACAGTGGAAGGGGCAGCAGCTTGGGCTTCAGAGGCCTTGGGTATCAGTGGTGTGTGATGGACACTGTCACCCAGTGTCCTTGGGAAAGCCACTTCCTTCCTCCCTCTGCAAGCTGGGGAGGGGCAGGTGTCAGCACCGATATGCAGGATCTGAGATGAGAGCAGAGGCAGTGGGAATGCCAAGGGCTGGCTTGGGGGAGACATCAGCCCCTTAATCCTCTTGCCCTCCCCTTCACTGTGGACAGGTGACATTTCTCAAGTCGAGTGAGGGTGCCTGAGCTGGAGGCGCTGCTGTTTCCTCCTCTGTGAGGAGACCTGGGGGCAGCTCATCTCACGTGTCCCAACCCCTGGACCACATCACCATTTTCCTCTTGGAATCGTAAACATTTTCACCCGAGGAGACAGCTGGCCTGTTTTATTTTCCCTGGGGTATAACTATACTTGTGTGGGATGAGATCTGGGCTACCCACTAAGAATGGGGCTTTAAATTGGGAGAGGCCCTCTGGGTCAGGGGTGTCCCAGGATGAAGAGAGCACAGCCCTTCTTGGATGCATCCTGGGATGGAGAGCTGAGGACAGGCCCTTTGCAGCTCTGTGGCTCCCAACCGACCCACTGGGGGCTCCTCAATTGATGCTACTTACAGTGATGGAAGACAGCTTTGGCTGTCCAGGACATGAGGCCCAGCAGAGGGTGGGCATGATGTCACATGAGGTCAGGATGTCACAGGGTGTTGATGTCACATGGAATGAATGATGTCACATGGAGCAGTGGTATCCCGAGATGGTATGATGTCACACACACAGATGCAGGGAGCCAGGAGTAAAGGGAAGGTGATGAGAGAAGGCCAAGCAGGGTGAGATATGAGCAATGAACTCTCCAGAGTCCCCCATCCCCTCTGTCATCCACCCAGAGGTGACAGGTGTCCAATTAGCTGACTGAAATGGCATTGATAGTAAACCCTCAGTTATGCAGTCGCGTCTACTCACCCTCAGCACCCCTGTCCACATGCCAGGAACCCCAGGCGCTCCACTCCAGCAGGAACCTGTCAGACACAGAACTGAATCTCGGAGCCCTGCTTGCACTCCCCACCCAGGTCCCTGAGCGGGCTGGAGTGCCAGAGCCCCCAGATGGTGCCCGCTCCAGGCCCTCTCATCCAGGATACCCTCTGCCCTGCTGGAGGCTCCTGGATGAGCAGAGAGGGCTCCCTGGCAGCAGTGTGTAGGGAGGAGGTGCCATCTGTGCATGGCCAGTTCCACTCGGGGATCTTGCCTGCCTCCTCCTGGGTTGTGGGGACCTCAGGCAGCTCGTGCTCAAAGGGCTCCCTCATAAGCCACACCTGTGTGAGCCCCTCCCCAGCTCTGCCCCAGCCCCCAGCTTCAGCCCCTCACTCACAGCAGGAGCTCATTCACCAGCCACCTGGTAGCAGTCAGGAGGGCGGAGACGGGCTGGCAAGGAAAGGACACACCATTAATCCCAAGGCCTGGGTGACAGTGCTCCCCTTGGCATCAACATTACATACTACAACCCCCATGGCTCCCCGCTCCTGCTGCCACTACCTCCCACCCCTTCCCAGCAGGGGAGGGTTGGAAAGCTGAGTTATCGGGGAAATTCCTACTGCAGGGCAAACGCCTGGGGGTTGGACAATACCCATCGAGAAGGCCGGTCAAGCCCTCATGTGCATGAGCCACTCCGGGACATTTCTAGGCTCCCTGATGACTTGTGTGACAGCACTAAGAGGTGAGGTTAGGAACAAAGCAAGAGAGGGGCTACAGTCTACTTTCTCTACCAGAGGCCCTGTTATTTCATGAGCTGCCAGAACAATTCCCCTGAAGCCCTAAAGATAACACCTCCGGACCTAGGGTGGGAGAAGGCCAAGTGCAGAGAGCAGGGAGGCAGGAAGAAGTCAGAGAGGGCCAGACGGCCAGAGGCTGGGTGAGAACAGGGACCAAGTGACCTCATTTTAGGACAGCAGGGGGCTTGCCGTCTGGTGGAAGAAAGGTCTGGGGTGACACTCACACTGACCAGGGGCCGGGCGGCGCTGGGATGGTGATTCTGGAGCTTGCACATGGCCTGGTAGTCATACATGGTCACTCTGAAAATCAGAAACAGGAAACAGCGAGTCCAGACTATCCCCTGTGCCCTGCCCCTGCCCCAGGGGAAGTGTGCAGCAGGGTCTCATTCATGGGGACTCGCGGGGGCGTGAGTTAGGACGGGCAGGTCAGCAGACGGCAGGTGCTGAGAACTACATTTCTGCACTTTGCTCCAGGGGCCCACACGACTGAGGCCCCTCTCCACCTCAAGTCAAGTCCCTGGCTTCAGAAAGGTTGCTTTTGGAGCTCTTTGGGGCTTTCGCTGGGGGTTTTTGAGGTCAGGATTCCGAGATCTGTCCGGACCATTTAGCATCAGATCCTGCCTTTTCTGTGTGTATTCAGACAGGGGAGAAGCGTGTCCCACTTACTGGCTGAACACCCCCATGCTGAGCAGCTGGGTCATAAGGGCACCATCCACCTCCCCCAGAAATCTTCCCACCTGTGAGGGAGAGAGGGCGAGAGGGAGGGAGAGAGAGCAGTGGAGCGAGGACTTGCACACTTCCCGCCTCAGCCCAGGGCTCATTTCTGAGCTCCAGACTTCAGCTGCCAATTGGGTTTTCCCAGCAGAAGCCCTTCAACATAATCAAGCTGAACCCATTCCACCAACCCTCCTTTAACCTGCTCCCTGCCACACTCTCTCTCAGAGCTTTTTAAACTGTTATAATCCATTAGTTGGCTATGAAATCAGTCAAGGGGTTGCAATCAGATTTTTTTAAGGGTCCAGAATTCCTTTGAACAATTCAGTGAGAACCGTGCAGTAAGGTTAAACAGGGTTTTCTGAAACTTGATTTGTTGTATGTGCCGTGTGTTCGGGAGTGTGTGTGGGCGAGCGCTGGATCCGATCTAAACGGCATTTCTTTCTGTGGGTTGTGGTCGAAGGTTCAGAAGCAGCGCTCCGTCTCCTGCAGATCCTGATCGCTCCGCCGGGGAGGCTGGGGCCCCGGAGCCGCCTGTGATTCCCCCCACCCACTATATCCAAGTATCAATGTGCCCTGTGGGTTTGCCATGCACCATTCCCACTCCACGACAGTGACTTAACCCGAGCCCTCGTCCCCTCAGCTGCCCACTCCACCCTCCTGAGGGCTCTCCCAGTCCGCAGGCACTGCTGCCAGAATAGTCTCCCTCAAACACAGCTGGGATCCAGTCACTCTCTTCTTTGTTCCCTAAAGAACAAAACAAGACCCCTAGGGCCACGGGCCGGGCAGTCTCCTCCGAGTCCCTCCGCTTCTCAGCCTCAGGCCCGCGCCAGCCTCAGCCTCACTCCCACGCTGTCCTCTCTGCTTGCCCTGGCCTCTTCTTCTGTGCTTTCTCCATAGCAGAGCGGGAAGAGCTTGAATTTAGGTGTTGGATTTTGATTCAAATCCTGGCTCCGCCACTGCCTGCTGTGTGGCCGAGGGCCCGTTGTTAGAATGATTAGGGATAGCACGTGCCAGATGCTTGCCACACAGTAGGTACTTGGTCAGTGGCGGCCAGGAAGACAAGGAGCCGCTCTCGGCCTTGGCTCTCCCCACCTGGATTACCCTTCCTCAGTCCTCACTCCAAGGAGCTTTTCTGCTCACCCTCCTCCGAGAAGTCTTTCTTTTCTCACCTTTCCAGTCAGAATTAATGCCTCCTTCCCCTGCCTCTGAAACTGACAGGCCAATGACAAAAGCACGCAGCAGAGAATCGAGAGTTGGAGCCACGAGATATTCATCACGAGATATTGTCTGAGCTCTCCTCTCTGCCCGGAAGGCCATCTGTCCTGACTGGGAGGCCTGAAGAGGGCAGTGGACAGCACAGGGGGCAGCAGGGAGGAGCTGAGGGCATTCCAGGGACAGACGGGCAAGCGGGAAGGGGAGAGGCATCCATCCTGCCTGTTGTCCACGGTGCAGCCCTGAAGCCCCCTGAAGTCCGTCACCTCCAGCCATCCCTCTTAGCCGGGGCCGGCTTTTTGCCATTCCAGTTATGCGTGTGTGCGTTCCTGCATTCCCAGACAGCGAGATCCTGGCGGGCAGAAATCCCCCCCGCTGCTCCCCAGAGACCATACGGGTCCAGCCCATGGTTGCGATTCCGTGCATATTTGCTGAAGGCACATGTGAGCAGTGCACGAGGGAATGAACGAACGCTCTGAGTACTCTGCTCCCTGGGAAAAGTGCAGGGGGGAACTGAAGCTCCTGATGCGGCTGGCCCGGATTGCCACGAGGCTGTCCCCTTCTCTTTCCTATTCTAGGCTTATTCACCAACAACGCTGTTGTTCAGACACTTGATTCTGAGAAGGGAGGTCCCTGACAGGAAGACAAACTCCCGGACACTGGAAAAAATGTATGCTTCGCTGTGCATGCACGGCTTGATTTTCTAGGATGTGTCACTTTGGCAGAGATGCCCCATCCCCACTTCTTCAGTGAGGCAACCCTGACTTTCACTATAGTAGCAGTGTGCTCAGCTACAAGACTACATTTCCTAGACTCCCCAGCAGCTGGGGCCAGCCAATGAAATGCGAGAAAAGACACTGGGTGGGACTTCCGGGACTCTTTTTAAAGGGAGATGACTGCGGGAGGGGGACCTCATTCATAGCTGTTGCCCTCCCCTTTCTTCTTGTCTGGAAAGTGGACAAGGAGGCAGGAGTTCCTATAGCCATGTTGTGGTCCTGAGGATGGGGACATCTGGTGACCGTCATACCAACCAGGCCTGGACTGCCTTCATCCATTCTTTTATGTGAGAGATTAAACCTTTAATTTGTTTAGGACACTTCAGTGGGGACTTCAGTCCTGACAGCAGAGCACAGTTGCTAGCTGATAGTTCACTGGAACTTTATCGGAGTGAATCAGTGCCTCAAATAGGTAAATTGATCAGTTCTTGACCCTGCAGAGCCAAGGTCCAAACACTCAACCTCGGGTACCCTGTCAGTTCAGGACCCCCAGATGGAACGTGAGGTGGCACCCAAAGCCCAGCCCAGCACGGGCACTGGAGCCTGCGCGCAGCCACGGCACCACCAGGGGCTGCAGCTCTACCTGCCGTCCAGCTTGCTGTCGCCAGGGCAGGGTTCTGCCTTCGCTGTGGGTGACGCACAAACAAGCAATGGTCCACTGGGCTGCCTGAGCTCTGGGGCTGGATGAAAGGGGCCTGAGCTCCCTGAGTTTCCAGCCTGTGATGAGGCAGGAGTGAGGTGGGGTCCCGCCGAGGAGTCGGGAGCAGGAAGCAGCTGGGCAGGAGCAGTGAAGAAAGCAGAATTGATGAGCATCCTGCTGGCCAGGCGGCAGCCCCTGGGCATGGCTAATTTGCATGCCTGGTTGAGGCTGCTGTCCCCAGAGAGGAGGGGGACCAGAGGGTGGGTGGGGGCGCTCCTGACTCTGGTGACGGAATGGAGCAAATGTCACATGGCCTCCTTACCTAGGGACAGCCTCAGTTTCTTCTCTAAAAATGGGGTAACGCATCTTCTTGAGGGGTGTGAGGATTAAATGAGGTACCAGAGTAAACTCACTGTGGGTGGCTCCTAGGGGGACCTATTGCCTTCCATTCCTTCCTAGTGCGCAGCCTCACTTGACTGCTCTGAACTGCCCAGTGTATTGACAAGAACTTTTGGCCCCACGGGGCGTCAGGAAGAGCGTGGGGGAGTGGGCACGCGCACGGTGCTCTGGGGAGAGGCACCGGGTCCGGTGAAGGCAGCGGAGGGCTGCTGCCAGAGCCCAGGGGGCAGGGACATGCTGAGGCAGGCTGGGAGGACTGGGGGCTGGAGGGGCCAGGTCAGGAGCCCGTGCAGCAGGGCGCACGGAGGTTTCTCCTGCACCCCCCACACAGCACGGGGAGCAACGAGGGGAGGCCGCCGTGCTGAGTGGGAGAGGAGACAAAGGCTTGGGCAGGGGTACAAGGAGGCAGGGAGGTGAAGGAGGACGGAAGGAGACAGTAGCTGAGGCTCGAGAGCAGACCAGAGGCCCTGTGAGGGCAGAAAGCGTTGCCCTCATCTGAGAGCCTTGCCAGCCCTGGCTCTGCAGGCTGGGTGGGGAGCGGGGAGCTAGGGCGGGTGCTGTGCCCTCTGAGAGATCCAAGTCCCTCAGGGAAAGTTGCCTGGGTGGGGAGTCTGATTTTCTGGGCTCCACTCCCTCTTTGAGGTCCGTTTTGAAGCTCCCATGTGTGGGAGCTACCCACAGGCAAATGATGGGACCTAGAGTCCCCGGATCCAGGGTGACAGAGCCACTGTAAACGTTACAAAGACCCAGGGAGCTGTTGTCACTATTCTGGCCCCAGCCGTCTGCTCTCTTTCTAGGCCCCAGATAGAAGGCTGTAATCCTGTCGTTTGTAGTTCTTTATTCTAAGAATGAGCCCCAGGCTGGAAGAGAGGCCCAGTGGGGCCAAACGCCTGACCAGCAGGCCTGGAACACCCCCAGGATCAGGAGAGAGCCAAGCCCCTTCCTCGGGCAGGCTGCAGACGGGGCCCTGGGGCTCCTGCACTGGACAGTTGGCTGAGCAGGGGCCTTACTGAGGAAGGGCTGGGAAGGACTTTGGGAAGAATCTTTGGATCTGGATCTGTGACAGGTTTCCCTCCCCAGGACCCTGGATGGACCTCGGCAGGGACAAGTAGCCTGGACCTTCTGACACATTAGCCCAGTGGAGCAAGCGCATCCAGACTAATAGCCACTGACACTAAGGCCCAGGCAGTGGTCCTCAGAGTTCCTCACACATCAGACTCACAGGAGGGCTTCTTACAGCACAGATGGGGGGCCCCACCCCCAGAGTTTCTGATTCCCTAGGTCTGGTGTGGGGCCTGACAACTTGCATTTCTACCAAGCTCCCAGATGCTGCTGTTGCTGCTACTGGCCCCCCCACCACGCTCTGAGGCCTAGGGATAAAAGGGGGGAGGGAGGAATGAAGGGGTTGGGGGAGCGGCCAGGTCACGTTGCCCTTGATAGCACTTGGGTGTGCTTGGGGAGAGGGGCAGGTTTGGGTAGGTGGGTAGGAGTTTGTGGTGGGATGACTCTGAAGGGGTTCACACGGGCCCCAGCCTCTTTATAGTCGTGCCCTTCCAGAAGCCCTGCCCCTTGAGCATGGACTGGGCCTGGTAACTTGCTTCTCGTGAACAGAATGTGGTCAGAGTGATGGGAAGTCTCTCCTGAGATCAGATTCTCAAGACTGTGCCTCCCGTCTTGCTCTCACACTCTCGCTGGGCCTTCCTGGCTTGCTCACTTGGATGAAGCGAGCAGCCCTGGAGGGAGCTGTCCTGTGGAGAGGCCCATGTGGCACCTGAGTCCTGCCAGCACCCATGGGAGTGAGCTTGGACACTGACCTCTCTCTAGTCAGCCACGAAGTGACTGCAGCCCTGGCTGATACCTTAAGTGAGAGACCCAGAATCACCCAGCGAGGCCACACCCTCGCTGGCTGTCTCTGGTCTGGCTGTCATTCCCTGTGTGCCTCTCATAACCTGACGCAGCTCAGGTCGTGGGGTCAGAGGTCAGAGTGAGGAGGAGAGCTGAGCCTCGGCCCCAGCCTTGCAGCTCAGCTCCTGGAGGCCTAGGTCGTGATTCTGCAAAGTGAATGAACTCTTCCCTGGCCCGCAGTAGGGGCTCGGTGGGAGAATGGCTGTCCAGGAGCCAGGACTTGCAGCCTCCACGTCCACCAGAGAAGGCCAGTCTCCCTGGGGCCACCAGCCCTGCCCCACGCATTCTGGAGTCCCAGCAAAACCAGTGCTCTCCCAGCTTGGTTTCCCTCAACACGAGTCTTTCCTGGATATCCCTTGCTCGCTATTGCTGCTCTCCACCTATATTTCTAGGTTCGAAGTCTGGCTTTTCTGTAGCTGTGAGTTTTGGGGTTAATAACCTAAACTTGCAGAGTCTCAGTTTTTTCCCCGGCATAAAATGAGACTAAGAGCATCAGCAGGGATGATGAGGGAAGGCCTGCCTCCCTGGGCGCCTTGCGGTGTGGGGGCGGGGCGCAGGGGTGTGTTGGGGGCCAGGGGAACTTCAGGCTCTGCAGGAGTCCCTGGGAGGCCCTGACCCTATTATGAAGATTAAATTTTATTTCATTTACATAAGATGAGGGATGGCTTTTAAAACTACACACCATGCAAAAAGATAATATAATAGTTGAGAAAATAAGGGTAAATAAGCTAAGTTTTTAAAAACCATATTTATAAAATATGTCTCTGAGTAACTGTTTGTTACCATATATTATCCATATTTGTACCAAGTGACATCACGGCTGTGAAGACACATGAGCAAATGTGGTCTGGGTGGAAGAGGACCAGAGTGGCCCCAATGGGTTATGCACAGGGCCCCTTGGGGGACTGCCTCTCCTGAAGTGGCCCCGAGCCGGTTGGTTTCCCTCCTGGGCCCACTCCCTGCAAGGCTGGCCCAGCTGCCTTGAGCAGGAGTCAGCCAACAAGGGCCCTGGGGCCAAATCTGGCTCACCAGGGACTGATGTCAGCCCCTGAGCTAAGAGTGCTTTTCTACTTTGAAATGGTTGGGAAAAAATCAAAAGATTAATACTATCTCATGACTCATGAAAATTATATGAAATTGAAATTTTGAAACTGAGAATGAAGGAGTTAAAATTTCCCTGGATTAGGGTGACACTCTGCCTCGTACCCACAAGGTTAACATGGGAAAGAAAATAACCCAAGTTTCTGAGCTTGCCTTGTAGTTTGGGGCTCAGCAAATACAAAATTATGATTGTTCTTTCTCTAATAGCTTTCTGAGCACATGCAGAGGCCGGGGGCATCCATAAGCCTGAGGGAGAGTTAGGTGTGCCGTCAGCTATGAGGTGAGAAAGGAGTGCCTCCATTGTTTTATTTCCCCTCTAGCAAAGGGAGGGCCAAGCTTGGTGGGTTAGAGTAGAGTTTTCCACAAGGCATGTCCAGACAGGAAGAGGACACACAGTGAGGAAGGCCTGGCCCTTCTGGGCCCCACGAAGGTGGGAGGGGACGGTGCTCTGGTCTGAGTGCCTCACCCGAATTCACATGTTGACACCTCACCCACATGGCGACCGTAAGGGGGGTGATCAGGCCATGCAAGCAAAGCCCTCAGGAACGGGATTAGTGTCCTTATAAAAGAGACTCCAGAGAGCTCCCTGGTCCGCTCCACCACGTGAGGACACAAGGAGAAGTCTGTGACCTGGAAGAGGGCCCTCACCCGAGCATGATGCCACCCTGATCTCAGACGCCTGGCCTCCAGCCCACAAGGAATAAATTCCCGTTGTTTAGAAGCTGCCCCGTCTGTGGTATTTTCTTATAGCAGCCTGAGTGGCCCAAGCGAGGGCGGGTGAAGGCAACAGAAGGGAGTGAGACGATGAGCAGTGGGAGGGTGCTTAGGACTCTGGGAGGCCCCCCAAAGGCCAGGCCAGAGGGCAGCACAGCACAGCACCGAAAACATGGGTCCCTGAGATGCAGCTCTGCCCAGCCTCTCCTCATCGTGTGGACAATTTCCCCACCAACCACAGGAGAAGACCAGTTAGTTACCAACAAATAAGGAAGTAACATTGTCTCTGCTCATCTGAGTTGAAATGTGTCTGAATTTTGTAACCTTGCTAGGATGACTCTGGTTTCAAGGAGAAACTCCTTTTTCTTCAGGCCTTTTACTCCGATTGGCTCTAACCCAGGATTGCTTCCTGGGGCCGTCAGCCCTTTCTTTGACTGACATGGCTGTTGGGTGACTAGACTCCTCCCTAATTCGATTTCCCCAAGACCTTACCTCCTGGGACATCTCTGAGATCAGAATGAACCCGTTGTTGTCGATGACAAAGCAGTCCAGGTCCTGGGAAGAAACCCAGAAAGGAGGGAGGTCATGGCCAGGCCCTACCACTGACCCCTGGGTCTCCTGCCTGTCCTGATGGTTTGGGAAGGCAGGTCTCGATGTCCAGTGGAAAGGTACCCTCTGTGGAGCCCAGCACTGCAGGGGAGGAGGGCAGCTGGGAAGGAGGGCAGCTGGGAAGGAGGGGAGCTGGCCCATCGAGAGCACATGGGTCGAAGGGCCCACGGTTCCCGCTTCCACGCTCTTCACATGCGGAGGAACTTACATTGTCCTGGCAGCTCTTTGGGCAAGGCCCATCCACAGGGCTACACTGGAAGGAAGAGGAGAAACTGTGAATTGTGTAGCCTGTGTGAATGTGTGGGAGATATGTGGTTGTCAGCATGTCTGAGTGTTGTGTGTGTGGTACATCTGCCTTGTGTATTTATGTGTAGGGAATGGTGGATGTGTGTTTATGGTATACTTGTGTGTGCACGTGTGTGTACTGTATATATGTTTGGTGTGTGTCTGTCTGTGTATGGCATATGTGGCGTGTGTGTGGTATGCCTGTGTTGTATGTGTAGGTATTTGTGTGGTGTGTGATGTGTGTATGGGTGCATGTATTGTATGTATGTGGGGTGTGTGTCAGTGGGGTCAGGTCACTGAGAAGCAGGACCCTTGCTGGCTGGCAGCAGCCCAAGCACACAGGATCAGCCTCCTGGGAGGGAGCCACGGCCCCTGCAGCCCATGGGGGAGGGGAGGAGGTCAGTGCATCGCTGGAAGCCTCGTGGGGTGGCTTCATGGGGCCTCTCCGGAGGCTCCTGTCCTTTGTCATCCTGCATGATGACTCCAGGTCCCAGGGCTGGTGCCCCTCCCCTCCCATGCCTTCCGTCTTCATTCTGTGGTTCCCTAAACCTGCTCAAAGTGAGGACGCAACAAGTGAACGGGGGCCACGGAACAGCGGAGGCTTAGTGCCGTGGGGACAGATTTGGGGCTGGAGGCCCTTGTGGAGGATGGTGAGGATACCCAGGAATACAGCTGAGTTGGAGGGCACCGGGGGAGCAGAGGCAGGAAGGGAAGAGGCGGAATGGGAAGGACTATGGCAAGGCAGAGCTCTCAGTGGCCGGGACCACAGTCATGGCTTGGATCTTGGCTGGAGGGACCTGTGGGGCAGGGCGAGTGGGGCTGTGTGGTGGCTTTAGGGCAGCAGAGACGGAGCGAAATGCAGAGGGGACACTGTGTCCTGGCTTTTGCCCCTAGGTCTGAGCTGAGAGAGAGTACTGGAGTAAGGAGGCAGCAAAGGCATGGGGAACCAAGAAAGGAGAGAAGGAAGGAAGGGACCCAGGAGAGCTGACTGAGAGCCCAGGAGGCTGGCTGAGAGGCAGTGGGGCAGCCGCTCCTCCCCCGGAGATGCTGGCGTGTCCTCCAGCCCTGACCTGGCCCGGCACCATCGCACCCACCTGCTGTGTCGCTGCCCAGAACGTGCGCTGCAGGAACTCCAGCCTCATTTGGACGCCCACCGCTGCAAGGAAGTGGGAAGAGGGCAGCAAGACCATGTGTTTTTGGGGAGGGGGTGGTGGGAGGGAAGAGACAATGAGAGAGAAAAATAGATTCAAGTTAGAGAGAGGAGGTGCATCAGCAGGAACTGAGGGGAGAGAGAGCACCCGGGCAGAGAGCGGATGGGGAGCTGAGTCAGACGGCAGCCTGTGAACTGAGGTTCTGGGGTGGGGGGAGACTGATGGCTTCTGTCTCTCCACAACAAACAGCACCAGGAAATGCCCCAAGAGGAAGGTAAGGCCCAGGTTCCAGAGAACAGTGAGGACGCCATATCCTCGGATCTCGGGACGTCAAGGCAGGTGCCCTGGGGAGACCATTCTCCCCTGTCCCACAGAAGGAAAACAGAGGCGGAGAGGCAGAGACATTTGTTCAAGGTTGCATGACCCAAGCGGTGGCTGAGACTGGAACTTAGGCCACTGCAGGCTGGGCAACTCATGGGGCTTCCTAGATGTTAAGCCTGACGTAACAACCTCTCTTGCACCCAATTCCTGCTCAAGGTCTCCCCTACTTTGTAAGAAGGCTCTTTCCTTCCTGAAAGTCACGATCAGATTTACCCATGTTTGCAGGTAGGTTCCAGAAAACTGGAGACGCTACCAGCCCACAAAAACTACTCTTTTGATGACGCCACTTACAAGGGCCACCCATGCTTCTTTGGTTCCCAAATAGGCTTGGAGAACCCAAGCTGGTGCTCACATGCTAAGAGAAATCTGGGGCTAAAGAACAGAAAGAAAAGGCAGGTTATATTGAAAAGAAAAAGAATGAAAATACCAGGCTGACGTCCTACTGTCTGGTGTAATAATGTCGCAAAGGTGTCGAGTGCCAGGCACCCTTACATCCATGAGCTTATTTCATCCTCACAGCAGATGGGCTCTGTTACTTTATTCGGACGTCACGGCTGAGGAAATGAGGCCTCACAGAGATTACATGTCTGGCTCAAGTCCTCTAGCCCCTAACTACAGAACCAGGACGAACAGGGTCTGTCTCTAAGGCTCTTCACCTCTCTGTTCTCTAGGCCTGAAGGAAGGAGCCGAGAGGCATGGACAGCACTTCCCTCTGGGGCTTCTGTTCCCTCCTCTGGAAAGTGGAGATGGATCTGGGTCCCTAGCCACTATGCCACGGTCATGAGACATTCAACCATCACCTCAGTGACCATCCATTGGAGAGATTTTCCCTCACAATCATTCTGACTTCCTGAGATGCAACTGGTTCTTCTAAAAGAGACTAGAGTTCCAGTCTGGCACAGAGACACAGAATTGTATGCTTTTGTTTTTTCAATTTGGAACGATCCCAGAAAAGTTTGATGAGGGAAAAAACAGAGAGACCAGAGCAGAGTCAGGGGGCCAGATTTCTAGCCCTGGGTCTGTCAGGGCTGTGATCTTTGAATGTGTTTCCTCAGTTGCAAAATGTTTCCTGATTACATTTTCCCTAGAAAGGCAGAATGAATGTAAGACCGTTGGGGCTCGAATGAGATAATGTGTGAGAATATCATTCTAGACTAGAGTCTTGGTTCTCAAATTTTAGCATCCATCAGGATCACCTGGAAGGTTTGTTGGAACCCAGTCCCCAGAGTTTCTCATTCATAGGCCTGCGCAGGGCCTGAGAATTTGCATTTCTAAAGTGCTCCCAGGTGATGCTGATGCTGCTGGTCCAGGGACCATATTTTGGGAACCGCTGATGGAAAGCGTCGCTGTCTGATTGAGCTTTCTGAGATGATGGAGCTGTTCCAGATCGGCACTGTCCCATACAGTAGCCACTAGTCACACGGGGCCATTAGGCCCTTGAACTGTGGCTAGTGTGACCGAGGACCTGAACTTAAAATTTTTAATTTAATTTTAATTAATTCAAATTTAAGTAGCTATACATGGCTGGTGGCCACCATATTGGACTACAGAATTCTAGAGCTCATCTGAATTTACAGACAAAGAAACCAAGGCCCTAAGAGACCCATCCCTCCCTTGGCATCTTACAGCAATTCTATGGCTGGAGCTCTGGCTGGCCTTCTTGAATAGGTCCTACAATATGGGGACATTTGAGTTCTCTGGGGGCTTTGCTGCTTCAGTGTCCAGGTAGCTGAAAGGAGTGGGTGGGAAGGGGACAGGTAGAGCCACTTCTAGCGTCATGACAAAGACGAGAGACACAGACTCAGCACGTGATCATGGGCGGGGCATGTGCTGGGGGTCCAGCACTGGCTGCCACACCCCTCTCCTCCCTCTCGCATTTCTCTATAGAGAGGCTGCAGGTGGCCCTCCGGTCTCTCCCCCTTACTCTTCCTTTTAAAACCACCCTCGAGGGCCCGGCCCCCTGGCCGAGTGGTTAAGTTCGTGCGCTCCGCTTCTGCGGCCCAGGGTTTCGCTGGTTTGGATCCTGGGCGTGAATGGCTCATCAGGCCGCACTGGGGTGGCATCCCACATGCCACAACTAGAGGGACCCACAACTAAAATATACAAGTATGTACTGGGGGTACTTGGGAAGAAAAAGCAGAAAAAAAAGAAGATTGGCAACAGTTGTTAGCTCAGGTGCCAATCTTTAAAAAATAAATAAATAAAGCCACCCTTGATAGTCAACTTAGACAGATTTCTTTCACCTGTAGAAAACGGCTGCGTGGAAGAGAGGAACCTTCTGGAAACTGTCAGAGAGGAGTCACATCAATGCTTAGAATGATCAAGTCTTTGGGATTTAAGAGTTTATTTACCCCTGTCTTTAGCCTCCATGGTCAATGAGCTCCCAGAATAGCCCCAAAGCCAGGCTGCCCCTCCGCTTGATTGCTCAGCGTCAAGTCTCGTAGAATCGCGGGCTCTCTGAGCTGGAAGAAATTCTCTGATTCTAACACAGGGAGTCTTGAGAGGGTGGGAGTTAACTCTTCTCTAGTGAAACAGGTTTTGGAGGCTCTTGGGTGGAAATGGGAGGAGCAGGGCACAAAGCAGACTCTCTGCTGCCAAGTTCCATCTCATGGCTGGACCAGAAGTCCTGCAAGGCAAGGCCTGGGTGCTTTACGTCTGGGGATCCTCTGCAAACTTAGGAGATTCCAGCTGCCTACCAACAGCTCCATTGTGTCACCAATAGGCATTTCAAACTTCCCATGTTCAAAACCTGATTCTGGACTTTCTTCCCCAAACGTGACCCTCCTTGAGACTTCCCCATTTGGGGGCACATTTTCTACCTAATTGCTATAATTTTCCCTCATCCCATCCAAGTTCTACAGACCTTATTCCAAAACTTCATAAATCTGCCCATTTCTCTACCTCCACTGCTACCACCCTGGGCCAAATCAGCATCCCTCTCGCCTGGATATGCCATAGGGCCCTACGCAGTCTCATAACCACCAGAGTGACGCTTCTAAAGATCAGATCATGTCACTCCCTTGCCTAAAACCTTCCAGTGCCTTCCCACTGCTCTTGGAACAAAATCTCAACTCCTTAGTAATCTGGCCTATAAGACTCCAGAGCAGCTGGCCCTGCTGATCTCCCTGATTTCAACCTGAATCACTTTCTGCTTCAATCATGCTAAGGCTGGTCCCCGCCCGAGGGCATCTGCATCAGCTGTCCTCTCTTCCTGGAATGGCCTTTCCCTAGACCTTTACATGGCTGGCTCCTTCTTACCGTCAGATCTCAGCCCAAACGTCATCTCCCAGCCCTGACCCCGGATAGAGCAGTCCTCGCCTTTGCCGTGCATTCTCTAGCTCATCACTCTTTTTATTTTCTAAGCAACAAGATTTATTTGTCTTATCCTCCTTTATTGTCTGTCTCACCCCATTAGAATGGGGGCTGACAGTAGGCAAGGAGGTTGAGTTCTGATCTCTAGCACCTAGAATAGAACCTAGCACATAGTGGGCCCCAATAAATATTTTTTGAGCTAAATAAATAAATACTCGTGACTTCCATTGAGTCAGCCACTTGACTGGGAGGCAAATTCTGCAAGATCTCTCTGTCCCTTCCCTCCAGGGTTCGAGACCTGGCTGTACTCGCTTCTCCCATACGGAGCCCTGCCCTCCTACAGATGCTCGACTTGAGAGCCTAGAGATTCAGCTGTGCTCTGATTCCCTCGAAAACCTAGGAGGGAATCCACTAAGAAACGGGGAACTTAGGTGAGAGACAAAGAAGAACTTCCTCATGGTAAGAGCTGTTGGACGCTGAGAACAGGGCTGGTGTAGAATGGGGAGGGCAGTGAGGAGCGTGGGGACACCTTTCACAACAAATTGACTGTGTTCTGCCGTGTCTTTAATCATTTCAAACCCTTCTGTTCAACTCCTGCCTCACAACCCAAATTGTGCTTTTCCACCCCAGACACAAAGAGAGCCCAGCCTTCACTCCTGGGACACCCGCCGGGGCTGCCCTCAGATCCCCATTCGCCGGCTATTGTCAGAGCCTTGCTGGACCTCCAGCTGTGGGGAGCATGAGGCTGGCCACACCCCCTACAGCACCTCCTGTAAGCCTGTGTGCACAGGAGATGGTACCTCACGCTACCATGTGTGCTGACAGGCTCAGAACTCGGGAGGAAGAGAAATCCATCAAAGGGGCCCCAGGAATGTGAGGCCCCTGGCCTCTCGGGCTTTTCCTCTGGGGGTTATCAAGAGACCTCCCCCTCATGCCTGTGCATGGTGGGTCCTTGTTTTAGATCCTGGCCTTGGTCCCCAGGGGACTTGCCACAATCTGATGGAGGAGGAGAAATCTCAGATCCCCTTCCTCCTGTTGGCCCCCTCCCTCTCACCCAGCCTCCCTCCGCTGGGCTTCCTCCTGCTCTCCCTCTCTCACCTGCCTCTCCACAATGACCTTCCTCCAAAGCAGGGTTTCTTTAAGATCTCCACGGCTGGCAGACAACCTAACAAAGAGCCTCAATAAGGCCACAGGAGGCAGACGGCTCATCAAGATGTACCTCTCTGCTCTGCGTCCCGGCTGTCACCTCCGTGCTGCTTTGTCGTCCCAGACAGCAAAACAAAACAGCTGTGCATGCACACTCACATGCACACACACAGAGAAATGGTCCCTGTAGGGGGCCGCGCTCCCAAGGGCTCGGAAACTCCAGCTTTTACTCCCCAGCTCTCATCTGTACGTTGTCCTTCCTCCTTCTCCACCTTGACACGCAGCCTGGACACCGTGTGTTTAACTGGACGCAGAGCTGCCAGGCTAGGAGGGCCGTCTTTCATTACAAAGGCCAGGGGACTGGTGGGTCACGGAGCGCCAGTGACGGAAGGGGCCCTGATCTCCATCATTCCACCTCCTCGTCTACAGGACAGCAACCCAAGGCCGGGGCCGTTGAGTTAATTAACTAGCTGGCAGCTAGTTAATGAGCAACGGAGTCCAGAATCTGGGTGCCCTGACGCCTAGGCTTGGGCTCTTTCTGCCCTTCCCGTCCTCACTCAGCTGACAAGCAGGCACTGGGGTGTGGGGAGGCAGGGCCCTCTTCCGGGACAGCTTGCCGTATAGGAAAGGAGGAGAACCATACCACCAAGAGCTGCCATACACGTTCTGTGATAAGAACCACAAGGGTGGCCCCCAAAAGGGCCATAGATCAGAAAAGGAGACGGTCAAGTCCATGGCCTAGCCAGGGAAACTGCATAAAGGAGGGGACTTTCTGGTTGAGTTTTAAGCAGGGGGACACTACCCATGGGTGAGGAGAGTGCTCCGGACTCAGGGAAGGGCCTGCTTTCCTGGAGCTGGGGAAGCAGAAGTGTGTTCAGGGGCAGCTGAGCACTGAGCTTGAAGGGTAGGATGCAAGTGGCATCTGTGTAGGGTGAGAGGCAGGGAGTTCCCGGGAGGTAAGATGCTCTCTCCTCCTGGGACAGCAGACCAAGCCCTCCGCTGCTGTGCCGCTGCTGTGTCGCAGACAGAAAGGAGGGTGTAGGAGCATCCTGCCAGGGAAGTCCTGAGTCAAGGGGGTTTCTCAGTCCACACCCCGGGTCCTGACGATGAATCCCCTGAGGTAAGCAGACGAAATGGAAGAGGGACACTGGGGTACCCGTGACATACTGCCAACACGCCACGCCTTCTGTTTGTCAGGCAGGTTTTAAGAGACGCAAGGAAGGGTCATTTAGGGGTCAGTGCTCCAGGCTGGGGCTCCTCCTCTGCCTCAGTCCTGGCTTCCTTGTCTTCGGATCAGATACTTGCCAACTCTTGGAATATCAATTTCTCCAGCTACTTCGTCCTGACTCGTTAGTAAAGAGGCCTCTGAGCTCTTGAATACCAGTCTCTTCCCTTTGCATTCCGCCCCGCCCCCCCCCCCATATAGATAAGAGCAAGGAGCTCCAGAAGCCGAGCCTGGTGAGGTGGGGGTTCCTCCAGGGCTCCCCCCAGGGCACTACAGACAACCCGTCAACCAGCTCCAGCAGGTCCCCAGGTGCCCAGCCTGCGCAGCCTGGCATTTCGCTCCCCTAAATAGCCCTGGTCTGGGGTCACTGAGCCTCAGTGACCTCTGCGTGACCATGTGACAGTAGCTGTGTGTGGCCCAGGGCCCCTTTCTGGAGGACCGCCAGGCAGATGGGCCCCCTCTACACCCTTCCAATTACCCTCTTGGGAATAAATCCCTCTGACAAAGGGCAGGCTCAGTTTTCCCTCCTCCACAGGCAGGACAGGAGATGCTGCCCCATGTATCTCTGAAAGGAGACAGACCCAGCTTCCCAGGGGCCCTCTCTGCCCTCTGGGTCCTGCCCCTCTTTTCCCAAAGGGAAGGGGACACGCGGGAGAGAGACAGAGGAGGGGCCACAGCGGGGCAGGGGGAGCTGGGGGAGCTGGGGAAGGAAGACGGAGGTGCGTGTAACACGGCTTCCCTCCCTGGAGTTGGAGGCGATTAAGCCACAGGCGCCTTTTTCCACCGGAATGTGAGCATTTCAAGGGTGACGCTGCCCTCCAGGCCGGCCGCGAGCGCGCTGGTGTGTGTGCCTGTGTGCGCGCCTCCGCCTGCGTGCGCTACTGTCGCTGTCATCACAGATGTACCCCCAGCTGTCGCTCCATTGCTCCGTCTCTTTGCTCGCGCACACGCGCGCTCTCTCCTCCTTTCCCCTTTATCCCCTCTCCTATCTGTCTCCCTCTGTCCCTCCCTCTTTCCTTCTCAGTTTGTTATTGACCCAGCAGCCCCGTCCCCTGGCAGCGCGGCAGCGGCAGGCATTCCATCTCCCCCGTGCTGTGTGCTGCATGCCAGCTCCCTGCTCCCAGTGGACCGGGGGTCTCAGTGCCCACTGCACTCTGCTTGGCAGTGCTGTCTGGATTGCTCCAGGAATCCCAGGAGGGGCTCACTGGACGGTTCAGAGCTACTTGATTTAAGGAGCTTGCGGTCAGGGCGAAGAAAGGTGAGTGCTGTGCACTGGAGGGAAGGAATGAAGGGCTAGTGAGGGTGCGGGGGGGCTGGGCATGGGGACCGGGGGCTCATCTTTGCTGGATCTCTTTGCCCTGCACAGAGAGCTGCTGTTGTCGCCTGCGTGGGGGCAACTGCTGGGGCTGGGGAGGCGCTCAGGACTGGACATCTGAGCAGCCCAAAGACACAGGACACAGGAAACTCTGACCTGACAGTGTTGGGGACATGAACTGGGATTCTGCTGGGGAGGGGGTAGCTAGGGAAGGAAGCGGAGAGGAGAACAGTGCCAGTGCCAGATGACAGGCCTGGGTGGCATAGAAACCAGTCCCTGCAGCATGGGGAGAGCCAGCCAAAAGCCCTGTGCCGTCTGCATGCCCGGCTCAGCACAGACAGCCTGAGGAACTTGGGTGCTGCGGGAAAGCGGGTGCTGGTGACAGGGCTGGTACAGAGGATGGCTTGGGATGGAGGTGGCAGGCTGCAGGACTGTGCTGTCTGAGGCATGGGAGTAGACCTTGGGGTCCCAGCTTCTTTACAGGATGCCCTCAGCGTGGGGTTGCTGGTCTTCAGGTGGCTGTCCTTGGACAAGGGTGCAGAGGAGCCTTCCCAGCTGGACATGGGTCCATGCAGCCTGGGGCGAAGCTCCCTAGTGGGGGCGTGGCTGGGAGCAGCCCAGAGAGAAGAGCCTTGCAGCTCTTCCTTGGCAAGCCTGAGGCCTGCTCCCAGCCCACTTGGGCTAGGGGTGGGGAGTGGGGGAACCAGGCTTGTGAGAACTCGCTCAGGGGGTCCCCCAGCTACACACTGGTCCTCTATCTATAAATGAGTCAGGAAGCCTTGGTAGGGGTTGTGGACTCAGGTTAAGGGGAGCAGGTGGGATGCAGCCAGGTCATGCCTACCTGGCTTCCTGACCTAGTGGGGCATGGACACCCCAAGCTGGAGCAGGACAGTTGCTCTTAGCAGCCCCGAGGCCCATTCTGACAATGCTGGAGAGAGGGCAGTGTGACCAGGAGCCCGACCTCCCAGCTCAGTTCCATTCGGCTGCTCTGTCTTCTCCCTAAGCTGAGCTGTCCTTGTTTCCAGGGGTGGTTGGTGGTGAGGCTGGCACCTGGCTGTCAGGATGTGTTGGGCATCGCCTTGGTGTAACTCAGATTGACACCCGGCAGCTTAGATAACTACATCAGCTGGGGGAGGGGAGGGGAGCTGAGCACGTGGAGATGGGCGGGGGAAGTCCAGCCTGGAGGGAAACCCACAGCAGCTTCCCACCCCACCTTCCCACTGGCACAGGCTCTGGCACTGCCAAAAAAGGGAGACCAGGAAAGCCAGCCCGGGGGTGGCAGGAGGAGGAGGGAGATTTCTTAAGCTACCGCTCTGGTTTCTTCAGGGTTTGGCTGGAAGCCGTGTCTGGGGCCCAGGATGAGCAAACCCTGTCTCCATTTCCCAGGCACCGAAGCTGAGGGGCCATGTCAGGGTCGCTTTGGGTGGAGTGGGCAGCTCAGGGAGGCAGCAGGGGTGGGGTTTTATGTAAGGGTTGGGTGTCTGAGCAGCTCCGGGGCCAGGAGGGGAGGAAGGAGTTCTGGCAGAGGCAGTTCCCCTCCTCCTTTGCCCAGAACAGGCCTCCTCGCCCCCACCTGCCTGGGCCGCCGCCCTGAGCTCAGATCCTCGGCCTCAGTGAGCAGGCTTAGGTCGTTCACATCGGAGGGAGAGCGGCTCCTGGGAGGAGTGACGCAGGGGGCTTCTCTGTGCCACTTCCCGGAGGGTCTCTTTGGGATTGGGAATATTTGACAAGGAAATGGGAGTGCAGGAGGCTGGGGGTGAGAATGGGGCATGTGTTTAAAAAAGAAGCAGGAGTGTTTGTCTGTTCCAAGTACAAATATAGAGGTTTGGAAAGCCGGCTTCCGTGCTGCCTGGGCAGTGTGTGTCATGGGGGGACGGGCAGGGAAGAGATGGAGAATGTTTCCTGGAAGGCCTGGATGGCCAGGCCGGTGGCAGCAGGGGGAGAGCCCAGCCTAGACAGCTATGCCAGTCCCCCACAGTCCCCACCACATGGAGCTCGGCTGGGATGCCCCCTGTCCAGGTCCCTCTCCCCACTCCTGGGGGGTAGGACACTGTCCTTGCAGCCCCAAGAAGTGGCCCCAATCCTGGCCCTGCCTCTCTGCAGCCTGTGGCCTTTGCCTCTCTGCAGAGTGGAGAGGGTGCGGGGGAGCCTGGGGAGGCCCTTTTTGCTTCGAAGTCCTGTGAGTCTCTGATGCTGAGGGGTGCAGAGGCCTGGTCTTGAGTCAGGGACACTGGACTAAAGGGAGATACCAGGGCAGGGTGTGCACGGCAGGGCCAGCATGGTGTCCCAGGGGTCAGGCACCCCCAGGTCAAGGCACAATGGGCTTCAACTGGCTGTGAGGCTTGGACACATGAGTTGGGGCATGGACATGACAGAGAAGTGTCAGAGGAAGGGCGCGGAATCAGGCCCGTGGTGGGTCTGTTGGAGGTTTCTAGCTGGAAACCGAGCGATCCAGCTTGGAGGGTGAGCCTCCATTTGTAGGAGGAACGGAAGGGGCAGAAGGGCTCCAGGCCACCCTGACCTGAGGGCTTGCAGGGAATGAGAGCCTGGCAGACTGCTCCTCGCCCTGGGGCTGAGGGAGGCTCTCCCCCAGGGGAGCAGCTCCCATCCCCTGGGTCTCTGTCGTGCCCACTCAGCTCAGCAGGAGCACACGGAGCCTTCTGCTCCTACCGCTGCCTCCTGTTCCATCACTACCTCCCACCCCCGGCTTCCCCGGAGCTCGCATCCCACCCTCCTCACCTTAGCACCCAGCTGCCACCAGAAGGGTTTCTAGAAAGCCCTTTTCACTCCCCTGATAAGATCTTGGCCTCCTGGGACCTTCTCGCACTGCATCTGTGATATTACTGGAAAGAGGGGTGCTTGGGAGGGGAGACCTGGCTTGTTTCTTCATCAGTAGGAGGGGGATAAGGACACCTGTCTTCTCAGATCCAGCGAGATAATGGCTGAGGAAATGCTGCATTAACTGTGAAGGGATGTGCAAAGGAAAGGTTGCATCTCTCTTTTTGACAGACCTAGAAGCCTACAAAGGCAGCTGAGTTAGTAGCTTTGTCTCCAGACCACTTGGGTCCAAAGCTGCATTCTTCCATGGCCTGACCTGAGGCAAGTTACTTAATTTCCTGTGCCTCAGTTTCCTCCATCTGCAAAATGGTGTTAATAATAATACTAACCTCAGAGAGAGGTTATGAAGACTGAGAACATGGCACAGGTGTTTGTGGCTGTGATAACTGTTTCTCTGCTTAGAGCCTCCTGAAGGTGGTGCTGCTGTCAGTGTCCTCACCCTCTGCCCAGGTCCTGCCATCCCAGGTGGTGCCTGCCTCCAGAGACTGACCAGCAGGGCCTCCTGCAGGTCCAGGGTCTGCGGGAGAGAAGTGATCTTGCCCAGTGCTTCTCAGATGTGAATGTGTTATATGAATTGCCTGGGGATCTTGTTAAAATGCAGATTCTGATTCAGTTCGCCTGGGCTGGGGCCCAGAGATTCCGCGTTTCTGAGAAGTTCCCAGATGAGGCCTGTGTTGCTGGTCCGTGGACCATAATTTGAGTAGCAAAGAGCTAGGGCACGGAACCCTCTGTTTCTGGTTGTTGGGGGGGCTCCTCACCTGACTGCTGTTAGCCCCTCAGCCCCATCCTCCAATCCTGATTCTCTCAGCAGCCAGTGAAGGAGGCCCAGGGACCCTGTTGGGGCCGACCCCTTCTCTCCCTGTCCCTGTCCCTCGGCCTGGGACAAAAAGCCCCATGAAGACTGGGAGCAGGGCCAGCATCCAGAGCCATGAGGCTGTGGGACTTGGAGACAGGAGACCTTTCTGTCAGGAGCCCCCCAACACTTTTTTGTCCCCTATTCTCGACCCTGGGTGGGGACATCCCTCCCAGACAGTGTTAATTTATTCCAACAGCCAGCCAGTGCCTGCTGCTGCAGTTGCTCTCCCAGCTTCCTAATGTAGGTCACCCCCTCTCCTAATGAAGCTGGATGCTTCTGGGGGCATGAAGGGGGCCTCTGGTTGGAGGTAGGCTGGTGGGCAGAGGGCCAAGGAGCTAGGGTGTGCTGGGCTCGAACCCTACATCCCCATAAGGGTGCCCAAGGAGGCAGGGTCAGGTCCCCAGGGAGCACAGGCTACATTCCCATGGGTGTGCAGGGCGTTGTCATTGTATGCCTCCAGAGATACCAGGGCCAATAATGTCCTGCCACCAAGGCAAGATGATGCCTTTGGGTTTGCATCATGGCGACTTGCCTGATCTGTTTTGTTCAAGTGACATGGTTCAAGGCTGGGAGGGGGCATCAGGACCCACACTCAAGGCCATTTTCCCCACTGACTGGTGCTTGTGATCAACCCCTGGGATCACTACATAGGGGTGACACTGAGGCTGGGGAAGGTTGGTGGGGTGGAAAAGAGGAGCCTACTTGAAAGAGAGGAGGAGGCTCGGGTGGAAATAGGGCCTGGGCTTGGGGGCAAGGGATTCTCTGCCACCTGCCTCCCGATAGGAAGCTAGAAAGAAGAGGAGCGGAAGCCAGGATTCGGCCTCCAGGCCCAGGACGAGTCTGAGTATAGAAAATGTCATGGGTTAGGGACTGCTCTGTAGGGTTTTCTCCAGACCTTCCTTCTAGGCTGGAGTGTCCCCATGCATCTGTCTGCTGGGGTCATTGGGACCTGCCGGGCATCTCACTCTGCTGCCTGAGTGTTGGCATCTGAGGAGGAGTGCTGGAGGGCTGTCGGCAGGGTGTGCGTGTGCGCACATATGTGTGCGTGTGTGTGTAAGCACGTGCCTAGCTGCATGCTCTCTGTCGGGGTGTGTTTGCACCACGTGCTGTTTTGGGAGCTCCAAGCACGTGTCTGGGAGCCTGTTTGTGCACCTTGCTCTGTGCACACATAAATGTCTCCCCACAGGTGCCATTGCTGGGTGACAGTCACCAGGGAGTGGATGAGCAGCTGGCTCAGAAGACTGCAACCCCTTCCCTGACCTTCCGTGCGACCTTGGCAAGTTGGTCTTTGTCTCTGTGCCTTGGGTAGCTGCTGACCTGCCTAAATCTGTGTGAGTGCTGTGAGTTCTGACGTGAGGGCTCCTGCTGGAGTAAGAGACTGCTCTGAGAGTCCAGGCCGAAGGGATACAGGGAGGGTGAACACTGTCCTCTGTGGTGGAGGTCTGTGACGGCTGCGTGTGTGCGCATGCCCCACAATGAGCATCACGTGAAGGTGCCCAGGCCTGGCTCGGGCTCAGGAATGCTGCCGTGTGCTCAGGAACAGAGAAAAGACCCATGTGTGAGGTCAGCGGGACCAGGAGAGAGATGTTACATAGGCCTGCTGTAAGCTGCCGGCACTCCCACGGAGGAAGGAACTGAGGTTTCCTCCTGTCTTTCAAGGCTGCCGTCCAGCCTGGGCAGTCACCGGCATTAGCTTCTAAGGCGGTGTGTACTAAATACAGCAAATGTCAACTCTCTCCCCTTAACTAGATTGATCCTCAGAAATTCCACCCTCTAAGTACTATGGTTCTCACTTTTATAGATAAGAAAACTGAGGCCCAGAGAGTTTACGTGGTTTGTTTAAGGTTGCACAGCTAGGGAGTGGTAAGACAGCATTTTGAACCCAGAGTCCTTCCTGACAGACTGGGCATCTGAGGCAGGAGCCTGCTGGGGCCTGGCCCTGGGTCACAGCTGGAGAGTGACCCTGACTGCTCTGAGGGTCTCCTCCACGCCTTGGCCCAGGGCCTCAGGCACCACCCAGAAGGCAGTGTGGGGACCAGGCTGCTCCCCATACCCCAAGTCTGTGCCCCCTTCTGTGGCTCTTTCTGCCAGTTCCTACGAGGCCTTCACAACCTGGAGCCATGCGGAGGAGGAGCAGGGAGAGGAAAGAGAAAGCCAAGAGCAACAGACAGCGCCCTCCCTCCTGAGCCGGCTGCCCTTGCCGGGAGCACAGTGGAAGGTCCCTGGGGGCTGCTGTGTTCTAACTGGGCTCTGTGCCCCTGCTGTAACCAAGGTTGGGGGAGAGGGAGGCAACGAGAGACACCAAGAGCTGCAGCAGGACCCCAAATGCCTGAGGGAGCCCCACTTCACAGAGACTGAGATTTCAGCGTTGAACACACTAGCTTTCCAGCAGCTCCTTCCCCCTCCTCAGCTGTCTGCTCAGCTCTGCCACCGGCTCTTCAGGCTCCCAGACTTAAACAGGCCTGGGGTGGTCGGGGGTGCTGGGGGGAGAGGGCAACCAAGAATCACCCAGGGACGAATGTGGCAACCAAGGAAGGTCGGACTCTGGGAGCCAGCCTGGAGCAGGGGGCTGATGGCTACCGTGCCCTCTGGGAGCTGGAGGGGCTGCGCCATCGTCAGTTTCCCCCAACCCCCCATCCCATTCCCTGCCTTTCCTGTGCCAGCTGCAGTGGAAGCCATGACACTCCCCTTTCCTACCCCTCCGGTGGGGTAGGGCTGCGACAGGAGAGGCTGCGGCCTCTGTCTAAGGGCCCTTGGCCATATCTAGAAGGAAGTGGAACCAGAGGACGGCCCGCGTCCACTTACGAGTCATTGGGTGGGGCAGGGCAGGTCCTCAAGACCCTAGAAAGGACGAGGCCCCCCTTCTGAGCCCGCTAGAAGAGCAAGCTGCTCTCTGCACCCCCGGCCTGCTTGCAGCCTTCCTGCTCCGCACTCACCCTCTCCTCTGTGTCCCTGTCTCCTGCGTGGGCAGCTGCTGCAGCATGAACCCCTTGAGCTGATGAGTCTTATAAACCGGAGGGCCGAAGTCGGAGCCTTGCAACTCACCTCTCAGGAGAAGGTGGAGGGGAAGCAGGGAGCCACCCAGCAGCGAGAGCGGGGCCTGGGCCTCGCACCCCACTGGCCAGCGGACTCTGCGGAGGGCCTGGTCTCTGCCGCCTCGGGGGCCATGGTAAGAGCAGCAGTGGGACTGGGGAACAGTGTTGCTGTGGCCTCAGTGCTGATAGGAGACGCATCGTCAATTTCCCCTCCTGTGACGTGGGGGAAGCCCAGACACAGAGGAGCCATATCGCTCCAAAAACGTCTTAGAGATCAACACAACAGGGAGGCAACAAGAGGAGGTGGGGGAGGGGGTGGAGCGGGGTGGAGAGGGGCACTGGAGAGGCCATGGCAGCAATTCCTGCATCCACAGCCCAGAGCTCAGCACTGTGCCCCAAGCCAGGGGCTCCTCCACACCACCCCAGGCCCCTCAGGAAGTTGAGGGTTTCCTGGCTTCTCTGCCGCCTCATTCCCCTTCTCCCCCCACACCCAGGGAATCATAGCTGAGAACAGAAGAGGAAATGCTGAGGAGTGTAAAGAGACACCAGGGCCCTCTCCCTAACCCCTGGGCTGGAACAGGGCCTCGAACGCCTGCTTCCGCTCAGCGCGCATGCTGTCTCTCTCCCTCGCTCTCTCTCAGGACTGACAGGTAGCACATACCAAGGGGCTCCTCTCTCCCGAGAGGTGCAGGCCGTGAGAACCGTGGCATTCACCATGCTGGCCCCGGGCAGTGGCCCCGAGCAGAGGACCAGGCTGGCCGTGCAGTGGAGGCACATCTCCTGTGAGTACAGCGGATGGGGGTCAGGGCGGTGGGCAGGGCACAGCGTGAGCGACGCCTCCGGGTCTGTAGGAGCTGCCCAGGATGCCTAAGGCCTGGTTTTGGGAAACCAGGGCTTACCCGCTATAGTCCTGCCCACGGGACTGGCACCTGTGGCAGCTGCTGAGAGCTTTAGTGGTTAGATCGGGAGCGGGAGGCCATGGCAGGTGGTTGTGTCTCCCTAGGTAGGGCTGTTCTTGTCCCTAGGAGGTTTGCCCCCACCCCCAGCAGTCCCAGCTCCTGCAAGCCCTGTTGCTCAAAATCCCCTCTTGTCTCGCCTCGACCTTCGGCAAGGTGAACCTGAGACCTCCTTATGCACAGTCTTCCCAAATCTGAAATGGAGGGAACTGGTGTGCCCTTGGGATGCGGTGCTGGAAGAGACCTTAGGGATTCGGTCCAACTCCTTCTTCTGCATATGGGGAAACTGAGCCCTCTGTTTCCTGTAAGGAAACCTATAAGTTGCTAGGGTGAAAGAAGCCCTGAGAATTTTCTTTATATGAGATAAAGGGATGAGGTCAGTAAGGACTGGTTTGCCCAAGGCTACATGGTAAGAGTAAGAAATGGTCCAGAGGGACATGATTCTGCCTGACTTCTCCCTGCCACAGTCAGCTCTGTGAAACAGCTGCCCCACAACATAAGCAGCCTGAATTATTCACCACATGAGAGTGGCTGATCCCAGAGCAACTCAGATCCCCTTTCAACCTCATTCTAGAATCACTCAACACCTTGCAATACAGGATGATGTTTTCTTGTCACTAGAGCTTTGATGCCACCCTGAATTTCTCAGGGGTGGGGGCATTGGCTTCCAGCTATGTTGTCACTTTTGCAGGAAGCTGGATGGGTTGAATTTTCTTCCAGGGAAAGTGGAGTCTGAAGAATGTTGATTTTTAAGTGGCGTGGCGGAGGTAGTGGGGCAGGCTGACCTGGCAACAGACGGGCTCAGAGGGTGAGAGAGTGAGGGATAGCAGCGGCCACCCCACGTGGCCAGGAATGGCCTCCAATTGGCTTCCATGGCCATGCCTGTGCTCATTTCCTCTTGAGAACAAAGAGGCCCAGGTGTCAGCCTTGCAGTGTGTCTCAGCTGTCATCGATCCTCCAGACAGAGGAGGGGTACAGTGCCATCCTGTCCCTTCAGGCTCTGCCCTTTGGGACACCAGACAACCAGACACCTATCAGACGGAGACTCAAGACTATCCCATCCGGGCACCAGGTGGGAGTGGCTGCTGCCACTCCGGGTGGGGCCAATGGGGCCATGAGCTGGGTCTGAACTTCCCCAATACTCCTCCAGCTGGGTCTTTCCTCTGGGCTTGGGGGCGTTGAACTATTTTGAGCTCATCCCTTTTCCCTTTCACAGTGAGCAGGCTTCTCTGATACTCAGCAGGACAGTAAAGGGGGGTTTTGAGGTCACTCTGAGAAAGGGCCCCTGGACAATGAAATGAGCTGCTCTGTCATGATTGTTCTGAGGGCTGCTACCCCCAGCCCCTCCACAGGCTGGGCCCTGTGCTTGCTACTTAGAGGGGTCCTGGGCAGAGGGTCCTGGAAAGGAATGCTGTTAAGGGATCCATCCTGCAGCCACGCCTAGCAACAGGAGCCCTGGCTAAGGGCATGGATGGCTTTAGAATTAGAACAAATATGGAACTTGTCTTGGGCCCCGTGATTTGCAGTGGCTTGTGCCCAGGTATTCTCCAACATGGAAGTGGAATTGTGCATCTTATCCTCATCATTTCCACAGTGGTCTCTGGAGGGGGACCCCAGGGGGGCCTGGGCTCCCAGTCCTCACACTAAGTTACTGGCCCCATCTTGGAGATCTGACGTGAGGTTCATACAGCTCTGACAGTGCTCAGGAGGTCACAGGAGGCAGGGGTAGGCATGCCTCTCTGTGCTCTCCCCCCGTCATGCATGGCACATCTCAGCCTGACGCAGCTCCAGGCCGAGGGTCGGGGTGAGAGGGGAAGGAAGCAGCAGCATGGCCATTTTCTTTTGGAAAGAGACTTTCTCCTGGCAGTGACACTGGGAGAGGAACACGGGAGCAGGTTTCTCTGACATCCTTACATCCTTTATTTTGTTAACACCTCTGGTGTCAGTGGGGCCCAAGCTCCCATAGGAGATGAACTGTGGGAGGCCCCATGAGCTGAGGCATCTTTGTGGACCAGCACTGCTTGTCCTCTGGACTCAGGCCTGCCATTCTGTAGGATCATACTCCACTAAAGTGATTTCTTTGTCAGAGGTGCTGAGAGGCAAGGAGCCCTGCTGACCGTGTGTGATGTCAATATAGAAGCGTTTCAAGTTAATTGTCTTCTTATGTGGTCAGTAAATGTTTGTGCATTGATTGTGGCTTGAGCCAAAGGAGATAAAGCCAAGAGGCCATTATGACATGAACTAGAAAGGGGGGGATAGAAGCGGGAGGTGGTTACCCTCAGCCTGTTGCTTTCTTTCCACCTGTCTGCCCTCCTACCCCCCGTCCCTCCAGGGATCACCTGCTGGGTCACCCTGTATGCTGTGGAGGCCCTCCCTGCCTGCCCTTTCTCCTGTAAATGTGACAGCCGCAGCCTGGAGGTAGATTGTAGTGGGCTAGGCCTCACCATGGTGCCCCCGGACTTGCCTGCTGCCACCCGAACCCTCTTGCTCTTGAACAACAAGCTGAGTGTCCTGCCAAGCTGGGCGTTCGCTAATCTATCCAGCCTGCAGCGGCTGGACCTATCCAACAACTTCCTGGACCAGCTGCCCAGCTCCATTTTCGGGGACCTGACAAATCTGACGGAGCTGCAGCTGCGCAATAACAGCATCAGGACCCTGGACAGGGACCTGCTGCAGCACTGCCCCCGGCTCCGCCACCTGGACCTGTCCATCAACGGCCTGGCCCAGCTGCCCCCTGGCCTCTTCGATGGGCTCCCGGCGCTGCGCTCCTTATCACTTCGCTCCAACCGCCTGCAGAACCTGGACCGGCTGACATTTGAACCCCTAGTGAGCCTGCAGCTGCTGCAGGTTGGGGACAACCCCTGGGAGTGTGACTGTAGCCTGCGTGATTTCAAGCACTGGATGGAGTGGTTCTCCTACCGAGGTGAGCACAGCCAGCCCTGCTTGGGTGTGAGGAATTGGGAGGACCATCTGGGACCAACACATTTCCTAGAGGCTGCGCTCTGACTCCGGGCTGAGGTCGGGGGGAGAAGGCGGGCCCTACCTCTCCACCAGCTGGGCTGGAAGAATCCTGGCCTCGCCTCCAAACGATGGGGGTGGGGGGTGGGTAGGGGTGGCTCTCCCTCCTCCCCACTGCTCTCCTTTCGCCTCTTTGCGCCCTCCTTGCTCTCCGCCTCCTTTCTCGGCAGTTCTTCTCTCATACTGACTCACAGTAACTTCATCTCGCTTTTGTAGGTTTCATGAGGGAACTTAGAGACACAGTATCATTTTTCTTTCCTTCCCACCAGGTATGCCTCTGGGCTGCCCTGGCACGGTAGAAGGAAGAAGAAACCCGCCCTTGCTCTTCGGAATCATACAGCGATCTTTTAAATATCCGCTGTTTCAGGAGGGTAGAACAGAGTTTAAATCTATAGATAAAACAAAATTTTCATTTTGATGATGATCTCAATTCCCTCTTCCCAGAAGTTTTGTTATCAAAGCTTTTCATAAGCAGTCAAATAGCTTTGGTTTTACTCTCCGTCCCTTTCCCCTTTCATTAACCTGGGGGAAGTTCTACAATGACCTATGACGGGATTAAATGAAATGGAAAAGGAGGGCAACGAAGTAAGCATAGTGGTTAAAAGTGCCAGATGTGGGTTTGACTTGTGGCTCTTCCAGTTACTAGCTGTGTGATCTTGAGAAAGTTGATTAGCCTCTCTGTGGCAGTGCCCTCATCTGTAAAATAGGGAGAACACTAATATCTACCTCATAGAATCATTATGAAGATTAAATAGATCATACATGTAGAGTGTCTTGAGAAGTACTCAGCGTAAAGTAAGTCCTCAAACTTCTTCATTTATTTGTTCCTTTGCTAGTGGTAGTCATAATATTAAATGGACGTAATAAGACACAATTTGGTAGACACTCAGTGACTATTTGCTGAATGAATGACTCAGTGGGAACAGAATGCTAATGCTTTTCATCAGTCTTGCTCCTTTTGTTTCATATCCGGCCACAATCTCAATTATCTGGATGACATTCTCATGTGTTAGTTAATTAAAAATATTTTACAAACTATAAAGTGCCACAAAATAGTCACTATGATAATTTCTCCCAGTTTTTGAGTGGGGAAATAATAATACTTGTATAGTCTCCAGTTTACAAATATCTCTTCATGTACGTTATCTATTTTAACGCTTACAGCAGCTAACTGAGATAGTCCTTCTTATTTTACAGCCAAGAAAAGCAAGACTCATACACAATTAAATAAGTTAAATAATCTGCACAAGATGACACAGCCAGGATTCCGCCTCAGGTCTCTGGAGCAGGAAGATGGGGTTGCCCCATCTCAGCACCAGCTCCTGCCTCCACGAAGTGGCCCTGGATGCTCTGACTGGACGTTAGGTCACCTAGGCAGTCAGGGCACAGGGGCCTAGAGGCCAAGCGTCTTCAGACCAGACCAACGTGTTGTCCCTGAGGACTGTCCTTGCCCTTTTACACACTTATCAGGAACTAAATTCTCAGCACAAAAGGGCATAGAATGGAAATGTGTATTTTCAGAACTGTCCAAGAGTAGAGTTGTTTTCAACCTTGCACTCCTTCAAAAAGAAAAAATCCTGGGATGTTTTCATCAGCATCTCAGGAAAAGAGTGATGTCTATTGTATGAGGAGACTTGAGGCAGCTGGGCCAGGAGGGGGAACTGGCAGAGACGGAGCGGCAGGAGCTGAGTGCGCCCAGCAGGGGTCTATTGCCCGCATCTCGATTTCACTGGAAGCGGACACAGGGCCAGTATCCGACTGTGACCCTCTAGGGGACGTCTAGGCAGCCTATTCTCCGTAGCCCCACCCGTGTTCTGCATCTACTTCCCCCACGGTCGAGTCCACCTTCACCATGGCCGTGGTGAGCCTGTGCACCTTGCTGCCCACACCCCTCATCAGCACTGGCCCCCTCTCCTTTGCCCTCACGAGTCTTTAGGATTCCCTCCCAAGATGCCTCTGTACTCAGAGATGCTGTGGTTGGGGTGCCGATGGGGCCACTGGATTGCTCTTAGAGAGGAAAAGAAAAACATTCTCGCCCAACCTCTTTCCTCCCTATTCCCAGGAGGTACTCTTAGACAATCAAAAGGTCCTGCGTGGAGGAGTGGGGGCTGTGCAACAGATGTGAGTTTTGTTCTTTTTGTGAGACAGAAGAACCCCGGAGGCGTGAGAAGCTGTGCTGAGAATGGTGCCCCGGGTTCACAGAGAGGGGGAGCAGGCAGACCAAGGGTCAAGGAGGGGGGCAGAGCCATAGTCTGAGCAGGGCTCTTGGCTCTCTCTCTGCACTGACAGCTCGTTCCCGAGCCTCCACCTATCAGCACTGTCTCCCTCGTGTGGCTCAGTTTGACTCTGGAGAGAGCAGGCTTGACTGAAATGGTTGTGTGCTTCTCTATAAAATGGCAATAATGACAATATCCATCTTATATGGCTTCTGCATGGATTAGATGACGTGAGATATGCGCCTCACCTACCGGGGTACTTGGCTCAATAAATGCTAGTCTCCCTTCTCCCTTCCTCTCCCATCCATGTGATTCCAGGACTGTCTGCATTGCTGATAGAAACTAGACCTTCTGGGCCTTCTGTTTCAGAGACCTGGGGGTGGGGAGAGGGAGTCCAGGTTCTGGATGTGTGGTCAGCCCCTCCTTTTTTTCTGCCCTGGATGCAGGGGGGCGCCTGGACCAGCTTGCCTGCACCCTACCCAAGGAGCTGAGGGGGAAGGACATGCGGGTCGTCCCCATGGAGATGTTCAACTACTGCTCCCAGTTGGAGGATGAGAATAGCTCAGCTGGGCTGGATATCCCTGGGCCACCCTGCACCAAGGCTAGCCCAGAACCTGCTAAGCCCAAGCCAGGGGCCGAGCCCGAGCCCGAGCCCAGCACAGCCTGCCCCCAGAAGCAGAGGTACCGGCCAGTGAGCGTGCGGCGGGCCATCGGCACGGTAATCATCGCAGGGGTCGTCTGCGGCATCGTCTGCATCATGATGGTGGTGGCTGCTGCCTATGGCTGCATCTACGCCTCTCTCATGGCCAAGTACCACCGGGAGCTCAAAAAGCGCCAGCCCCTGATGGGGGACCCAGAGGGAGAGCACGAAGACCAGAAGCAGATCTCTTCTGTGGCGTGAGAGCCCAGCCCCACCTGGCGCAGGTAGGAAGAGTGGGGAGAACACGACAGGGATCGCTTCCATTAGGGCTGGCCTGCCCCCGTCGCAGCCCCCACTTCCACCTTCCTCCCCAGCTCTGCAGCACACAAGCCACACAGTGTGGCTTACTCCATGGACTTCCAAGTCCCTGCAGAAGCCACACTGTGCTGAAGGTTCCCACTGATGCTCGTCTCAGGGCCACCAAATCTTTGGCACACCTGGGGGATCTCCCTAAGCTCCTGGCCATAGGGCAGAAAGGATGTGTGTGCAAGCGGGGGCTTCTGCACTGAGTATTCCCCTGTTGCCTTCCTGCCCTGAGCGTAGTCCAGCTGGGGGACTCTCCCTGCCTCTTGCTCAACCCCACCTCGTCTGCATTTAGAGGGTGGGGAGGGAGTGATATGGCGGCCAGGGTCGATTTTGGTGACTCTCTTCTGAGCCAGGAAGATATTCTTAACCGCCCTTCAGTGTGACAGTTGTGTCCAGCTTTCACCTGCTGGTAGTAATGTGCAATCACACCAGCCAAGGTGTCCGGACCCAGCACTTAGAAACACAGCGCTGTGATTAGCACATACTGCCTGGGCTGAAGCCATTCTGTCACCATATCTGCTACAGATCACACTGCTCCTGGAGTCACTAATCCACTCTCACAGACTCACAGCATCACCAGTGCAGTCACATTGATTGAAAATAATCACACCTCCCCCTGACACAGAGTCACATGGAGATAAGGGCATGAGAGCTGAGGAGCAGGGACGTGTGTCCCCTTGGATCACTAGCCCTCAGACCGCAGAGCCTTTCGCTGTGTACTGCAATCTTCTCAAGTCAACGGGAAGAAACCCAAACCCACAGCATAAAGGTTCCTTGGAGGTGCTCTGCAGTGGTGCTGCGGGATGCGCCTGCCCGTCACCATGGTAACCCTCTCACTCCTCCCCTGCTGGGTTTTCCAGGGACGCAGCCCGAGGCCTTGAAGCTGCAGCATGTGCGGATGGCAGCCTCCTGAGAACCCAGCCACCTACCACTGGGCATTTCTTCCATGCTGCCTGAGGACATCGTCACTGCCAAGCCCCGTGGGGACAACCACCAGTTTCACTCCTATAACCTGCAACCCAAGAACCGTTGCTCTGTACCTCTCACCCCTCCATCTTCAGCATTTCCGGGCCTGTGACCCCGGGGCGGGGACTGGGTCATGCTCTGTGGTTGGTGGCATCTTGGGAATGCAGGTGGCCCTCACTGAAGCTCACTGCCTGCCAACATATCCCCAACAGACCCTGGGAACAGGGAAAGGATGCCACATTCTGCTCCGAGCCTTCAGTAATGGGGGGCCCTTTCCCAAGGTTTTGTCTGCTCAGTCTGGCTTCCCAGGTTTTCTAATTGCACCTGGACTAGGGGCCAAACCAGACAGGGCCAGAGGTCCTGTCTGCTCTTTCCCTGTAACCTACACCAAAGGGACGGAGAGACCTGCGTGCAGGGCTGCACAAGGCGGCGGCTGAGCAGAGGGCTGAGCAAGCCTTCGGGGTCCCTAGTCTCCTTCTCTAGGGCTGCCCTCCTCGTGAGTCTGATCTCGGGTGACACGAAGTCTTCCTCCGCTGGACACGGGTTTTCCCGTGGCTTACAGAGGGTCAGGAGGCATCAGGCTGGTTTCTGGCTCTAAGTCAGGGGGCACAGGGGGCTTAGGAAGAGGCCACCGGAACACTGAGGCCAAGAGTCTGAGGGAAGGACAGAGCAGGACAGGGCAGGCCCAGCTCGCCTCGCAGCCCTCGACCCTTCCACCTCACAGAGGAGCACGTGGCTGAGGGCGTGAGGCGGGAGGGGGCACACAGAGCGTGAGGCGGGAGCGGGGCACAGTCTGCCTCTGTCGGCTTGCCGGCTGATACCAGACCCAGGGATTTCTTAAAGGGAATGGGGACGGGGTGGGTGTTGTCAATGGTGGTGTCTTCAGCCTGAGACAGAAGATTTTTAAAGGCAAAATTATATTTCTGGTTTGTTGTTTCAGAAGACCAATAAAGACTGTATTTTCCTATGTACTTCCTAGTTTCCTTGGGCGGGGAGGGGATGTGGGGGCTGGGAGAGTGGCTTCCTGCCACCTCGCCTCCCCAGTCAGCTGCTCGAAGTGCTGCCAGATGTCACCCCAATGCCCAGAGCTCCATAAGACAGACAAAGGACCTCCTTCCCGACGCTTGCCGTGGGGCACCGCCGGGAGAGAAGAGGAGGGCCGAGTTCTGGATTCGCACGGTTCCGCAGCTGCAGCAGGCTCACCCGCCTGCTGGCCTGACAGCACGGATACGCGAGCTTCAGGCTGGTGTCACGGGGAGCAGTGGGGCTCGTGCGGTGAAGAAGGGGAGCTGGAGCCCGTCACTGCTCCAGGCCTTGGGCGCTCGTCCCCCCTGACGGGAAAGAACCCACCCTGGCAGTCACGCACAGACGGGCCCGAGTGGGAGGAAGGCACGCGTTTGCCCAGAGGACCCCACTGTGCAGTGGGAACTGCGGAGGGCTCCCTAAAAGCAGTCTGGGGAACTCCTCTGCTGACCGGCTTTTATCAGCCTTGGTGAGGTTGGTGGGCTTTGCTAACAGGAAGGAGGAGCCCCGGTTAACCTATTACCATCGTGCACTTTCGAGATTGACCTTAGGAACAGGCAGATGACACTCGGCTTATGATCCTTCACAGGGCTCACGAGGTGAGGCATCAGAATTATGAACTGGAGGGCTGAGATGAGGGGACAGGAGAGGGGATGAGTGGCAGAGCAAGGCCTCTGGGGTTGTTTGTCCGCCCCATGCCCGAGGGACCCACCCCTAGGCCGAGACTGGCCTCTGACTGACCAGGTCTGGACTGATGGTTCATTAGTCTTCAGAGACCAAGGTGAAATTTTCTCCTTTCCTGGAGCCTTCCTTTGGATGACACTCTAGTGAGCCAGGAGCAAACCCCAGGGAGACCTGAGCCATCAGGGTCCCCATTCCTGGGGTTCAGCTGGACTCCCGGCAGAACTGGGCTGTTCTCCTTTCCTAGGTGGTGATAATTGTGGGGTGCTGCCCTCCTGTAGCCCCAAGAGTTCTAGCAGACCTGAGAGACCACTGTTCCCTGAGCCCACTGCGGGAGCAGAGGGCAGGCCTCACCAGCCTGGCGCAGGCCTGGGGCGCGCACAGATGTGTTATTCAAGTCACTGTGCCGTGGGCAGGCGCAGAGGTCTCATGGCCACGCCCATTTGCAGCGTAGGAACTTGAAGGAGCAGCCCTCAGGCAGCTCCAGAGAGCAGGCCCACCGCACGAAGGCCTCCGTACAGGGGCACACACATACTGCAGGACATGTGCTAGAGAAACACACTTGCAGATTAGAAATCTTGCATAAACTGCTGATAAATCACCTGCTTAGAGACTAAGATGATCCTTCTCATTCATCTGTCCTTCCACAAGAACTCGTGGCAATAGATACACACCTGCCTGGCCCGGAGCTACCCCTTAGCTGGTCCGAGTGTCCTTCTCCCATCTTCTCCCCTTTGCTCAGTGCGCAGATCACACATGCGGCCTGCCCACCAGTCACTGTGCTCACCCAGTCCTGGAGCTCACATGCACACAGTGCCACCACTGTCCAAGGGAAGCTGCTCCCAGGACAGCAAACAAGCTGCCTACCCACCTTGAGCTACAAGCCCCTGCTGGCTCCGGATCAGGGAGGCTGAGCCGTAGGCCAAGGAGAGGAGATTACAAAAAGAGACCAAAAAAAAAAAAAAAAAAAAAAATTGAAGTATGAAGTCTCCAGCAGCTCATCCTTTTCCTGTCACATGCATGTGCCCCAGAGCATCAGAGTGGTTGTCTGCAGTGAGTTAAACCAGAGGCACCAGGACACAGTTTCTATGGCAACCCCTCATGGCTCCAATTCAGCTCTGAGTTAAAAATGATATCAAACAATTGGAGAGTGCAGGAGAGCGCAGCCAGCAGCCTGACCCCCGGCCCCTTCTCTTTCCTAGACTTTCAGGGGCACAGATGCTGAGAAGGCCCACGTCATGGAGAGGGCAGGACAGGTACAGACTCAGCTGGGACCACAGAACAGTCTCTAGGAAGCAAAGCCTGGGGTCAAACTTTGGCCTAGATGTGGGTCTGGAATTAGCATGCCATGGGCTAGGGAACAAAGGCAGCGGGGAGGGCATGGGTCCCCTCCAGAGCTGCATCCTGAAGGCAGCAAGGAGGCCAGTGCTTCCTGACGAAGGCGTCTAACCGTTAGACAGAGTCTTTCTCTCCCACCTCTCATCCCAGGGTGGAAAAGAAGCCCGTGAGCCTGGCTCAGGATGGCCCTGTGCCCTCCTTGAGGCAGGAAGACAGAGTCGGACAGTCTCTGCCTGACTCCAGCCTGCTTCTTCCATCCCCTTAGCCCGGAAGTCAGCCAGGAGGGAGAAGGCACCCCGGGCCTGCCTGCCCTGCCCCACACCAGCTGTAGGCGTCCTGCCCTGGCTGGGGGCCCCTGGGCGAGCAAGACAGGGGCTGATTCAAGGATCCACCACGGCTGATGCCTGATGCCCACCGAATCGCACAACTTTTCAGGACACAGCCGGGTCTAAGACCTGGAAGCTGAGACCAGGATGAGGAGCGCTTCACTGCACAGGCCTGACACCTCCCAGACAGTGAGACACATGCCAAGGACTTTTGTAGGCTCCAAGAAGGTACAAAGTCAGGGGCAGCTCGTGAGGGTCACGGGATGCTCTCATCACATTTGAGGCAGATTGCAATACAGAGTAGTGAAGCTGGGCCTTAGAGAGAGGTGATCCGGGTTCAAAGTCTAGCCTCATCGATTATTAGCTGCGGGACTTTGGGCAAATAACTTTTCTGTGTCTCAGTTTCCTCATCTGTAAAATGGAGCCAAGAGTATTGGTGCCATCGGATCACCCAGATTGCTAAATGGGAATGCACGCGGGAAGCAGTTCCCGAGGCGCCTGGCATGGACTGAACACACATACTGAGCTCTTGCTTAGGGCCTGAGTCATAAGCTCAGTTCTCTCTTCACTGGGACATGAGACCCATGGTGACGGAAGATGAAGGTAGCATGCAGAGGGGTGGAAAGGAGGTCTGGATTGTAGTCTCTGTCCTGTGTGACCTTGAGCAGAACTCTTAACCTCTCTGGGCTTCATTCACTCTCTTCATAAATTCTTTTAGGTCTAAGGTTTTAGGGTTTTATAAACACAGTGCCTTGGGAAGACTGCGTTCCTCCTTGGTCCCACATTTCACCTGGGAAGACTTACAGCCGGAGGCCTGAGGCCCCTGCAGACCACAGGCAGGGCTCCTCCTGCTATTCCCGTGTGCATTCCTCCTGGCATTGACTCCCTCCCGGGCTCAGCGACACAAAGGACGGCCCCTACCTGCAGCGATGGCTGTCTTCTCGTCCACTGTCACGGCTACAGCTGTGCTCGCAGTTACTGCCACCGGCTCGCCTGGACTTTCTGAGGAAACAAAAGTTGCTGAGTCACTTTCTCAGCATGGGGGAGCGCGGTGGCTGGGGGAGGCCGAGAGGACCAGAGTAAGTGCCAGGGGAGGACGCCCCTTGGGTGGGTGGGCTTTGGGGACGTTGTCTCTGTGCCATCAACCACTGGTCTTGGCAGAGCGCCTCCCAAGTGTCAGGCGCTGCCCACCTTTCTGTGCAGCTCTGAACCTGCCGCATACAGACACCCAGGTCCCTGGACACCTGGACAACACAGTGCTGGCAGTGTCACCAGGACACTGTGAGTTTGCTCTTTGTCAAGGCAGCACATCTGTCTGCGGCTGCCGGCCTTATGCTCAGGGACCTTGCTGTGACCCGTCCCACCCAGAAGACTTGTGTTGTGTCAAACGATCCTTTTGAGCAGAGAGGCTGCATTCCAGGACTCGGTGGTGGGTTGTCCTTCATCCGTCACATGAGTCAGAGTGACACTGACAGCCCCTTCAGGAAGCCAGACGCCAGGGCTGCATCAGGCACAGAAGGCTGGCTGGCGTCTGACACATCCAAGGCACGCTATAAATCCTGATCATTGGTGGCCAACCCGACACAACCCACCATGACTTTTGCCTGCTGTCCAGCTGTTCATTGCCCTTCTGGGGCACTCTGCCAGGCTCCAGAAGGGCAAGGGGCTTGCTTGAGTTGCTTTTCCACCTCTTTTAGGAGAATCAGGCCCCTAGAGATGCAGAATTTGGACGGCAGTTTCAGCCCTACATTAAAACAGAGCTTTCTGGCTCTGAGCTGGTGCAGGCTAGTATGTGACCTTGGGCTTCTTAATTTTCATCAGTCCATGGACCTGGATTAGATTTCAAAGCACTCTTGTCTACAGGTCAAGTTCCATTACTACAATTCCAAGAAAGGGGCAAGATTTTATCAGCACTATCTTGTTAGAACTTTACATCGAATGTTGCTGGAATCAAACAGGTCATGAGAATCTCATGTGGAGATTACTACAGTGTCAGTTGTAATGGAGCTTAAATTAACCACTGGTTTCCCGTATCCACTACTTAGCTAAGATTACCCATCACGCCTCGCTGTAATCAAATATCTCACAGAAATCTAAATTAATCTGATTCTAGGAGAAAGGTTGTCCTTGACTCTAGGAATTTGCCACGATGAAGCTGCAAGGGACCACAACGGACACAGAAGTTGGCTTCCTGACCTTGCTTCTGGGAGCATCTAGAAGATACTGATGTGGCTGAGCCCCTGCAGTATTCTCCAGGCCCGCGGGCTGCCTGCTGGGAGAACTGCCATCGTACGTGTGCTCCAACGGACACAGGCTTGTAGGAAGCACCCAAGCGAAGGCCCTGATGACGCAGTTTCTGGGGACGTCAGGAATTTCAGCGCCTGGGTCACCTAGCAGCTACCTGGTGCAGCACTTGGGGTGGATGAGCACCCTTCCAAGTGCTGGGGTCGGGGCAGGGCCCAGGGGCTGGCCCAGGAAGGGGGGCTGTGGAAGCAGGAGTAACAGGCCTGAGCCACCTGGGCATTGGTGAGACTCTGCTCTGTGCTGGCGGGTTTTCAGGCACCGACTGCAAAAGACAGCATCGCGTGGGCAGAACTCAGCCCACCAGGCCCCAGGCAAAGGGCAAGAGTCAGCCTGGAGAGGCAGAGGGAAACCTCCACCCCTTGGAGCAGACACCCGGCCTCCTCAGGGTCCCCCGACCCCGCCCTCATTAAAATGAAATTGTTATTTTCTTTCTTGGGGGAGAATGGGAGTGTGCAGAGGTGTCCACGTGTCTCTAAGCATATGCCTCAGCTAAGCCAGTAAGCGAGGGTGTGAACAGAGAGCCAGCTCCTGCCTCCCTACCCAGCCGTCCCCTGCTGGAGTTGCCAGCCTCCCTCTCTCTTTGTGGCTCAGTTCCCCACCCACCTGCCCTCCTACCTCACCGCCACAAAGAGCTCCCAAGCAGCCCACAGCCCACAGCCCCATCGCGGTAACGGGGAGGCAGGAAGGAGCCCGTCTCCGCGAGCAGGGGCAGGGACAGGGCCTCACCCCAGAGAACCTCCCCGCGATGCTGCAGGAGCCCCTCTGTGGGGAGCCCTCTGCACTATTATAGATGGTTCCCCAAAGGAAGAACCACCTTTCGGGCTCGGGGTGGGCAAGGTCGGCTGGCAAGGGTCCTTCACCCTGGCTTTGAGAACCTCCCTGGTGGGGTTTCGCTGGAATGACAGCACTTGCCTCTGCCCTCCCCTCCCTGCCCGACACTCAGTGCAGTAAAAACCCTGGACTTTGGTGGGCAGACCTTGGGTTTAGCCTGCCTCTGTGGCTCCCTAGCTGTGTGATCCTGGCCAGGCCACAGAACCTCTCTGACCCTCAGATTGCCCCCGTGTTAAGAAGAGGGGTAAGAAGAATACTTTTTTTTTTTTTTTATCGAGGACTCTGGTTTATAACATTATATAGATTTCAGCTGTGCATCATTATAATTCTACTTCTGTGTACACTACATTGTGTTTACCACCAAAAGCCTGGTTTCCATCCATCATCAGACAAATGACTCCCTTTACCCAAAGGGGTAAAGGTGCTTTCCCCTCACTCTCTTCCTCTCTGGTAACTACCAGTCTGTTCTCTGTATCTATGTGTGTTTGTGTATCTATCTTCCACATATGAGTGAAATCATATGGTATTTGTCTTTTTTTGTTTGACGTTTTGCTTAGCATAATACCCTCAAGGTCCATCCAAGTTGTCACAATTGGCAAGATTTCATCTTTTCTATGGCTGAGTAGTATTCCATTGTATATATGTACCACATCTTTATCTATTCATCTGTTGATGGGCACTTGGGTTGCTTCCAAGTCTTGGCTATTGTAAACAATGCTGCGATGAACAAGAAGGCGTGTGCATCTTTGTGAATTAGTGTTTTTGTGTCTTTTGATAAATACCCAGAAGTGGCATAGCTAAATCATGGTAGTTCTAGTCTTAATTTTCTGAGGACTCTCCATACTGTTTTCCATAGTGGCTGCACCAATTTACATTCCTCCCAGCAGTGTGTGAGGGTTCCCTTTCTCCACATCCTAACACTTGTTATTTCTTGTGTTTTTAGTAATAGCCATTCTGGAGGACATGAGGTGATAGCTCATTGTAGTTTTGATTTGCATTTCCCTAATAATTAGTAATGTTGAACATCTTTTCATGTACCTGTTGGCCATCTGAATATCTTCTTTGGAAAAATGTCTATTCAGATCCTCTGCCCGTTTTTTAATCAAGTTGTTTGTTTTTTTGTTGTTGAGTTGTATGAATTCTTTACATTTTTTGGATAATAACCCCTTATTGGATATATGATTTTCAAACATCTTCTCTCAGTTGGTAGGTTGTCTTTTTGTTTTGTTGGTGGTTTCCTTCGCTGTGCAGAGGCTTTTAGTTTGATGCAGTCCCATTTGTTTATTTTCGCTTTTGTTTTCCTTGCCTGAGGAAACATATTCCAAAAGTTACTGGTAAGACCGATGTCAAAGAGTGTGCTGCCGATATTTTCTTCTAGGAGTTTTATGGTTTCAGGTCTTACATTCAAGTTTTTAATTCATTTTGAGTTAATTTTTGTGTATGGTGTAAAATAGTGAGTCAACATCCATTTATGATGAAAACTCTCCATAAATTGGGTGTAGAAGGAAAGTACCTCAACATAATAAAGGCCATATTTGACAAACCCACAGCCAACATCATACTCAATGGGCAAAAACTGAAAGCCATCCCTCTAAGAACAGGAACAAGACAAGGATGCCCACTCTCACCACTCCTATTCAATATAACATTGGAAGTGCTAGCCAGAGCAATTAGGCAAGAAAAAGAAATAAAAGGGATCCAAATTGGAAAGGAAGAAGTAAAACTGTCTCTATTTGCAGATGACATGATTTTATGTATAGAAATCCCTAAAGAATCCACCAAAAAACTATTAGAAATAATAAATGAATACAGTAAAGTTGCAGGATACAAAATCAACATATAAAAATCAGTTGCATTTCTATACACTAACAACGAAGTGGCAGAAAGAGAAATCAAGAAAACAAGCCCATTTACAATCACAAAAAAAAGAATAAAATGCCTGGGAATAAATTTAACCAAGGGGATGAAAGACCTGTACACTAAAAGCTATAAGACATTACTGAAAGAAGTAGAAGACACAAAGGAGTGGAAAGATACTCCATGCTCATGGACTGGAAGAATTAACATATTTCAAATGTCCATATTACCTCAAGCAATATATGGATTCAGTGTAATCCCTATCAAAATCCCAATGACATTCAACCAACGAATCCTAAAATTTAGATGGAACAAAGAAAGACCCCGAATAGCTAAAGCAATCCTGAGAAAAAAGAACAAAGCTGGAGGCATCACACTCCCTGATTTCAAAATATCCTACAAAGCTACAGTAACCAATGGTACTTGCAGAGAAACAGACACACACACCAATGGAATAGAACTGAGAGCCCAGAGGTAAACCCACACATATATAGACAGCTAATTTTTTACAAATGAGCCAAGAACATACAATGGAGAAAGGAAATCTCTTCAATAAATGGTGTTGGGAAAACTGGACAGCCACGCACAAAAGAACGAAACATTTTCTTATGGGATTGTGCAGATTAAGTGAGTTATATGTGAAAAATGTTTTGTAAAGCATATTAGTGGTACATGGGGTGGAGGGAACAGGCGTGGGATGGAGAGCTGGGCTGAAGCACAAGGTGAAGAAGGCATCGAGAGGGCACAGAGGGGGACCCCGCCTTGCTGCCTGGAGCCCCAGGAGGAGCCTCTGGGGCCTGGCCTCCCCAGCTGTCAGCTCAGGGCATTTCTCCATCAGGAAGCTTGAGGGCAGTTTTGGTAGAAGTGGTGGCTGGAAGGGTTTTGGCGGAGGGACGTCTTGAAGGGGAAGTACAACTCTTCATTCCAAGCTGACTCCCAGCCGGCCCCTCTCATTTCAGATGCTTCCTCTCCTGCCTGCTCTCCCTCCTCACTGGCTTACTCCCACCTGGATGTGGATACTTTCTACGCCCTCTTGCGCCACTGTTCTGGGGTCAGGCTCCCCCAGAGGTGACCTGGTGGCAAGCTAGCTCTGCCCCAAACTCTTAGACCCCTGGGCGAGCCCCTCAGCCTGTCTGGACTGCAGTCTCTTCAATTGTAAACCAAGAGGGTGATTTACCCTCCAAGATCCCTGTCTGTTCTAAACATTTTGCAGTTTCATTGGTGCTCTGTTAAAGTCACTTAATTTTTTTGCCGGGGGGGGGTGTCCATTTTTCAGAGTTAGGCTGGGGGTTCGGAGATAGGTGCCCGCAGCGCTGAAACCCTTCCTGATCTTTGGCCTAGTAGGGATTTGCTGGCGTGGTCCATGGGGCCCCATCCTGGCTCCCTGCTCCTACCCTTTGAGCCCTTGGTGGCTTGCCAGCCAGGAGGTGCCCCATTAGTACCAGGCGTTCCCGAGGAGCAGGCCAGAAGCTCAGGGTGTGGCTCCCGGGGGACTCCAGGTGGCTGGAGACTGGGCTGCTTTCTCTGTGTGGGAAGAGCCGAGGTGGGGCAGCGGACTCTAAGGACAGCAGACTTCGAGGCTATAAAGTCTATCGCTTTCATCTGGGTGGTTTAAGGAACTTTCAAAGACACTCTGATGTTTAGAAATAGAAGAATCTTAGAGATCAACTCTTCCAATATCCTCCTATTTGGAATTTGGGCTAGAATCCAGCTCTTCTTGATTTTTGGGTCAAATCTCTTTCCTTTGTTCCATGTCAGAATTTTAAATGCCAACCTTGACTGCTGGCTGGGGAATAAAATGATCTGCCCGATATTCAGGGTAGAGACCAGCCATGTGGAAAGGCATAAGCGAGCCTGCTCGAGGTGCTCATGTGTGCAGGAGGGAAGGCAGGAAGGGAGCCCAGGGCTCTGGATGGTCTGTCCCATAACTCATTCCTGTTCCCCACTGAGAGTACAGCGGGAGGCAGGTGCCCTGGTCCTGCCCAGCCCCAGGGCGCAGGGGTGGCTTACCTGGTCCCTCTGCAGAGCGGAGGTTGAAGACAAAGCTGCCAGGAGGCTGCTCAGCAGCCTGGCGGTACCACAGAGGGAAGCGGTCCATGGTGAACACGCTGGTCTCGTCTTCAGGAGTCAGGAACTTCCTACAAGGAGAAAGGTTTGGTACTTCCCCTCAAATCTGGGAACACGTTCATCTCTTTTTCTTTTTTATACAAGGTCATCCTGCTGGGCCAAGAGAGCCATATTTCTCTGCTTTGGTAGAGTTGCAGATAGAAAATATTAGCCCCTAAACTGCTAGTGCCCCAGAAAATGATCTCCAGCCATTTTGCCTTTTCTAGACTCCAACGCTGCTGCAGCTGATGGCACATTAGTGGCTAGAAGAGGTATAGGGCCTATTGACGAAAGAATCCCCTCCATCTTCATGTAGACTCTTGCCTGCAGGGTGTATTTCTTTTGCATCTAGCCTGATTTCTTTTTGTCTGGCTCCTTGGGGTGACTGAGAGAGGAGACTGCAGTCACTGCACCAAGAGAGGGGCATAACCACCGCCCCCCCCCCGAGATGGTTACCTCAGAGGTCAGCTCCTCTAGGTTTTAGAATGCATTCTGAGTTTTGTTTTTTTGAGCAGCTTTACCTTGCTAATTATGGTTTTGCACTCCCTGAACATACAGCAGCCGCCAGAAGGGGGTGTTATCCAGAAGCAGAGTGGGAGGCAGGGAGAAGCTGGCAGGGGATTAAAAAAGTTACTTGTGGATAACCCACAAGGTGGAGAATGGAGGTTTGATTCTAAGAGTGTTTGGCTGACACTGATTCCAGAAGCAGACCTGCCTTGTTGCACGGTTCCTGGGCTGCAGGCACGTCCTGATCTAGGTGAAGGGAGCCCTCTGGAGCTGTGCACCGCCCGTGCAGCCATTTGTGGTGGCTGTGTTCATTCTCAGGAAGGCCTGTCTGTGTCGAGATTGTTATACTACTAAAATAAAGGAGGGCAGATTTTTCTGTATTTTACCACTCAGACTTACTCATTCTAGGCAATGGCTTTAAGGACTTAAGTGCACAGAGTAATGCATCATTTTCTATTCTCTTCCATTCTTAGAGCCTTTAAGAGAAGGTGCAGGGGACACCGAGAACGCTTTCACCCTTCACAGGGCAGGTGTGTCTGCCTTGGCCAGACAGGACACAGACGTGTGCTTTTCTGGTGGGAGTGGAAGTTGAGGGGGATGAGGACGGACGAGTGGGTGGTGAGCCAGGGAGGAAGGCCCTTCAAGGCCTTCAGGCGAATCCACAGCTGAGGCACTGGATCAGGCCTGTCCCCACCAGGGCCATGGAAAGGGTCAGTAAAACAGCATGATTTCCTCTGTTTCCACCCCTCAGGAACCGAGGGGAGGTGGGGAGAGGGAAGAGTAACTTATTTTGTTTTCCTAGAAAGCCTCAGCTTTCTTGCAAGCATGGATCCACCACAGAGTCCTGGAAGCAGCTCAAAGATGGCGCTCCCTGGCTGAGCGTGCTTGGACTTAGCCAGAGGAGCACTGAGTGGGTGGGAGGCCAGGACGGCAGGGTCCAGTCCGCTCAGGAGCCCCCTGGCTGTTCTCCTCCAGGTGGCTCGTGGCCCCTACTGTTTGAGTCTCCTGGTTTGCAGAGTGGCAGGTGGCTCTGCTGCCCGCCCCCAGCACCCTTCTCTGGCTCCCTCCCTTAGCCACAGCACTCTCTGGCAGGAGGATACCTGGGTGGGCTGGTCCTTGGGTGTCACAGGATTCTTCCAGAATCAGGGCTTTGTTTAGAGCAAGATTTCTCAATCTCAGCACTACTGACATTTCGGCCTGACAATCATTGTAGGGGCTGTCCTCTGTGCTGGATGTTTGGCAGCATCCCTGGCCTCTACTCACCAGATGCCAGGAGCCAAACCCCCTTCCCTCAGTTGTGACGATCAAAAATGTCTCTAGACATTGCCCAATGTCCCTGGGGTAGGTGGCAAAATCTCCCGCAGTTGAGAATTGTTGGTTTAGGGCATGGGGAAAGTTGTTGACAAAAGGAGGGGACACGGCCAGAAGATTTAGCCTGTTACACAGAGACCAGTCACGGGGGAAAACAATTTCTGCGTGTCTCTCTGTGGGAGTGAATCCCTGATCAACTCTCCCAGCTTCAAGGTCTGGGCTGCTCTCCTCCCTGATGGGCTGTCATCCCTCCCCTCCTGGGGACACCTCCAGGGTTACTTTTCTGACTCTCCCAATCTGTAAACCTCACCCCATCACGCTTCCTGCCCTGCTGGAGTCCAAGTCTCTGCCCGCCCACAGGCCACAGGAACACGCCTGCAGACACCCCCTCCCCAGGGTGCCCAGCGGGACTCACTTGTCGGAGACCTTCTCGGAGCCCACGAACAAGCTGCTTCTGAGGAGGCCGGCCCGGGTGCCCAGGAAGGCCACGTCCACGCCGTGCTCCGATTCACTGCGGGGCAGACAGAGCAGGGGTCATCAGCACCCAGGCAGTGCAGGCCAGGAAGAGGGCTCAGGGAGTCGGGGAGGGCCTGCAGGGTCTGCCGAGCCCGTCCCTGCAGCAGGCCCCTCGGACTCGGGCGGCTCTGACGGCGCGCTCACCGTCCGCCGGGAGCACCGCCTTCACCGACAGCAGGTCCACCGGCTCCCCCGCCGCCAGCACCTCCCCTTGTTAACAGGGTCCCCCGGCCTCTGCCTCTATTTTTCAGATCCAGCTCCTAACCTGTCTACTAGGCTTTGGGGGTGTCTGGCTCTGGGAGACAGACAGAACTCAGGCAGAGAGACTGTCTTGGGCTCTCCCGAGCTCTGACTTGTCCTGACCACACGTGCAGAGCCTGGCGGCGTGACAGCCCTGCGAGCGCGCCCGTTCCCCGAGGAGCCGAGGGAGCCAGGGACGCAAACTTGCTGCCCAGATTTGGGGGAAAAATTATTAGCTAGCTGAAGTGTGACTAATTTTTCTCACAGTCTCAAAGCCATGCTGCTATGACAATGGCACCAGGGTGGATGTCATCACTTCTTCATTTAAAATTTTTTTAAATTTCAGCTTTATTTAGGTATAGTTGATATATAAAATTGTAAGATATTTAAAGTGTATGTTGTGGTGATTTGATATACGTATACACTGTGAAAGGATTCCCCCATCTAATTAATTAACACATCCACCACCTCACACAGTTATCTTTTTTTTTTTTTGGTGAGAACATTTCAGTTCTACTACCTTAGCAAATTTCAATATACAATACGGTGTTATCATCTATAGTCACCATGTTCTGCGTTAGATCCTCAGACCTTATTCAGCTCATATTTGAAAGTTTGTATCCTTTTACCACCTCTCCCTATTCCCCCACCCCCAGCCCCTGGCACCCTCTTTTCCCCTCTGTTTCCGAGTTTGACTTTTTTTTTTAGATCCCCCATATAAATGACACCATGCAGTATTTGTCTTTCTCTGGCTTATTTCACTTAGTATAATGCCCCCAAGGTCCATCCATGTTGTCACAAATGCAGCATTTCCTTCTTTCTTATGGCTGAATAGCATTCTATTGTGCGAGTGTGTATATATATATCCACACACCACATCTTCTTTATCCATTCATCCATTGATGGACACTTAGCAAGGTATGTTTCCATACCTTGGCTGTTGTGAATAATGCTGCAATGAACATGGGAGCACAGATATCTCTTCCACACCCAGTTTTCCTTTCCTTTAGATTTATACTCAGAAGTGGAATTGCTGGATCATATGATGGTTTTATTTATTTATTTATTTTTAGGAAGATTAGCCCTGAGCTAACATCTGCTGCCAATCCTCCTCTTTTTGCTGAGGAAGGCTGGCCCTGAGCTAACATCCGTGCCCATCTTCCTCTACTTTATATGCGGGACGCCTACCACAGCATGGCTTGACAAGTGGTGCCATGTCTGCACCCGGGATCCGAACCGGCGAACCCTGGGCCGCCAAAGTGCAGCATGTGAACTTAACCACTATGCCACCAGGCCCACCCATATTTTTAATTTTTTGAGGAACATCCATACTGTTTTCCTTAGTGACTGCACCACTTTACATTCCCACCAACAGTGCACCAGAATTCCCTTTTCTCCACATCCTTGCCAGCACTTGTTATCTCTTGTCTTTTTTATAACAACCATTCTGACAGGTGTGAGGTGATGTACCATTCTGGTTTTGATTGCATTTCCCTGATGATTAGTGATGCTGAGACCCTTTTCATGTACCTGTTGACCTTTGCATGTCTCCTTTAAAAAAAATGTCTATTCAGGTACTCTGACCACTTTTTAATTGGATTGCTTGGTTTTTTGCTGTTAAGTTATACGAGTTCTTTCTATATTTGGATATTAACCCCTTGCAGATAAATAAGTTATAAGTATCTTCTACCATTCAGTAGATTGCCTTGTCATTTTGTTGATGGTCCTTTGCTATGTAGAACTGTTTTTTGGTTTGATGTAATCCCACTTGTTTATTTTCACTTTTGTTGCCTTTGTTTTTGACGTCAAATCCAAAAAATCGTTGCCATGACTTATGTCAATGAGCTTATCTGCCATGTTTTCTTCTAGGAGCTTTATGGCCTCAGGTCTTACCTTCAAGTCTTTAATTCATTTCGAGTTGATTTTTGTGTATGGCGTTAGACAGCGGTCCAGTTTCACTGCTGTGCATGTGGCTGTCCAGTTTTCCCAACACCATTTATTGAAGACACTGTCCTTTCCTCCTTGTATATTCTTGGCTCCTTTGTCATAAATTAATTGATCATGTATGTATGGGCTTATTGCTGGGCTCTCTTTGGTTCCATTGATCCATGTGTCTGATTTTATGCCAGTGCCATACTGGTTTGATTACCATAGCTTTATAATGTAGTTTGAAATTAGGAAGTGCGATGTCTCCAGCTGTTTTTCTTGCTGAAGACTGCTTTGGCTAGTCAGGCCTTTTGTGGTTCCATACAAATTTTAGGATTGTTTGTTCTATTTCTGTGAAAAATGCCATTGGAATTAAAAATATTTTTTAATTGACATACAATATGATATTAGTTTCAGGTGTACAACATAGTGATTCAACGTCTATGTACGTTACGAAACGATCACCACCACAAGCCTATTTAGCATCCATCACCGTACAAAGTTAATACAATATTAGTGACTATATTCCTCATGGTGCACGTCTCGTTCCCATGACCTATTCATTCTATAACTAGAAGTTTGTACCTCCTGATCACCCGCATCCATTCTGCTCCCCTTGAAGCCCCTTCCCCTCTGGTAACCACCAGTCTGTTTTCTGTATCTATGCGTCTGGCTCTGTTTTGTTTTGTTTGTTCATATGTTTTGTTTTTAGATTCCACATATAAGTGAAATCATAAGGTGTTCGTCTTTCTCTGTCTGACTTATTTAACTTATCACAATACCCTCTAGGTCCATCCATGTTGCTGCAAATAGCACGATTTCATTCTTTTTTACAGCTGAGTAGTATTTCATTACATATATACCACAACATAAAGAGGCTGAGATCGGGAGCGTGATACCTCCAGCTTTGTTCTTTCTCCAGATAGCTGTGCCTCTTCAGGGTCTCCTGTGGTTCCATACAAATTTTAGATTTATTTACTCTGAAAAGTGCCATTGGTGGCCTGTCCCTGTGGCCTAGTGGTTAAGTTTGGTGTGCTCTACTTTGGCGGCCCAGGAGAGGCAGGATAAATAATTGAATCTTTCTGTTTATTTACCAGTTTTTAGAATAATGAGTTGGTTTCCTAACATCTTCCAAAGATGACCAATGAGAGTTTTTTTCGGTATCATCATAAACACAGGATTTTAGCATATTTAACGTGTTTTAAGCCATTGCAGTCATTATTATTTGTGCTGCTCTGATTGTCCCACGGTTGGCCAGTGAGAGCCTCTGCAGGTTGGCTCTGGGGTCCCGTTGGCACAAACTCCTTAGTCTTTAGTAACTTCTTGCTTCCTGATATGACAAGATGCTCCTGGCTCATTTGTACATTTCCTGCCCCCTTCCTGGGATCAGACATTTCTCTAGTTCTCCAAAGGTCACTCACTAGAGTCATGTTAATGAGGATTTTTTTTTTTTTTTTTTTTTTGCTGAGGAAGATTTGCCCTAAGCTAACATCTGTGCCCATCTTCCTCCACTTTACATATGGGTTGCTGCCACAGTGTGGCTGACAAGTTGTGTAGGTCTGCACCAGGATCCGAACCTGTGAACCCAGGCCATCAAAGGAGAGCACACCAAACTTAACCACTATGCCACGGGGCCAGCCCCTAACGAGGATTTCTTAATGTGGACTTTGCTAGTCCATGATCTGGGTCTAGGGTGTTCAGTGAGATCGGTCCTTTCAGGGGACAGAGCTAGGGTGCCCTTTTTGTTTCTTCAAGAGAAAATACATCATGAGTTCAAACTGATATTTCCAATTCATCCTTAGCATATACATAGACTTTGATTTTTAAAATTTGCATCTCTTTTCTCTTTTGCTGAAAATCTTGGTTCATAATAACATTAACATAATACTGTTTTCTCTATCTATATTGATAAATTTGAGAATAACAGTGCCAATGTTGTTTCTAGCAACGTGATTATTGAACAGTTTCAGATTTTATTTGTTTAGTGTTTATAGATCTTTGTTTCAAAGTCCCTTGAAGGAATTCCCCTATATATGGTTATTTCATGAACTTGATACACAGCTAAGTTTGTTTCCTTTGCTTTCGTTTTTTAGACATGATTTTTTAGAATTTAGTTTTGTTTTGTAATGATATAAAGCGACACGGTTCCAGAGTCAGATAGCCAAAATCAGGCGCATTTCGAAGAGTCTGCCTCTGTCCCCATCCCCCTCTTCCTTCACTCGGCCTGTAGGTAACCTTTTTTGTTTGCTTGTTTATGGTTCCATTAAAAACTATAAATGTATATGTTTATATATGTGTAAGTAACTGTGAAAACACATTTGCATTTCCTCCTTTTAGATAACAGTGAGGGTATTATACACACTTTTCTCCATTGCTGAGACCATTCCATAGCAGTATGTAGGGATTTTTCTCATCTTTTACAGCTATGTAGGATCCCACCATATGGATCTACCACGGTTTATTTAACTACGCTCCTACTGATGGACATTTCCTTTATTTCCAATCCTTTACTGTTATAAATAGTGTTATAATGAATAGCTCCTGTGTATGTCTTTTCCTATTTTTGCCTGTGAATATTTAGGATAAATTCTCCTAAAAGTGGGACTGCTGGGTCAAAGTGTAAATGTATATGTAGTTTTGTTAAATATTGTCAGATTCTCCTCCATATGCTCTGAAACATTTTGTATTCCTACCCACAATATACAAGAGTGCCTGGTTCTCCACAGCCTCGCCAAATGTGCACAGCAACAAACTGCAGTGGTGACCTATCGAGTGAGTGACAAGCTCTGTATAGTTTTAATTTGCATTCCCTTTATTATGAGCGAGATTGAGCATTTGTTCATATATTTAAGGGACTATTTGCATGTATTCTCTATGGACTCTCCATATCTCTCAATCATCCTTCCTATAAAGAGGCTGGTTTTTTCCTTAGCTATTTCTGAAGCTCTTTATCTGTCCTGAAGACACACCATAGGGATGGCAGCCTTTTATTTGTTTTATAAGTTGCAAACATTTTTCCAGTCTGTCATTTCTCTTTCACCCTGCTCAAGTTTTTATTTTTGGCAAATAAAAATTTTTCTGTTGTTAAATTTATCAGTCATTTCTTCATGGCTTCTGGACTGGAGGAGTCAGTGGGAGGGGTCTCCCCACACCTACATTTTACAGCCAGTGATTCCTGTGTCTTCTTAGCACTCACACAGTTTCACTTTTACCTTCCAGCCATTTGGCCCTGATCCAGGTGTACCGTGTGAGGAAGGAATACGATGTTATCATTCTCCATACGGCTTCCAACCCATCGCTCCCTCACAGATTCGACACAATGCCTTCACCATATACTAAATTTCCACGTGCATTTAGATGAATTTCTAGATTTTCTATTCTGTTCCCTCGGTCTGCCTCTCTCTTCAAGGGTCAATACCACACTTTATAAATTGTAGAGATTTTGTAATATGTTTTAATATCTTGGTAGAACCAACCTTCCTTCATTGCTTTTCTTTTTCAAGGTTTTCCTGGTTGTTCTTGCCTATTCTTCCAAATGAGCTTTATAATTGACTTATCCAGACCCCAAAAAATATTGATAGCATTTTTATTGTGATTGCATTAAATTTATAAACTAACTTAGGAGGAATTCATATCTTTGTGATGTTGAGTCTTCCTAACCAAAAACACTAAATATCTCTCCATTCATTCAAGTCTACTTTTGTGTCTTTCAGGAGTGTTTTATAACTTTCCCTATGTAAGCTTTTGGACACTTCTTATGGTTTATGCTTAGGTATTTTGTTATATATATATATATATATTTCTCTCCTAAATAGGCCTCCTCACATTATATCTTCTATCTGGTTTTTGTTTGTATAGATAAAGGTTATGAACTTTTGAATGTTGATATTATAAACTGCTACTTCACTGAATTCTCTTACCGTTCAGAGTAGTTTTCCTATTAATTCTCTTGTGATTTCCAGTTATATAATCATATCATCTTTTAAACAGAGATAACATTTCTTTCTTTCCAATTCTCATGGCCTCTAGGTGTGTTCCCTCTTCTGATTGCACTGACTACCACCTCCTGACCTTGTTAAACAGCAGGAGGCAAACTGGGCATGTGTCTTGCTCCTGTGTTTACTGAGAGAGCCCCTGGCCCTATTATGATGTTGACTTTCAGGTTTAGGTCAATTTTCATTTTATTCAGTGGTTGTTAAAAACATGAATGGATGTGAATATTTGTTCAGATATCTTTTCTGCACCTATGGAGATGATTATATGATTTTCCCCGTTAGCTTTATTAATATGTTGTTAACATTAATATGACCTTGGGCAGGTTGGATGTCTCACTCTGCCTTGGTTTCCTCATCTGTAAAATGGGGACACTGATAGATAGTACCTATACTGTAGGATTGTTGTGAGAATCAAATGGGTTAGCATACGCTAAGTACTTAGAACAGTGCCTGGCACCCTGTACTCTTGTCCTTCCTGTACTTTAGTTTTATTTAACTGTGAACAGGCAATACACGCACATGGTTCAAAATTGTACCAGAAAGTTATACAGTGAAAGTGTCCCTTCCATCTCTGTTTCAGTCACCCATTTTTCTAACTGAAACAGTTGGTGAACACTGTTTCCTATTTAGCCTTCCAGAGATATTTTATATATATGTACACATACATGCTTCTTCCCTCTTTTAACAGATATGATGCATACCATGCACAGCGTTCTGCCTCTTGCTTTTTGAAATAGGTGATTGTTCCTACACAATTCTGCTGGTGTTTTCACTAGGATAGTATTAATCACCTTACTGCATGTCTAGGAGAGGTTTGACATCTTCATGCTGTTGTTGACACTCCCTGCTCAGGAACAAGCTGTGGTCCACTCTATTCCTAACCTCATTAATATCTTACGCCCTCTCAAGCACTCATGTGAGGACACACACACACACACACACACACATCATTCATCTCTTCTTTCCATCTGGCCACTAAACATGATGGCGCCAGGTAAGGATCCGCAAAGGGAGGGAGGCAGTCTGAGGCGCTGGGAAACACTGAGGGCAAGTTTGTCCTTCTGGTGTCTTGACCTTTCCTGCTGGAAACAAGGCCCCAGTCCTCTGGAGCTGCTGTCTCCAGGGTACTTTGGCTAATGGGCTCTCAGTAGCCCAGCTGGCCCAAGCTAGGGCCCACCCTTGGGAGAGGGGTTGTTGGGATGGGGCTGCTACAGTGGGGATGGGGGATTCGGACCTGTGCCGGGCCAGGGGGCCTGCCCTGGAGCTTTTGCAGAGGGGAGAGAGGGCAGCAGCATGTGCGCGTGTGGAAGCTTCGCCAAGCCCTGCTTTACAGGGGCTGTGCGAAGGTCCTTCTCGCTCCGCTGACATCTTCCCACCCTCGTCACTGTCACTGTTCATCTTAGGCCAGAGGATGTGGGTGGTCCCCTGAGCCGCTGGCCAGGTAGTGGAAGGGACCCTGACTCAGCCAAGGGAATCCTGGGTTTCCCTCCTCGGCACCGTCAGCCCCACCTGGTACCTACTCAGAGATGTTGAGAGCCAGCGCAGTCCAGTAGGCTTCCATGGGTGCCGTCACCACCGCGTCAAACAATGCCTCCTGCACCAGCTCCTCATCACCTGGGGGCAGAATAAAGGAGACCAGCCCACTCAGCTCCCCCACGGTTAGGAACACAGCCCATCCGCCCTTTTCAGGAACCCTGCACTTCAGGAAACAAGGTGTCCTTATGAATGCATGTCTGGAACACAAATAACCATCTTTGAGAGCTTGAGGAAGTCACCTCACCTCTTTCATCCTTCATTTCCTCCACCCCAAACACACATGAGTAGAACTGAATGGTTTCTAAGGCTCTTTCCAGTTCTACCGTTCTGTAAAGTAGGAGAACCCCTCAGTAACATCAGAGTTCGATCCGTGCCCAGCCCGCCCTCCAGCTCAACTCTCATCACGCTGCTTCCCAATCGTCGCCCTCACAACACATTGGCCTTTTGCCAATTCTGTGGGTGTGACTTCGCCTCAGAGCCCCTGCACATACTGTTCCCTTGATGTGGATGCTCTTTTCCCTTCTCTTTGCATGAGTGGCTCTTTCTTTTCCTTCTCTCTCTTTAAAAAATTTATTTATTTTTATTGAGGTGAAATTCATATAACATATAATATAAAACCAACCGCTCTCGAGTTCATAATTCAAGGGCATCTAGTCCATTCACAGTGACATGTAGCCATCCCCTCTGTCTAGTTCCACAATGTTTTCATTGCCCCCAAATGAGATCCCGTACTCACGAAGCCACTTGGGTGGCTCTTTTTTATCCTCAGCTTAAGTGACACCTCCTGACAGAGGTGGCCTTCCCTGACCATCCGTTTAACGCAGGCCCCATTTTTTTCCCCAGACATCACCTTGTTCATGGGACTTATCACGATTCTTGATAACCTACATCTACACACAGGTGCTTGCTTCTTTATCATGTGGCTTCTCCACCAGATTACAAGCTCTCTGAGTGAGGGCCTCGTCTGGGGCATCTCTGTGGCCTCAGCGCCTGCCCCAGGGCTGGCACAGAGTCCGTGCTCAGCACAGACTTGTTGATGGAATGAATGAATGAACAAATGAGTGCCCTGTCGGGCCAGCAGGGGAGGCGGGTCCTCTCTCGAGGGTGACATTTATGTGACAGGATGACTGGCTCCTTCTTCCAAAGACAAAGGAGAAGGACATGCTGAGGGTGTGGCCCGGTGGTTTCACCAGTTGCATTAGTGTAGGGGACTTCCAGGTTAACCTGAGACCCGGGCATCAGAAACACTCACAGAGCACAGGCTGCAAGAGGCCGTCTGGTCAAACACCCTCCTCTGCAGGGATGAGGACTCTGGGGTGCAGAGCATCAGCTACAGGCCCCGGGGCCCACTGCTAGGGGGTGTCTGATGGGCAGGCTGATGACCTTACACTGTGCAAGCTGCTCTCTGGAACCTTGGCAGTGCTTGGGTGACAGAGGCTTAAAGAGCCCCCAGTCCCTGACGTGGGGTTACACGTATGCTGCCACAGCCCCAGGAACGCCTCGTCACCAGCTCGGCCCCACAGTGGATCGGGCTGTGCCTGTTCTCCCTAAGCCACCAGTGAGCTCCAGAGACAGGGCTGCAGGGCAGCCTGCCCCCAGCCCGCCCTCCCTGCAAAGTCCTGAGCTGCGGGACCCCCAAGGAAAAGTCCAAAGGGGCAGGCGGCACTCACACTCCAGGTCTGGGTCCTCCCCCGTCAGGAAGCGGACCACGGCCTCTAGCTGGCTGAGCTTCCGGTGGTCGGGGTCGATATCCGTGGTGCAGTAGATCCTGGAGCTCAGGGGAGTCAACGTTACCTCGAAAATCCCCCCTTTCTCCCTCCCATTCTCCACTCCCCCCGGGCAGCAACTCTCCCACTTACCAGTCACTGGCCAGGGTCAGATCTGGGTGAAGCAAGTCGTGCAGGCCTGAAACCAGAGTTCAAACTCGGCACGGTGCTCACCACTGTGCGAGGATGTGCGCCTGGACTGTTCATAAACTGCCAGGAAGCGTCCTCGGGGGAGAGGAGGTCTCATTCTCTCTTGTTCTCACTCAGAGTCGGACTCACCAATAGGATGGTGCTGGGGTCCTATTGTATGATCCATGGAGTATGGGGTCTGCATACGCCATGCCTTTGTCCGTGTTGCTCCTGAAATGCCTTTTCTTCCCGTTGCCTCATATCCAAACCCCACCGATTAGGATCTCCCCCCAAGGAGCTAATACTTGGAAACCAGCGATGTCAGCTTCATTGACTAAGCTAAATGGCCAGTCAAAAGATAAGCCCAGAGATGGGCCATGTCTGTTTGGTGTAATCTCTGTAGCCTCATGCCCAGCATGGCGCCTACACTGACCATATGCTCAGTATGTATTTGTTGATTGAATGTATGAATGAACAAATGCCCAAGTGAGCACCTACTCAGTGCTAAAAAATAAAGAAATGCTCAATGAAGGTTCACTGAATTGAAGGAAAGGATGACGGAAAGGCCAAGGGGGCATCTGTGGAGTCATTAAAAGGGGTACTGAACTGACACAGACACAAGGCAAATAGCAAAAGGGTGATGCTCCATTCCCCAAAGGAAACCCAGGAAGCCCAGTCAGGTCCATGCTTCCAAGCCCCTGGGTCACTGGTGGGTCTCACTCACAGAAGTGGGTCAGGGACAGCAGCCTCTGCCCCCTGCAGCAATGTGACGTGGGAATATCCGGGCAGAGGAAGGAAGAAGGCATCAGGGGGGCCTGAGGGCTGATTGTTTTGGGGACAGTGGGGGGCAGGGAAGGAGAGTGTTCCAATGCCATGGGCACAGGCTGCAAAAGGGCAAGTGCAGCGGTTATGCGGAAGCACGTAGCTGGGGACCTACCCAGCCTGGGTGGGGAAGGGGGGACAACTCCCAGAAAGTGACCTGAAGGGGGAGGGCTGGAGAGGAGAGCAGGTCAGGGCGGGTTCGGCATGTGAAGAGGGAAGAGGTGCGGAAGGCCGTGAAAGGTCCTTAGCAGTAACACAGTCCGATTTGGCCTTTCTAGAAAGATCCCTCTGGCAGAAGTTCAGAGGAAGGGAGATGCAGGGAGACTAGTTGGAGGCTGCAGTGGTTGTCCAGGAGAGAGGTGCCAATGACTAGGGTGGTGGCAGAGCGATGGAGAGATGAAATGCACTCAAGGGATGGTAAAGAAGAACGGACAGAATGGGAGCATTAAATAGAATTGTGGCCACATCTTCCAGGGACTTCCTGAGATGTCCCTGAGCTCTCGATATAGGTTTTGCTCTCTCAAGGTGCTCAGGTCGCTGCAAGCCATGAGCAGGTGGGGTTAGGGAGGATGGGGCCCCCCTCTCCCATCCTCCCCCACCATTTCCCACCACCCGGCTCAGGTTCACTTCCCAGAAGCCCCCTGTTATGGGTTGAATTGTGTCCCCCCAAAAGATATGCTGAAGTCTTACTGTGAATGTGACCTTGTTTGGAAATAGGGTCTTGGCAGATGTAATCAAGTTAAGATGAGGTCACTAGGGTGGGCCCTAATCCAACACACCTGGTGTCCTTGTAAGAGGGGGGGGGGGGAAATAGAGACACAGGAGGGGAGAAGCCATGTGATGACAGAGGCAAAGGCTGAAGAGGCGCAGCTGCAAGCCACGGACACCCAGGGCTACCAGGACGCAGAAGAGCCTCCTTCTGGGACCGTGAGACGAGGCATTTCTGTTGTTTAAGCTACACAGTCTGCGGCACTGTGCTACGGCCGCCTAGCCAACTAGTGCAGATCTGCTCCCTTACTCTTCCCGGCCTCCCGGCTCAGCCGTCCGTAGTCTTCCAACAGGTAGAATCAGCCTTGATCAGAGACACACCCCCTTGAGGCCCGTCCCCCGGCCGGCAGAGCCTTCCAGAACCTGACGGTGCATGCTCGCCAAGTCTTAGGCTTTGCCGTTTTGCCGACTGACTGGCAGGTCCTGGATGCTCAGGGTACCTGGGACACACAGACGGCTCCTTGCCAGGTAGCCCTGCTCTGAGAGTCTGCTCTCAAGCCGGGGACGTGGGAGGCGTCAAACCAGCTCTGCCCGCCCAGGATCCCAGGAGAATCCATTCTGTCCTCTGAACTCTCCACCAGGACCTGGCGTCAACCCACCTTCTTCCACAGACGTGTTCCCCAGAAGGATGTGTTCTCCGTGGCCCCGGGAGAGCACCACGCCCAGACTGCGGGAGAGCAGAGCAGCGTGCTCACCGCCCGCGCCGCCCCCACCCGCTCCCTCGTCCCTCCTCCCGCGCTCTGCACCCCGAGGCGGGCACAACACGCTCTTGTTCTGCCCTGGCCTCGGGGGTTGTCCCCTCCAGAACTGAGGCAGCGTTTCTACTGTTTCATCAGCCCTTGTTCCTGAGAAGGACCTTGGAAATTCTATAGGCCATGAGCTCCCCCAGCCCCCGTTTTAATCAAGACACACGGTGACCTCTCAGGGACCCCGGGTCTCACAGGGTCCTACCAACAGCCTCATCCTTTTTGGCCTGGGGAGTCCCCAGTGCCTCCCTGTCTCTCCTGGTGACACATGGCTTTTGAACCTTCCCTAAACGTCTGAGCCACCCAGGGAGCTGTGAAAGATGCTGGCGCCTGGACCGCCCGGGAGCTCTGGGTCAGCTGCTCTGGAAGGGGCCTGGGCATTGGCTGCTTTCCATACTCCTCAGGGGTTCTCCTGAGCAGTCAGGGCCCGGAACCCCTTCACTGAGGAACGAGGTAATTCAGAGATAAAGGCTCTCTGTTTCCTAATCTGCATAGTGCTTAGAGTTGAATATTTACACAGTTGGAAGGAACCTAAGAGATCTTCAAGTTTGATTTTTCATCTTACAATTGCATTGTTTTAAAAGTTTTAAGTAGATTATCTCATTTAATCCTCACAGTACTGCCAAGAAGCTGCTACTATTATTACCCCCATTTTAAAGAGGAGACATCTAAGGCACAGAGAGATTAAGTAGCTTGACTAAGGTTACACAGCCTGTAAGTGGTGGAGTTGGGGTTCAAGCCCTAGAAGTTTGGCTCCAGAACCTGCACACTAGGCTACACTGGCAAAGCAGGTCTAGACACCAAATTTCCTGAATGCAGACGTGGATCTTTTTCTACTCTGAGTTGTTGGTAGTCTTGCTCCCCCCACCCCTCCCCCTGCCAACAAAAACAGGCCCCTCACCTGAAAGGAGTGTCGCTGATGTCCGTGAAGAAGTAGTCATTGGCCAGGAAAAGGGCTCTCCTCTGAAAGACCAGAAAGGACAAGGGCTGGCTGGAGACGAGCACCTGCCCATGCCACCTGCCTGCCCCCACAAAGCCCTCATGGTCTCGTCACCTCTGTGCACTTCCCTCCCTTCTCACCAGCTCGACGATCACCACACGCCTCGTCTTGTTGACACCCAGGGGCACATCACCCCCAGGCCCAGCAGAAGGCAGCCCTGGGGGTTGCCTGGACTAAAGGACCAAGGCCGAGACCTGCGCTGTCCCACACAGTGGCCACTAGCCACATGCGGTCGTTGAGCACTTGAAGTGTGCAACTGAGGAAGGGACTTTTCAAAGTTTAGTCAATGGGAGTTTAGATTTCCATTGTGGCTGGAGACTGCTGTGTTTGGACAGTGCAGTGTTGACAGTGACTCTAGGGTTCGGATGGGACCAGAGAGGAGGCTGCCAGTTTGTACTCAAAGCTTCTGGAGCTCATATGTGCACGACCTCCCCACGACCTTCTCCTGTCTTCAGTGTGGCCGAGGGAGCGTTGGGGGCACCGACCCTCCACTAAACCCTTCCCAGGGCCAAGTCACCCTTCACAACTTCTTTTTCCTTTCAAAGCTGCCATCTTTTGGGTGTTGGATTTGTATGGGCTAGGGCACCAGATGGTGCAGACAGTGGCTGAGGGCATGGGCTGGGCGTCGGACGGCTGGATTTAAGCCCGGCTCGGCTGCTGATGAGCTGTGTGCTCTGGGGTGAGTTACTTCACTTTTCTAGGCATCAGTGTTCTCACCTGTAAATCAGGATTAACAATGGCATCGCCTACATCAGCTTGCTGTGAGGGTGTGAGTGTGGTTTAATGCACGTGGGTGGGCATAGGGAAGAGCAGTATTTGCTCTGGGCTCTGAAGCTCTATGGATTGTCCTATTGGCAGACACAAGCATACATCACTGGGAAAGCCACATGTGGTAATTGGCACAGGGGCTGTTCAAATCACCTTCACGTCTCTCCGTCTTTTCTTCTTCCATTTTGGAAATTGGAGAAGACGTTGGAAGGGACGCAGGGTGAGAGGGTAGCAAAAAGATGTTTTCTATAGGAAACCGCCTTTAGACCAAACCCAAGTGAATGATTCTCTAGCACCGGCCTCATCCCATGTGATGCCCTCCCACCTCGCCTGCTTCAGTCAGATCCTCTCTCCAATTTCTCTCCTCACAGTAGTCATGGGCAGTTGGGAGCCAGCAAGGGCGGTGATGGCCTTCAGAGCCCCATGCTCCAAGGTGGGGCTGATTTGAGTGTCGGATTTGGGGGCCGTCTTTTAAATTTTTCCGTTTTTTCAAATTAAAGAAAAAGGCAAAATAGTCCGATCTTGAGAGTACCATTCCATTAGTTTTGATAGACATATACAGCCACATAATTACCTTCCCCAATCAAGATATGCAATGTTTGCATCCTCTAAAATCTCTGTTTCCTTCCAGTCATTCCCGCCCCGCCCCTCCATGGGCGAACTGTGTTCTGAATTCTATCATGGAACGGTTTTGCCTGTTCTTATGGTATGTATTCTTTTGCGTCTGACTTCTTTTGCTTAACGTAATGTCTGTGCGATCCATCTACGTTGTTGAGTGTGCAGGAGTATTTCTCTTTCTATTGCCGAGTGGTACTCCAATGTGAGGATGCACTAGTTTTCCTTTACATTCACGTGTCAGTGGGCATCCAGGGTGTTTCCAGATTGGGGCTTATACTGAACAAAGCTGCTATAATATCCTTGAACAAGTCTTCTTGTGGACGTATGTTTTCATTCTCTTAATAAATACTTACGAATGGAATTGCTGGGTTGTATGCTAAATGTATGTTTGCCTATAAAGGCAAACTGCCAACAATTTTCCAAAGTCATTTTATTATACTTCCACTGGCAATGTACAAGTTCCAATTTCTCTATATCTTTGCCAGAATTTGGTGTTATCAGTCTTTTAAATTTTAGCCATCATAGAGGGTGTGAAATAGAATGTCATTGTAGTTTTAGTTTGCATTTCCCTGATGACTAAGGATGGTAAGCATATTTTCCCATGCTTGTTGGCCACGTGTGCATCTTCATTTGTGAAGTGTCTGCTCAAGCATTTTGCCCGTTTTTTACTGGGTTGTTAGTCATTTTGTTAGTAATCTGTAGGAGTTCTTTATGTATTCTGCATAAAGTTCGTACCTTGCTTTTTAAATTTTCTTAACGGTGTCTTTGATGAGCAGAACCTTTGCTTTTGAAGAAATCCAATTTATCAAATTTTATTTTATGTTTAGTGCTTTTGGTTTTTTGTCTAAGAAATCTTTGCACAAGCTCAGGTTGTGAAGACCTTTCTCTTATGTTTTCCTGTAGAAGCCTATAGTTCCAGCTTTTACGTTGAGGGCTGGGATCCATCTCAAATTAATTTGTGTGTGTGGTGTGAGATATGGCTCAGCATTTATTTTTTTCACACGTTTCTTCAGTTGTTCCAGCACTATTTCTCAAAAAGATTTTTCTTTCTCCGTTACTTGCCAAGGCGTCCTTATTGAAAATCAGTTGGCAATATGTGAATTTATTTCCGGATTCTCTACCCCTTTGTCTATTGCTATATCAATACCACTCTGCTTGCTTACTGGAGCTTTCTAGTTAGTTTTGAAATCAGGTGGTGGGGATCATCCAAATTAGTTCTTTTTCAAGGTAGTTTTGGCCATTTTAGGTTCTTTGCATTTTCCTGTAAATTTTAGAATCAGCTTCTTCTGTTTACTTTCTTCTCCTGTATCTAGAAGAAGTCTATGCAAATTTTGCTTGGGATTGCGTTGGACCTGTAGATCAGTTTGGGGAGAACAGACATGTGAGCAATATTGACCTTACAATCCAGAAGCATGGTTACAGCTTTCTACTTGTTTAGTTTTTCTTTGACATTCTTCCTGCGGTGTTACAGAGTTTTCAGTGTAGTGTCATATATGTCTTTGTTAAATTTATTCTTAAAACTTTTATGTTTTTATTTTATTTTATGTATTTTACATTGTTTGATGCTATTGAACTTAGAACTTAAAAATAATTTCATTTTCCAATTGTTTTCTGCTATATGTGGAAATACAATTGGTTTTAATAATATTGACCTTGTGCTCTGTGAATTTGCTAAATTTGTCTATTAGTTCTAGTAGTTGTTTTGCAGATCTTGGCATTTTCTACATAAACAATCACTTTGTCTGGGAATGAGGACAGTTTTATGTCTTTCTGTCTAATTTTTGTGCCTTTTATTTTATTTCATTGCTTTATTGCAAGGGTAGGTCCTTGCAAGGTCCAGTGAGATGTTGAACAGAAGTGGTAAAAGCAGACATTCTGCCCTTGTTCACAGTCTTAGGGAGAAAGTGTTCAATATTTTACCATTAAAAGTTAGTTTTTTCATCGATGACTTTTATCAGATTGAAGCGGTTTCCTTCTGTTCTCAGTGACATTTTGTCAAACGTTCTTTCAGCATCCATTGAAATGACCGTGTGGTGTTTCTCCTTTATTCTGTTACTGTAGTGAATTCGATTGATTGATTGAGTTTTTTCAGTGTCAGATAGCCTTACATTCTTGAGATAAACCCACCATGTGCCGTCGTTGCCATACCTCTTACACTTGCGTACATTATAAACCTTACAGTACAATGTCAAAATTTTTACTTTAGTCGGTCGTCTTTTTGAGAAGTTAAAAAGAATAAGTGAAGTCTTATATTAACCCACATATTTACCATTTTTAGTGCTGTTCATTTCTCCGTGTATGGAAACTCAGATCTGAGTATTCATCTGTGTCTTTTTTTTTTTTTTTTTAAAGATTGGTACCTGAGCTGACATCTGTTGCCAGTCTCCTTTTTTTTCTTCTTCTTCTCCCCAAAGCCCCCCAGGACATAGTTGTATATTCTAGCTGCTGCTATGTGGGACACCGCCTCAGCATGGCCTGATGAGCGTGCTAGGTCCCCGCCCAGGATCCGAACTGGTGAAACCCCAGGCCGCCGAAGTGGAGCGTGCGAATTTGACCACTCGGCCTCGGGGCCGGCCCCCATCTGTGTCATTGTTCTTCAGCCTAAAGAACTTCCTTCAGCATTTCTTGTAGTGCAGGTTGGACGGTGATGAACGCTTTTCTATTTTATCAGAAAACATCTTTACTTCACCTCTTTTTGGAAGGATATTTTCTCTCTATATAGAAATTTGGGTTGACAGGTTTTTCTTCTTTTGGCATCTTAAAAATATTATTTTGTTGTTTTTGGTGAGAAGTCAGCCATCATCTATTATTGTTTTCCTCTTGCTCCTTTAAGATTTTCCCCTTGTCTTTGCTTTTTCGGCAGGTGCACCGTGGTGCGCCAAGGCATGGTTTTCTTTTGATCCTGATTGCGGTTTGCTGAGATTCCTACCTCTGTTGGTTGATGGTTTTCACCATATTCAGGACATTTTTGGCACTATTTTTCAAATTCTTTCTGCTCCATTCCTTCTGGAACTCCAAGGGCATATGTTAGACCACAGGTAACAGGGATAATTTTTTTTCAAAAGTTTCTTTCTCTTCTTCAGATTGGATAATTTCTATTCATCTATCTTCGAGTTCACTGTCTCTCTTTTTTCTCCAAGCTGCTGTTAAGCCTACCCAGTAAAAATTGCATTTCAGATGTTGTACTCTTTAGTTTTAGAATTTCCATTTGGTTCTTATGGTGGTTTTATATTGGGTCAAATTAACTAAGCTAGTACTGCATTTCTGGACTCATTTCCCTGTATGGTTCCATGTTAGGGTTGGCCAGAAGAGAAGTTTGCATGAGGTCATAAGGCAGAAGAGAAGTAGCAGCCACTTTACTGAAGTGTATCTGCAGCTGCAGCTTGCTCTCATCTGTTGTCTTACCTTCTTGGCATGGGGCAGCAGCCAGAATCAAAGCTCGCTCAGCTGCCACTGGATCTCTTCCTTTGGTTTCTCTGAGATCTGAGCCCAGTGAGTGGGCAGCTCCATGTGAAGGGCACTGGCTCCTTCTGTAGGTCACCCACATCATCGTGTTTGGAGGTAGTGAGAGACAGATGTGGCTTTTAGTTTGTCCTCGTGGGTTCCTGTTTTTTCTCATGGGATCTAGGTTATCCTTGCTTTTCCCCACATCTCATCCAGCTTCCCTTCTCAGCTGCTGGCCCTGCTGCCCTACGATGACGTCAACCTCACCACTAGATGCCGAGACGCCAGCCTTCTGTAGACTTCTTCACCAGCGCCCACAATTTCATAAGGTCTAACCCGTAGAATAAAACCCTATATTAATATCACTTGTAGTGGTTCTGCTTGTTTGGTCAAATCCTAACCACTTCTCTGCTGAGATTCTCCTAGTCGCTCACTGTGACCGTCTTTTCCTTTAATTCCTTGTGCATATTTCTCATATCTGCTTTAAAGTCCTTCTTTTAATTCTAATAGCTGGGTCATCGGTGGGTCAGTTTCTAAGACTGTTTTTTCTCTTAACCATGCATCACATTTTCCTGTTTCTTTGTGTGTCTTATAATTTTTATTGTACTGGCTATTGTGAAGAATGGGTTGTAGATACTTTGCCTTCCTCTGAAGAGTGATGATTTTTGTCTTAACCAGCAGGTAAAAGATTGGCTGATCACCTTGAGTCTGTGGAGGCTTAGATTTACATTTTTGTTAGGGTGAGTCTGTTTCAATGTTGTCTTTAAGTCTGGGGTGTATCCCTTGGTCTTGGTCATAGTCTTTACTCCTAAAGTGTAGCTCTTCTGTGTTTCAAAGGAACTCCTGAGGTGTTTACCAAGCCTCTCCAGCTTGGTGTGACTTAGACTTTCAATTGTCCCCACTACCATAGGCAGTAGCTGAAATCCTTGTTCTGAATTTCATCTTTCCAATTGTTGCTTTCTACTGGGTACTTCGAGTCTCCCTGTGTGTTTGCAGTTTGGAGGGAAGCCTAGAATTTGAGAGGACTTTGTATACATACGTTGGGGCTGGCACACCTGTAGATCCATTTCTAGAGTCCCTCCCCTCATTTTTGGGCACTCTGGGAGCCCAGATTCTGTTCTCTGATGCCTCAAGATGGTAACTACAGCTTTCTGCTTGAATTCTAGCTGTTCCATTCCAAATGAACTGGGGCGTGCCCTTCAGGGAACAAACCACGTAAACGTGTATCTCACCCAGTGTAGTTCTCTTGATTCAAGGGTTGAAACCCCTTCGATCCTTGTTTCTGACGGCTTTTAGTCTATTTCGCATGGCTTTAAATGTTTGTTTTTCTATTTTGTCAAGGTTTATAATTGTTGTCTACCGGAGGGTTAGTCTAATGCAAGCTACTCCCTCACGACTGGAATCAGAACTTTGAGAACTTTAAGGTGAAGCAAAAGGAAGAAAGAAGGAGAGAAAGAGAAGGTGTCCCTGAACCCTGTTAGGAGAAAGAGAGCTGGAGAGGTTTGGAAGGTGAGTAAAGAGGTGTAGGAACAATCTCCCCTTTTAATAGATCGCCTACCTTTGCCAGAAAAAAAAGGAGTGTGTGTGTATGTGTGTGTGTGTGTGTGTGAGAGAGAGAGAGAGAGAGAGAGAGAGAGAGAGAGAGGCTGAGAGAGAGAGAGAGAGAAAGAGGGAGAGAGAGAAAGAGGGAGAAAGAGAAGAGAATGAGAGAGTGCCACAGAGCACTGTGATGTCACCTCCCCAAACCCAGAGCACAGGGATTAGAAGGCACTGGAGGAATACGGGGGAAGCTGCTCTAACTGCCGTGCCAGCTGCTGGTGTGTGCGTGTGTGTACACCCTGTGCACCCAAGTCAGCACCCGAAGGCTAGTACAGAACACGCTGTCTACCGCTCTCCCTCGTTCATTGCCAATTATTTGTTCTAAACCATCAAACAATGCGAAAATGATAAAAAGGGTCCTGGAGAAGATTCTCCAGGATACTTTGATTTTCTGGTTTGTTCTTTTAAACATGTCCCAGGATATCTGACCAGGATGGTACTGATGGGTTAGAAATTATGATGCCTGTTACTGGTCCACATTTTGGGGCAAACAGCCTGCCATCCAGGCGTGCAGGCCAAAGCTGGACTGCTTACAAGTTTGATATCCTACCTGTCAGCCCAGAGTGTGTTGTTACTGCCTTTGGAATTAGTTGCACACATTTAAACATAAGGATTCCTAAATGGCTCCTTTAGACAGCCCGTGCGCCCTCCAGTCCTCCACAGCTCCCAGCACCCCAGTACCAAGGCTTGTCTGCTCCCCTCACTCACATTTCTGAACACGGCCTATCTGGCCCTAAAAGTTTTTGAGTTTGTGAGTCCTGCTCTAAATTATGCTGGGGTTGCTCCTACTGTCCTTGGTAATGCCACCATTGTTGCCTGTCTGGACTTTAGGGGAGATGGAGAAAGGTCTGGATTGATCTGTGGAAAATAAGGATGCCTGTAAAATCCCCTGGAGAAAACAACAAAACAGGTTATCAGCTGCCAGGAGGATGGCTGGAATGCTAACAGATATTCCCACAATGCTTTAAAAAAGCCTCCCTTGGCCTAGACCTGAAGAGTGTTTCTACTGAGGAACAAGCTTGTCAGGTGAAGGGCACCACTGGGATAGCCTGGCAGGCAAGAAAACCACGGGACCGAATGTGACTGTTGAAAAAGGAGGACACGTAGGGGAGACAGAGCGGGTGGTAGTGAACAAAATGTAGCAACATCGGGGGAGAAGCATCACAGTGGATCAGAGCCGTGAGAGGCTGGACCCCTCCGTATGGCTTTTATCCCACCACAGCGTCCTACACACGGTCCAGGCACGGTAGCTTCCGGGCGTGAGAGTAAAGAGATGAACAATTAAAGAGGGCCGAGTATGATACAATGGGGAAGATGGAGAGGAGAAGGCAAGGACTTTCAAAGATGGAATAGATATGCTGTTCTGAAGACACTCCTGGGAATCTCTAAGGCTGGTGAGTGAGTTAAGAACTCAGGGCCAGTCCTACAGAAAGGCCTTATACAATAATGGCTAAAAGTGTGTGGTGTAGAATCAGACACTTGTGGGCTTTGCAATTCATCATCTAGGCAACCCTGGGCAAGTTTTGCCTCTGAATTTCCTCATCTGTAAATGGGGATAGGCTAGTACCTGCATCATAGGGTTGTAAGTGTTAACTGAGTGGATACTTATAAAGAGCTTAGTCTAGTTTCTCATAAATGTTAGCTGCCATTATTATTGCAATTACTATTATTATTACTAGTAGCAGGAGTAAGGCATGAACACCTGTGTGTTATGACACATCCATCACGGTCACAATCATGACCACTGTCACCCTACTTCTTTCTGTTAAAGCACCCACGTGCCAGGAAGCCTTTGCTAAATGGTAAATTTAACCTGCGTGGCTTATTAGCAGCGATGACAAATTTCGAAGGAATAGGCAGAGGTTTTGGGAGAAGTTTGGACTGCTTGGATCTGGTGAGGGTTCTCCCTTGGTAGCTTTGGGACATGTGAAGGCAGCAGGAGAACGCTGGGCACTGAGAGGAAAGATGGGAAGACAAACCACACCGGCTGCATCCGCTGTCTGAATCTGATAAAGTACAGCCACGCCCAAACGTCCTGAAGATGCTGTGTGCCAAGTGCAGGTTAAATTTTTCACTATAGCGTGAAAACAAGTCCTACCTTAAATGCTCTGGCAGGGCCGGGCTAGCTGAAGGCTCCTTTGTGCATGTGAGTAGGAGTCTGGTTAGGGTAAAGGCAGAGGTGTGTGGAAGAAACCTCCCCTTTTTTGGATCAGGAGAAGGAGCTGCTGCCCTTGCATCACTGCTATTGCCTAGTCTGCCTAAAGGAGGCCCTTCTCAGCCCAGAGCTTATAAAGGGCAAGCAGACACTGGTCCCAGTGAAAATCAGCGCATGCGTCTAAAAGGAATGCAATGAATTGCTTTTCCTTCCTCGTGCTTTCTTGTTTGGCTTCCACGGAGGTCTGTGTTTGTGGAAGAACTTGGGTCTAATTGTTGCAGACAGATGCCCGTGTTCTTTTAGCTGAGGCAGATGGGCAACAGGAGGAGGAGGTGGGGGTGGCTTTTAGGGAGGAGGTGACATTTGTAAATATGTCAAGGGACATTGCAAATTCCGTATGAATGCATTGGAACCTTTTAAATGAGAAGATGAAATGATTTTTTATATCATCATTATGTGCTTGTCTGTGAAGACGAGTTGTATCAGTGAGGGCATCGATTCTTGATTGTCTGTGGTTACAGTAGATGAAAATCAGCTACGGGGAATAGCAATTATTTTCCACTTTTCCCGATATATCATGTTTTACAAGAGCTGCTAATAATTTGCAAAATCAACTGTTGCTTTTCCCCTTTCCATCATAAACAACAAAAGGGCCAGATAGCAGGTAGCCTAAGGAAGAAAGAAGAGCTGTAAGTGACTCGGGCTAACCCGCTGCCCCGCTCAGTAGCTTCCGAAGAGCAAGCACTGACATGTGTGGTGGCTCATCGGCCAGATGCCTCCCTGGGGCTGACGCGCACTGGCATGTGCCCTCCAATCCAGCTCTCTGCGCTGCAGCAAGCATTCAAGTCTTAAGCTCTAATCAGGTAAGTCCAAGTCCCTTGTCACCACCCCAAAGCTCAACTAACTGTGATGCTGCCTCCTGGGACCAGACCCTGACTCTCTCCAGCAACTTACCCCTTTGTCCAGCGGAACCTTCACGTCCAAAGAGAGAGAGCCTGTTTCCCCATTGATCATGGCTGCTCTCAGCTTCAAGAGGAAAGATAACAGCGTTAGTTCCTTGGCTTGCACTGGGGTGGAGGGCACTGGGCTTTACTGACCAGATTGGAGGTGATGCCAAGGGATGCTTTTGGTTTTCCCTTTTTTCTCTGAGCAGAATACTGGGAGGACCCATAGACCTAATCTGGGTTCCCTTTAGCTTGTAACTCTGAACATTCACAAGATAATCCTCCAACATGGACTGATGCATGAGGGCACATAGTGTCATATTACTGAGACAATTTCCTCTAGGATGAGCTACTAACACCAAAAGCCAGACTAAAACATCACTAGAACTCAAACTCTGTAGCTTATAGACATGACCTCATTCAGCCTCAGTAATCCTTATGATTCAGGAAGACATGGTTGTATTTTTAAAGTTGTTGAAAGAATTGCCCATTATAGAAGTTGCTTCTGGCTTGGGCTTGGAAAGGCTCTGTCTGAGAGGAATAGAGTGATTTAAGAGCTTACAGCCACGCAGCTGACCCGTGCATTGGCTGTCGAGCCAAAGCAGACTCACGGTTTCCGCTCGGTCCTCCCACTCCACTTCAGAGAGATCCACGCTGTTGTAGTTAGGCTTGGGCTTCAGTTTCTTTCCCTCTCTGTACTGGAACGGGCAGGTCAGGAAGAGAAACACAAGGTCAGCACAAGGGCCTGCTCAAGTTTCATCTCGTCTCTAAAGCCTCTCAGGTATACCCATAAAATCAAGGTTATCTGGCCACGCTTCTGCCCGAGGCAGAGCTTCCCTTGCCAGCGCTTGTGACAGGTGCTCTGTGGGTCTGAGTGTTGTCCTCGTGATGGGGAGCCTCTACTTTGCAGTCAGCTCGTCACAGCTACGGACAGCTCTCCCCTCCAGGAAGCGCCTCCTCACACCGAGCTGAAGTCGGTCTCCCTGTGACTTTACCCGTTGGTCTTGGTTCTTTCTGGAGCTACACAGAACGTCCTCCACCTGACAACCCTTGAGATTTTCAAAGGTGCTTGTCACTCCTAAGACTTCGCTTCTTCAAGCTAGACATTTCCAGTTTGCAGATGCCTCGGCTCCCTTGGAAAATGCTTTCCTTTGCCAATGTCACTCCCAAAACAGAGTGCCCAGGACAAAGTCAGCATTTCAGATGGGGTCTGACTAGTGTGGTGCAAGGTTTGACTTGTATGCACCAAAATATCATAGAGCTCTGACTGCTGCCTCTGATTCTGCTGGACTCCCTGGACGGCTACTCTGCCCCGGCAGCTCAAATGGAGTTTTCAGTCAATGGAATCCCCTTGGCCTTCCTCATGTGATGCACTGTTAAATTACGTCTTCATAATCTTATACTTGAGCATCAAGTATTTTGCAGAGCTTTCCATGCATCCCCAATATGTTTCAGCCCATTGTTTTAGAAGAATACCTTCTGAATACTAATTTTCTCACTTGTATTAGCCATACCTTCCAGACTTTGTGGCATCTGCCTTCTGTGTTTTCATCTTGTTGATAGACTTTCTGAATGAGGTAGAGCCAAGGACAGCCAGATTCTGCAGTGCCTAATAAAGACCTCCCTCCAGCTTGACACAGAGCCATTAGTCAACACTCTTTGAATGTTATTATTATTTTCTGGTCCTGACTTCTCACTCTCTCTCTGTTTCTGTCTCTTTCTCTGATGCTAAGACAGATATCATCAAGTTAGCCACTATTAGGCATTCCCAGGTTAAGTTTAGCAAGCTTATGAAAAGAGGAAAGAGGATAGTTTTATCATCAGGTAAGTTAAGAATTTAATCAGAGGGTCTACTTTTTAGCAGAATGGGGCCCCTGCAGATGCTCGAATGGCTGAAGTCCTCTATCACTGTGTATCTTGCTTCTGCCAGGTTTTTTCCCCCCAAGAAAGTATCCTTATTCTTGCCTGGCCACGAGATGTGTAGTATAACTGCCACAACAGTGTCCCCCTCTCATCCTTCTCTTTTTCTCCTCACTCACGCTTGGATGACGTTCCCATCCTTGGCCTTATTGATGTCCATACTCGTGACAAACAGCACTGACCTGCTGTCTTTTACACTAGATGTGTTTTTTTTGAGTGACGTGTGACATTCTTCATTCATTACCATTTCCTAATTCCTGATGATACCTGAAAGATCATCTTTAGCTCCTCTAATTAAAACCAAAATTCTACTTGTTAATTATCCTACTTGAGCACTGACATAGAAAGATTTCAGGCCAAAACTATGCCTCTTGACCCTCTTTCAATTTATTACTAGGCATATCCTCTATTATTTTTCGTTTTTTTAACTCTACTAGTGTTTTCCGTAATGTCTATCATAAATTAATAGTGCTTTCCTTAGGAATCTCGTTATGTTGGGTTTACTGTATCTTTCGTTATGTAATAATGTTCTGCATGGTATTATTCTCTAATTGTTTCATTTGTGTAGGTCTATTTGTGTGTCGTCTATTTCCTTAATTAAACTATAACTTCTGTTTATAGTATTCTTCAGAGCATTATAAGAGTAGGTACACGGTAGGTCCACAATATGAATTGATTGGTTGAAGCCTTGTGTTCTTCCAGATTACATAGATGGAGACAGATAGGTTTCTGATCAGTGCCCCGTATTTGTACAAGTCAGCGCCAGGATCACATATTTATTATTTCTCTAGTGAGTAATTTTGTTGGCACTGGGGCTGCCCCCAACAGAACCCACTGGTATAGGTCAATGACCCATTATAGGAGCAGATACTTGCCCAGCAGAGTCTGAATTGGGAAGACAGAGTGGTTTCCAGTGTGCTCTGATCTCTCTCTTCTCAGAACCCCTATATTTTGCCCTAAATAGCTCAGTCAGTTGCCTTGTGGACACTCAGTATCTGTCTGAACTAAATGGAATGGAATGTGGCTTAGACTGATCTCTCCAAGTGGCATCTGGGACAGACGAGCCCCTGAATAGGTTCTCGGAAAGGTGCTCTGCTAGCCACTGTCCTCAGGTGCCATCTTCCATTCAGCGTGAGTCTGGCAGAGGGAAAAGGGCTAAATTCCTCTAGGACTTTAACTTCCCTTTCTCCACTGCCCCCAACAATCACACTGAGAGGTGTGGCCATTATCGCCATGAACAGTGGCCAATGCCATGACCAGAGGCAGCAGGGAGCCCTTAGCCCGGGAGGCAGAATTTTTAGATAAAAATGATGCAACTGTCTCTTGGCCATTGGTTGTATAGTTAAATGCATTTGGAAATGTCCTCAGCCCCTGTATCAGGACGGAGGGAGCTAGGAAGGAGGGATGAGCGCTTGGGAACACATCCTAAGACAAACTGTGAGGAGCCTCAGCTCTGCTGCCTCCCGCCATGAGATTCCTCCCCTGACATTTTTATTAACTCGACAGTGTTCACACCCCCTGGGGTGGGCCCCTGGAGTTGATACCACTGTCAGACTCCAAGAGGGAGTGTAGAGCAACAGAGGCAGTGACAGGAGCGTACGGCTATGTCCTACAGAGAAAACTGCTTGCTTCACTGCATCCTCTCCAGACGGTTCATCAATTTGTCCATGTATTTTTGCCTTGTCTCTCCCGCTAGATTATAAGCAATTTCAAATCAGGGACTACGCCTTAATTTTTTTCTCATATTACCCATTGGGTTCTTAAATGGAGCCAAATTTAACTGTTTTATGAATTACCCCCAAATCCCGTATACTTAGGATTCCAAGGCAAATAAGATCTTTACCTACCAGGGGTCGGAGGTCAGGATGTGAGAGGATGTAGCCATTGTTAGTATTCAAAAAGGCATATCCATGCACTCCGAGCTGCCAAAGACAGGGGTTGGGGGGCATTAGACTTGTTGCGTGTATTGGAGAACTGGACTTGGGAAGGGGTTGGGGACCACAGGATGGTTAAAGATGGCAGCTCACAGCAGTGAGTTTTTCACATAGCAATATAACTGAGCAAGTGCCGTGCTTCCAGCTACTAATTTGGAATTCCTTTCCAAATTCTGCCTTTACGGCAACCATAACAATACCAATCACCACCTGGCCTCTTTCCCACCACACACTCCAGGTGCTTTGATGGGATCATCTCACTTACTCCCAAAACAGGACTGCACGGCATGGCAGAGCAGATTGAGAAACTGAGGCACCAGGAAGGGAAAGAACTTGCTAAAGGCCACAAAGCAACGCAGTGCTGGTGGTGACAAAGGGTCCCAGGAGTCCAAGCCACTGTTCCCATGCTCGGTGCCTGCACTTCTCCAGGGGTGGGATGGCGGGGCCCTGGCCTGCACGGGGCTTAGCTGCACTGCCTGCAGAGGGGCTCCTGAGCCTGGTGGGGTGGCTCCTTGGCTGCCTGTGAACCCTGCTCAGGCTCCTGACCCAGGCTCACCTTGTACCGTGGCGCCAGCTTCATCAGCTCTCTCAGGGCCACATCAGAGCCCACCACACCCAGGAGAATGCCATGGGATCGCTGGAAGGAGAAACACCAGGGTCGGGGGAGACCTGGCTTCCCCGTGCACAGGGCCCGACTGGACCCTCTGCCTTCTCAGAGCCCAGGAGGGGCCTCATGTGGTCCTTCCTCTGCAGTTAGATTTTAGGCTGAGCTCCCTGGGAAAAAATCTAGAACCTCCCAGAAGATGCCCTGGGAGTAATCGCAGCTACTGGGAAGATTAATGTCCAGTATTAATATTTAAGTTGTAATATTTAAATGAAATACAAAGTTGAATGAAATATTAATTTTCATAGCAGAGGCTGACGTATCAGAATCCGAGGGACTCTTCTCTGCGGGCGCCCTGAAACACACAGGCCTGTCGGGAAACCTTTCCTGACCAGATGAGGATGCAAAGCTCGCCAGAGGACTTTACGAACAAGTTAGAGACTGCCCGCCCTGGTGGGTGAAGTGTGGTGTTGCAGGAAGGCTGGGAGGCAGCCCCTCGAGCCCTGTATCCCTGAAGCAGTGGCCCCAAGCGCAGAGCAGCGGGACGCCCCCAGGCTGGTGAGCAGAATCACTGGGGGAGCTTTGGGAAGTACCGACCCCCACCCCACCCCTCACCCCAACCCCTCCCGACCAAGAGGTTCTGATGTGGCTCCTCAGGCATAGCGCCTGGAATCTGCATTTACAGCCTTCCCAAGGTGGATCTGACGCCCAGCCAAGTCAAGAAGCACTGGTCTAAAGATGCCGGCCGGTGGCCCCAAGTTCTGATCCCTGCTGCAGCTTCTCAGGGAGTGGCCTCTCACCGTTTCGTTCTTCTTGCTGAAGACTGGCATGGCCACGGTGGTGAGGAGCATCACGTTCTGTGCCTGCGAGGTGAGAAGCTGTCAGGAAAGAAAGAGCAAAGGACGGAGGGCTCAGAGGCCACAGTGCAGAGGACCCACAGTCGCTGATGCCAACTACGACTCAGTGTCATCACCCAATGGGAGGAAGAAACCCCAAACAAGGTTTCCCTTCTCTGCAAAAGGATTGCTGGCAGAAATGCTGGAGGAGAGAGGTGGGCTGGAGAGGGGGACAGGCTGATGTCACTTAGCAAGGAAAGTCCCAAGCTGGGGAGAGTCTCGGCACCCCAGAGCCCGGCACCCAGCTCCCAAGCATGCTCACTGAGCCCTCTGGTCTTGGCCACACCAAGGATGAGCGCGAACTCACGGAACAGGCCCATCCCTGCATGCCCAGAAACAAAGAGGTTTAGCACAGCAAGAGCTTTTCCAGAAATCTCTGCTGCGGACCCAAGGTTGGCACAAAATGCAGCCCAGGCCACTTAAGAGGGAAAGGGACATTGACACAGAGCCACCCGCAAACACAGCACATGTGTGAGGAACCACAGTGCAAGGGCAGGCCTTGGTGCACTTGTCGCTGGCCTGGGGGTCACCCCTAACACACACAGGGCACAGACCCACCACTCGGAACGCCAGAGCCGGATCACTCCTGGCCTCCGAGATGGCCCTCCTCCAGGACTGCTGCATCTCACTGTGCCAGCTCCTTCAGCGCCCTTGGAGGGGGCTTCCCACGCGCACCCCGCTTTATCAGAAGGGAGGCCCTGAGGAGCACTGTGTGCAGGTGTGTGTGAGAAGGCCAACCTTCATCAGGACCCGCTAAAGGGGGCCGCTGAGCCACGGAAGCCCACAGCAGGCTTTACGGAGAGTGGAGAACATTTGTTTAAATTGAGTGCATTTGACGTTTAACATTGTACAAATTTACGGTGTACGACATGTTGCTTTTCTACATTAATATACTGTAATATAATTGCCTTTGTAGTGATATTTATCATATAACATAATTATAGGACAATATTGTTTCTATGCATTAGACATTAACCATCAAGTCTCTTTCCCCTTCCTCATCTGACTTTTCAATTTAGAGTTCAGAAGTAAGGTTTTCTGAAAGTGAGTAGTTTCAGTTGACTAGAGTTCCACTAGCCACTTGGACCAGGAGAGTGCTGGCCAAAGGGACAGCAGGAAACGGTCTGAGTTCCTGATGACCAGGGAGCTCCTCATCAGCTCTGGGCCAGCCACTTCTAGACTTCTTTTACCTGAGAGAGAAATACACTTCTCTCTTACTTAAGTCACTATTTTCAGGTCTCTCTTAATCCCCGTCTGACACGTCATCATTGAAGCAGGTGGCTGTGTATGCGATGTGATTTGAAAAGTGCCAGGCAGGTCCCTCTTGCCCAAAAACATCTCGTCTCATCTCAACATTCTACCTTTGATGTCTTCCCTTTGTGTAAGTCATTGCCGCCTACAGGCAGTCTCTCTGACAGTGCAGGGGCCCAGGAAGGGGACACTTGATGAAGCTATAGTGTCTCGAACTACTGGTCAGACTCCTTTCTTCCCGTAAAGGTGGGAAGCAGGACTATGAGGGAGGTGAAGACAACGGGAAGGAGGCAGGACAAGTCTGGAGCAGAGGAGCTCCACAGAGGGTGGCCCCGCAGGTCTGCTCATGGGGTTTCTGGGCCTTTGGGGCAGCATAGAGGCAGTGGACCTGCTAGTGGGCTGAGAGTGCCCACCTGCTTCACAACCTTTCCTGAGGAGGTGCTCTGCTCACCCCTCTCTTGGCCCAGGAAGTCACCTCTGACTCCCTGGGGTCCCCAGCTCTGGAGGGGGTCAGGGCCCCACCTTGCTGTCCATGTAGGCTTCCGTCCAGGTGATGTCATGGTCGTGGTTGATGACCATGGGGCGGCTGAGGACGTGCAGGTACTCCATCACGTTCTCCTGGGCGTCTGCCAGCGTGGAGACCTGTGTGTAGTAGCCTGGCGGTGGGGAAGGGCCACATGGTTGTGGGATGCTCGGTGTTCCTCTTGGAACCCCTTTGCAGGACCCACACCCTCTCCCCCAGCTGCTCATGGCTCACATCGGGGCCCCTCACTGAGAACTGCTCTGGGCCACCAGGAGCTGCTTCCTACAGGGCTACCTGTTTCCCAGGGGACAGCTGGAGGCCAGTGGCGCTGATGTTGGCTACAAAGGCCCAGACCCTGTCTCAACTTGGGAGAACTCTGAGGGGCCCTCCCCGCTCCAGAGCTGCCATGGGAGCAGCAAGGCCTCAATTGCAAGGGCCTTGTGGGTCAGCTTCCCCCTCTTGCAAGACTGCCCTCCTCACTTCCTTACAGGGCTGTCTTCCAGGAGCTCTCCCGCCCGCAGGCAGCTCTGTCTCAGGGTCCGTTTCAGTGAGCCCCGTCTAAGACAGCAGTTCGAAACCCCCCACCTCCTTCCTCTGACCACTGTCCTTCCTCAGTTACGGGGAGGGTGCCACAGCCTCTTCACTGTAGCCATGGCGAGATTTAAAAGAGTGGATGGTTTACAAGGCAATGGATGATGTAGCACATTTACCTCTCTGTCTTGTTGCTCATCACCTCCCACAAAACATTCACTCCACACTCCAGTAAAATGGAACAGCTGTCAGTTCTCAGCGTGCTTCTTATCTCAGACCCTTTGACCATGCTATTCCTTCTGTCTGCAACTCCCTTCCCTGTGCTCTATGTCTGGCTGACTCCTACCAGTCCTTTATGTCTCAGCTTGCACACCCCCTCCTTCAGGAAGCCTTCCCTGCCACCCCTAAGTGGGGAAGAGCCTCTCCCAGTGCTGTCCCAGCTCTCTGTGCAGTCAGAGCCCCCAGTGCACCTCGGATGATATGGTCATTGATGGCTCCCCTGTTTTTCCCCCTGCGGACAGTAGAAAGAGCAAGACTGAGTCTGTCTCCACCACAGCTGACTCCCCAGCGCCTGGACATGTTGTCAGGCACACGGTAGATTTCGGCTTAATTAATTTTGGTTGGATCAAGAGGGCCTGAGACGGCACCATGAGGCCCAGGGCTTGGCTTCTGGCCAGAGACAGAGACAACTGTTAGCACACAGATCGATGTCCTAAAGAAAATGATGACCCTCTGCTTTTCGTCTGGGAGCAGAACCAGAGTCAATGGGCATGAGAGAACTTTCATTTAAAATGTGGGTCCCACCCCTGCCTCACTCTGTTTTCTAGATTGCGGTTTGTAAAAGGTTGATTTGGGGAGCCGGCTCTCTCTTCTGCAAACACTGCACAGACGCCCTCTAAGTTTCATTTCAGGTGACTTTATGACTTGGAGCCCCCACAGGAGTAATCGAGCGCTGCCTCGGGCTCTGTGGAGCACTCTACATCGTATCTCGCTTTTTCCAAGTAAGAAGCGGGGCCAGATACTGTCATCCTCGACACAGCGCTGCTCCTCTGCAAGGCCCCAGGCAGAAGCTACCAGTCTGCAGCTCGGGCCAGGTGGGTAACGCGTCCCACCGTGCTCAGGCGCTCTGCTCTAGACACCTACCTTTGTTATTGCACGCGATCCACCTCATGCGGTCAGCGAAAGTCACTTCTCTCCCGATGAGGTAAGTGAAAACTCGGACCTAATGCACAGGACGCAGATTGACTCAGCAGCCGTGGTTCCCGGCCGTGAGTGGGTCAACAGGTCGTCTCTGAGTCTTAGGTGTCAGGCCCAGCGCTCTGCTGTCTTTGGATGCTCCACTCTCACCCTGTTGGACTAGAAAGGACCCCGAGGGCCAGGCAGCAGCAGGACTTGGGGGGGCCATGGGACTTGGGGCAGACACAGGATGGAGGTCATAGTCCGCAGTTTCCACGTCTCACCGCCACCTTCCGTTCTCTCATCTGAGCCCTCTCACAGGAGCCCCTGTGCCCAGGGCCACCATGTTTATGTGGCACCAACTGGGGACATGCTCTCGGAATTTACTAATGGGGCTAATGAGGCAGAGCACTTGAACTCAGAGCAGGCCTGCTTTTCTGGGCCATCCCATCCACGGCAGTGCAAGAACATCCCCTTGGACCCTTCGCCTCCCCTCTCGCCCCCAGCAGAAGTAACCTTGCGGTCGGGCCAGTTATACTTCTCAAACACAGGCTCGTAGTCCTCCACGGCCCCGTCGGAGATCAGCATGATGGCCTGGTTGCAGAGGCTTCCTTGCCTGGCCTCTTGGAACTGTGTGGGGAAGGGGGGGCGCCATGACTACCGGCCATGAACTGCCCCTCCCGGGACCTCCACCTTGTCTCCTAACGGCTTCACTCATCCTGGGCTTCGTCAGGTGTGGGTACCTGATTCAGGATCTGGAAGGCTTCAGTCAGGGCTTGGTTCACGACCCCCACACCTTTGACCATCAGCTCATCCACCAGCTGTTTGAAATGCTGTCATGGGTAAGAAATTAGAGGAAGGTCAGTCAGTCAAGTGGGCCAGGAAAGCTTCATCTTTAGTCTTGATTTCTGAGGCCGTTTACAGCTATTTTCCCAGAAGGACATGATTGCAGGCTCCATCTTCCCATGACCCAGCTAATTTCACGGCTGGACCCCTACAACAGACATTTCTCAAACACCCTCAAGATAAACCAAGAGAGTGAGTGGCTCAGTGCAAATCCATCCCCACTGCCGGCAGGAAACACCCAATGTGAGCCCAACCAGAGCGGGAGGACCGTCCAGGCCAACACCCAGCTGCCCAGGTCCCAGCATCCTCAGCATCCCAGCCCTTTACCCCAAGGTGGGAATTTCACAGCAGAAACTGCAGGGGCCACCAGGGGCTCTAGGGACCCACTAGGGGCTTGGCTTCAAGCGGAAGCCAAGCCCAAATTCCCCAGTCACAGAGGGAAGGATCTGTGACACGCAAACTCAAACTTTTTTTTAAAAAAAGAAGCCACATCCTCTCCTCCTTGGCCTTTGAAAAGGACTCAACCCAATGGGTTTCAATTTCTCTCCCTTTCGGGAAGCTTCTCATGAAGACTGACATAGTAGAAAGGCCCACAGAGGAGGCAAAGGGGGAAACTGAGGCCTGGATAATCCACAGAGGGAAAAACTAGTTCTGAATAAGCAAGCTTCCCCTCAGACGGAAGGTCTCTTTGCTTGCTGTTTGCTCGGGCAACTGCAGACCTGCTTTGCCCCTGTTCCAAGTGCCATGCGAATAAGTAGAAGGGGCCATCAGGGGTCTGCACAGACAGCTTCCCACCATCCCAACCAGGGCAGGGGCTCAGAAGCACAGGCCCCGATGGACACTCACCTCGCGGTTGTCACGATCTGCCTGGACAAGGATCCCTCTAAAGCAAGGCTCGATGTAGTGGATGTGGTCACTGTACTGGTTCCGAGAGGGGAGAACAGACGGTCAGCGTGGAAAGTCAAGCCCAGGGACGAAGCTCAGGCAACTCTCAGGGTGTCAGGATTGGGGTCACCGAGGCACATATCCAATATTATTTTGGGTTACCCCATGCTTTGGGCAATTTTTCTGAGTGGAGAGAAGGGAGTAGAGACAACAGCAGGACCTTAACTCTAAAACCTCCCCTCAAATCCTGGGCTCGGGCCTTTTCTCAGGTGCTGGCTGAGTGGCGTCCACCTCATGGAGCACACAGAGAACCAGAATTTTCCAAGAGAATTCCTTCGGTCTCTGCCTCCAAGACCAGACAGAGTGCCTTCAATGGGAATTCCAGAGCCTTCCCTGTGCAGACCCCTCCCTAAAGCACGGGTCTGAAGATTAGAAACTTGTGCTTTTTTTTCTCTTTGCTCTTAATTTACGGAGAAGGTCCTTTAGCTATCAACAGGGGATGGGAGTGGGAAGAAAAACAAATTATTACTGCCCCCTTTTTCTTAATCACTCCACTTCCCCACAGTTAAAATTCGAATCTTGAAGGCGTCCTTCTGCTTAAATAAGAGAGGGAGAGAAGGGGAGGTGGTGGGGGAGTCACGGTAGAACTGCATGTGTGTTCTGGGGGGAACGTTGGGGTGTTGTGGGAGAAACAATGGGAGTGAATGCTTCCCCTAATTGCTACCCCCAACCAGCTGGAGAAGCCGGGTGGAGCCTGAGCGAGGGCTGGTGGGAGGGCGGAGCAGGAGCACGCTCCCACCCTTGTGGAGGCCAGGACCTGTGCTTGTGGCTGCCCTGTTGCTGCTGCAGGTTGGGCCCAGGGATGGCGAGGAGATTGAGGTAGGGAGGGAGGAGTCCAGGAGTGATGCAGGTGCGTAAGCAACGTGGGCCTCAGGGGGCAGCTCAAGGACAAAGGGGCTATTCTCACAGCTCCAGGATGACCGTTTTGAAGTTAGACCATCTTGCCTTGGTATTTCTTTACTAGACAAGTAAATCGCACTCAAGATGAGTGAAACAGGCTGGTTGGTGGTGGAGTTTTCGATCAGGTGGCCTTCAAAATGATGCGCCCAAGGTGGCTGTCAACTCTGCCTCCTTGGAGGGCTGCACTGGCTCGCTCTTTCATCCCATTTTAAAGCATTCTCCTAACTTGTCTCTCTCATTTCTTTCTGCGTTATCCCTCCTCTTATTGCCTTTCCAGGTGCAGGTGCAGCCTGCCTCAGGAAGAGCTGCTCTAAAAGCAGGACCAGGGTCTGCTGGCCCCTTTCCAGGCCTTCGCCCCTACTTCCCCCTTTCTCTTGATGGGTCCGGATTTGGGTGGGATGAGGCAGTAGGGAAACTGGGACTTTTGTAAAGCAGAAGCCAGGGGTCACTCATCCCACAGCAGAGTGGGGAGGCTGTTCCAGTGATGGGTGCCAGTCAAGAGCACATGATGGGGATTAGCTATGTATTTACTCGGGGCCAGTGGTGCTTGATCTTTCTTAGGCCTCGGACTCATCTGATGAAATTGATGAAATCTATGGACTCAGAAAAGTGGGCATACACATTTTATATATAATTTCAGGAACCTTATGGACCTCTTAAAGCCCAGCCTTGGTCAGACCCTAGGTTAGGAGCCCCAGTTTTGGAGGAGAGAATCCTTCTACAGTATGAAGCGTCAAAGTGATTGTAACTATACAACATCCTAGCGCAGGCAGAAGGAAGTTTTTTTCTAGAACAAGTGAGACTCTTCTAGAACAGGAAGGCACACTTACTGCGATGATATTAACAAAGTCATTCTCTCCCAGCGTGTCCAAAATGGTGGTGATGGTGTGCTTGGCAATGGTCATGCGCAGCCCCTTCATGCTACCGCTCGTGTCCACCACAATCACTATGTCCTTGGGAGAAGTAGCGGCTTGTATGTACCTTCAGCAGAGAGAGAGGGGCAGGCCAACAATGGGGAAACCAAAGCCAGCACAACCACCTGACCAAGCATCTCCACTTATGTCTAGTCAGATTCTGGCTCAGGTACATTCAAAGCGCAGTCCATGCCCCAGTGATGCCAGGACTCACGACGTCCCATAGCCACTCAGCATAGTTCTGAAACCATTTTGGGGGCAATAGCTGTGAATGTGCCCATCTAATGGGCCTGTCAGGTGGGAGAAAGGTCAAGCGCCAGTGGTAACCTTTCTCCTCTTTCTTTTATACCAGCTGACAGCCCGGAGTGGCTGGCAGCAGGAAGGGAGAGAGCTGGATTCCACCCTCAGATTCTGTTGCAAATCTGTCAGAGGAGGGGTTTTGGGGGAGAGGAGAGCCTGGTAGAGGGTTGAGTTGGAGACAGGTCGATGTCTTGGAAGGAGGTTTGGGTCAGGAAAGACAGTCCTGGAGCAAGGCAGCTGTGGGGGGAAGGGAGGAATGCAGTTGGCAACTCTTCCAACTCTCGTATTGGGTTAAGGTGCTACACACCTGAGATCCTCGGATGGGGGTACAGGGCAGGGACTAGAGGAGAAGCAGCAAAAGCCAAGGCGATATGAGAGAATCTAGCACCAGAGACATCTCCCCTGGGAGCTCTTACCAGCCGCGGTTCCGGCAGTCGAAGGCAATGACCCCGTTCTCATCAGGCGTCCACTTGATGCCTGGGGAGGAGAAGGCTGGTTCTTTCACCAGCTCAGAGAGGCCACTCCAGAGCCCCTGGCTGGGTGCTGACATCCGGGGTGGCCACAACCCCGGAGCAGGCCCAGCTGAGGACCTGGGCAACAGCATGTAGGACCATAAGATGACTCCCTGTAAACTGAGGCAGCAGGCAAAGAGGGTGGCAGCTTATGGGGGGACACTCACCACCCAAACCGCCCAGACTGAGTTAGAGTTACTTTCACAGGTGGGCTCTCCACGCGTGCTATGTGGGACTCATCGAGTTAGGAAGGGGAAGCCTCAGGGAGGTGGGACTTTTAACATCCGTTACCATCCAGCAGTGCAGGGACAAAGTGGAGGGGGAGCCAGGCACTCTGACTTCAGCCCACCTGCCTCCAGTCAGGGTAAGCTCCTTAGTGCTCACAATCCTCCTGTTGGCTCTAAGACCGTAAGCCCCTTGAGTTAGGGATTCCCAGTAGCCAGCACAGCGTCTGACACAGCACCCAGCAGAGATGATGTTCCATAAATGCTTTTGACATGAAGGAAAGAATGAACGGATGCGGATGAAAGGTCCTGCCTTGACTCACCAGCAGGGCGCTGGGGCAGATTTTGTCCTATGCGTCTAAACAACAAACTCGGATAAATGCACTCAAAGCACAGATAACATTGACGTGATCCACCATAGAATCTCTATATGAAAAGGCTTTAATGAGGAGGAAGAGTGGATTCAAAAGAAGATTAAAAATAACAGGTAAATTGTAATACAGTGTGTCTGGGCTAGAATAAAAATTGTGGCAATATCATGAATGTCTAGAAGCTCCAAGGGACCTTCGTGTTCCACAGCAGCTGGACTTGAGATGAGATGTGCCCTTTGAGGCATTGCTGGTCTCTCAAAGTAGGAGGGGTTTTTAGGGATCATGCCCCCAAAACGAAACAAAAGGGAGCAGAGTTCCAAGGATGAGAGGCAGGGACCAGGGCAGCCTGGAGCCAAGGTCTGGGAGGTGGAAGCAGGACCAGAACCATGGGCGGAGGTGGTGTAGGGGGAGCTAGAGCAACACGGCTCTGACGCAGGCCTGCCAGTGGCTGTGAGAAGTGGGGCCTTCCTAGGGCCACATTCCTATAGCAGCACGGTTGTGGGATTTGATCCTTAGAACAGCACTGGGGAGGAGAAACCGAGTCTGAACCAGCACCTTAGACGAGGGTTTTGCTGGTGCTGGTGGGAGTACCCTCAACTCCAAGCAGAGACAGAAGGGAATCCTCTTGAGGGGAAGCTTTCCCAGGTCAGGCCTGCAGGACTGCCACAGGTTACAAGTAGCTCGGCCTCCCAAACGGAGACTACCGTGCATTGGAAACAGGCCCACGTGAGAGGCACGCAGCAGAAGCAAGGGCCTTAAGATGTACCCTCCCAAGGACTACAGGTGTTGAAACTACCAAAACCAAAATGTAGGAGAGCTATGTTGGAGTAATCACAAGGAAGCATATATGACAAACATGATTAGGAATGAAGAAATAGCCTTAAAAATATGGGACTTTCAGAAATGAAAAAGTGTCTAAGTTGAAAAAAATAAATGCTTAGTGGATTATTCACAGGTAAAGAGAAAATGCATGCGTTTGAAGGATTTATCCAGAATCCTGTGGAGGCTAGAATGAGACGGTCTAACATATGTCTGACCAGAGATGCAGAAAGAGAAAAGGAAGGGCACAGAAGAAAGACAACGGTTACAGAGATAATGTTGGCAAATGTTCTAGAACTGATAAAAGAAATACAAATCCACAGATCCAGGAAGCACAGTATATCCTAAGCAGGATAAATAAAAAGATATCCACATATGGAAACACAGCAGTGAAACTGCAGAACTCCAAAGGCAAATAAATAGATAAATGAATACCCTGAAAGCAGCCAGAAAAGCTAGAACACTGCCAAAGGAGCAGCGGCGAAACTGCTGGCAGATTAAGAGAAGCCAGAAGACAGTGGAAAAACAGTTTCAAAGTGTTGAGGTAAAATAATTTAGAAACGCATTCCCAGCAAAACTGCCATTCAAGATTGAGGACAATGGGCCAGTCTGGTGGCAAAGCAGTTACATTCGTGCACTCTGAATTCGGGTTCACGGGTTGGGATCCCAGGTGCAGACCTAGTGCCATGCGGGAAGCCACGCTGTGGCAGCGTCCCACATAAAGTAAAAGGAAATTGGCACAGATGCTCACTCAGGGACCGTCTTCCTCAAGCACAAAGAGGAAGATTGGAAACAGATGTTAGCTCAGGGCCAATCTTCCTCACAAAAAGAAACAAATAAACAAACAAAAAAAGAATGAGGATGAAACAAAACATTTCTAAAAAAGCATGAACTGAAGCAGTTTACCACTGAGAGACCTACAGTAAAGAACTCTGGGAGGTTCTACTTCAAGAAGAAAGAAAAGGCTCCAGGAGAGAACAGCATGAGACGCTTGAAAGAAAGATAAGCTAATTCCGAACAAGCAATGTCTGTGTCAGATAACAGGAATAGTATCTAATTCACGGGGATAGCAGAGGGGAGGTTTAGATGACAATACAATGGAAGTCAGGGTGGGGGAAGGGCTGTAAGCTCAGGATTCTAAATTCCTTTGTGGATTGGGAGGAGGGTAAAGATATCATTTAATTTATTATTTGACAACTTCATGTGATAAATATGCCTGAGAAAATTGAAGGAGTAATTACTTAAAGAACAGAAACACATTGATAAGTTCCAAACTGATAGAAAAGAAAGAGAAATAACGGGGGAGGGGGCGATTTATCAAAAAAGGAGATAAAGGAAATATAAATACAGTGGGACAAGTAGAAATTTAAAAAATAAGATAATAGCATGTTCAAATACATCAATACAATAAATCTAAATGTGCTTATCTAGTAAAAGAGATTGTTGGCTTGGATGAAAATTAAAAAGCTAGAAGCGATTTTCAAGACATAGAGCTAAAACAAAATGACATAGAAAGTTGGAAGTAAAAGGACGGAAAATATATATATCAGGCAAACACTAGCCAAGAGTATATTGGTATCACTCTATAAATATCAGACAAAATAGACTTAAAATAAAAAGTGTTGTAGGACTAACATGGGTTAAGCAGACATAAAATCAGCAAAGACGTAGAAAATCCAAACAATATAATGACCAAGCTTGATCTTGTGAAGGATCAGAAGTGCCCACCCCAAACGTCTCTCTTTGCCTTGATTACTCTTAAGAACAAAAGACTCTGAAAGAAACTTTGACCTTCCCCCCAACCACCTAAACGAATTTAAGATGGAAGGCCCGCTCTAGGATGGAGCTAATACCATAAGATAACGTTGTCTACAGAAGGCCCAGCACACACTTAGTTAACAAACATTTGCATTTCCATCTCCATGTAAATTGCCTTCCTAACTTTGAAGCCTCGACCACTACCCTCAACATCCTCCTTTGTCCTTAGCTGCAATAGTATTTAAGGTGGTGTCTTCGGCCATTCTGGTGAGTTGCTCGGTTTTCCTGGGTTTCTCCATGTACACATTATAAAGCTTTGTTTGATTTTCTGTTATTCTGTCTCACGTCAGTTTAATTCTTACGCCAGCCAGAAGGACGTAGAGGGTAGAGAATTTGTCTTCCTCCCCTACTATCTGATGACGTGTGCAGAATTTTTCATCTAACAATTAGAGCACACAGAGTCTTCTCAAGCACACATGGAATATTTCCAAAACTTGATGACATACCAGGCTATGAAAATAAATCTCAACTAATTTCACATAATCAGTACCACATACACCATGTTCTCTGACTGCAAAGCAATTGAATTAGGAATTTATAATAAAAAGATAATTATAAAATACCTATAAATTTGAATGTATTCTATAATGTATTTTTAAAATATATTTCAAATATGTAAAAAATTTATTTTTTAAATAACTTTTAAATGAAAGATCAAAGAAGAAATCACAGGAAAATTTAAAAATATTTAGAAGCAAATGATAATTAAAACACTACCATGACACCAACAACACAGGCAATAAAAGAAGAAATAGATGATTTGAATTACATCAAAATTAAAAACTTCTGTGTATCAAAGGACGCAATCAACAGTGAAAAGACAACCTGTGGAATGGAAGAAAATATTTGCAAATCATATATCTAAAAAGACGTTAATATCCAGAATATATAAAGAACTCCTACAACTCAACAACAAAACAAACAATCTAATTCAAAAATAGGCAAAGAGCATGAATAGGCGTTTCTGTAAAGAAGATCTACAAATGGCCAATAGGCACATGAAAAGATGCTCTACATCACCAATCACTAGGGAAATGCAAATCAAAACCACAATGAGATATCACCTCATATCCATTAGGATGGCTACTATAAAAAAAAAACCCAAAAAATGAGGATATGGAGAAATTTGAACCCTTGTGCACTGTTGGTGGTGGGAATGTAAAACGGTGCAGCCTCTATGGAAGACAGTATGGCAGATGCCCCCCAAAATTAAAAATAGAATTATCAGGGCCAGCCCCGTGGCCAAGTGGTTAAGTTCACATGCTCCGCTTCGGTGGCCCAGGGTTTCGCGGTTTGGATCCTGGGCCTGGACACGGCACCACTCGTCAGGCCACGCTGAGGTGGCATCCCACATGCCACAACCAGAGGCACACACAACTAGAATATACAACTATGTACTGGGGGGCTTTGGGGAGAGGAAGAAGAAAAAAAAGAAGATTAGCAATAGTTGTTAGCTTAGGTGCCAATCTTTAAAAAAAAAAAAGAAGACTTATCAGGGGCCGGCCTGGTGGTGTAGTGGTTAAGTTTGTGCACTCCACTTTGGTGGCCTGGGGTTTGCAGGTTCACATTGCCAGGCGGGGGCCTATACACCACTCATCAAGTCACGCTGTGGTGGCGTCTCACATACAAAATAGATGACAACTGGCATAGATCTTAGCTCAGCAACAATCTTCCTCAAGCAAGAAGAGGAAGACTGGTAACAGATGTCAGCTCAGGGCCAATCTTCCTCACACGCACACACGCACAAATAGAATTATCATATGATCCAGGAATTCCAATTCTAGGTACATACCCCAAAGAATTGAAAGCAAGGTCTCAAAGAGATATTTGCATACCTATGTTCTTAACAACGCTATTCACAATAGCTGAAATGTGGAAGCAACCCAAGTAACCATCAACAGCTGAACGGATAAGCAAAATGTGGTACATCCATACAATGAAATAATACAAAGAAATTGTGCCACATGCTATGAAATGGACGAGTCCATTATAATGTATCTCAGGAGAAGTGTCTAAGAATGTTCACAGCAACATTGTTCATAAAAGTAAAAAACAAGGAAGGAAAACAAAAACTGTAATAACCCAGATAAGATCAGGAGGATGGATAAACAGATATATTGACCCCAAAAACATGATACAGTAACAAAAATGACAAGATACATATGTGACAACCCAGATGAATCTTCAGAGTATAATATTGAATGAAAAAACAAGTTCTAAAAGTCTATATATGAAACTAACTTTATAAATTTCAACAACAAGCAAAACAAAACAATATATTGTTTAAACAGACATGTGCCTGTGTGTACGTGTGTAAATATAAAATAAAACTAAAAAACTAAACAAATAGTCAAAAGATCCAAATAGCGATAAACTCAGACTTCAGGATAGCTATCACCTGGTCAGTGGAGGGACTGGGGGTGAGAAGTGGGGCAGAGGAGGAACATACAGGTAGAGAGAAGTTTGGGAATATTCTAGTCTTTGTGTTGGTGATGTACATACAGGCATTTATTATGTTATAAATGAAATTAAAAATAAAATAAAATAAACACAATCGGGCTGGCACGAGCCTGTGGGGACAGTGCCTCATGATCAGGGGTTGTGGCCAAGCCAGCAGCGTGCCCTGAGGGCGGATGCACGTCTATAAATGTGGGTGTGGTCGTGAGAACTGAAGGGCTCACACCTGGATTGTGTTGCTTGCACACAAAGTTGACGCCTCTGGAAGCCCTCATGAGGTAGGATATTGACAGGAATTCTGTCCTGGAGAGACTTGAGGGCCATGTGCGCTGCCTTCAGGCATCTGAAGGACTGTTACATGGAGGAGGGATGACGTTGTTCACTGAGGCTCCAGAGAACAGAAAAAGAACCAATGGCTGGTTGTGGATCTGGGCAGAGCCACAAGCAGGAGCACCTAACAAGGGACCTCCACGGGCTCCAAGGCCCCTTTGTACTCCTAGAGAGAGACTAGCTTTTCCAGTCTGGGGACACAGAGGGGTCCTTCAGGACCTTTCTGATTTCCTGTTTCAGAAAAACAGGGCAGCTTTAAGACCTTCTGGACAGTGTGCTAAAATGGGGTTGGAGTGAAACGTGGAGGTAAATTACTTTAAGTGAGAAGTAAAAAAAAGGTAGAACTCTTGCAAACATAGTGGTAGATGTTTTGGTTTTCTATTTTTCTTAGCGGACAAGGGAGCTTTCCCTACTCCATCTATTAGGTTGGCCAGTAACCTTATAGTAACCTGTGACATTTCCTACATTGCTGTCGAACACTTCAAGTGAGCGTGCCTCATTACTCCAATCGGGATGTAAACTTCTTAAGAATTGTTTTATCCTCCTTTGCATCTTCCATGATGATTTCATAGGACGGGGGTTCAATGTGGGCATTTATTGGCTGGTTACCATGGTGTTCGATGTTTTCATTCATTCATTCATTCAACAGCTATTTACTGAAAATGTGTACATCATGTTGTGAAGAGTGTCAAAGTGTGGGTTGGAGGTGCTTTTGGAGAGAAGAGCCAGCCTATTCACTGGGGGTCTGAGTGCCAGGGTCCATCTTCAATGCCCTATTGCCTCATTCCCAGAGAAGAAGCCCAGAGAATCACGGAGAAACCTGCCAATGTCTCTACCTGGATAGATCCTGAAGAATCCAGTTGAGCTGCCAAAATATTGCCAGGTCAATGTCGGGTCTCTCTGAAAGTTCTCCACAAAAACAGGGTTCAAGGCTTCAGACATGTAGACTCCATTTAAAATATCTGGGTCTAAAGGGTGACATTACAGAAGAAATGCAGGAGAAACTAAATCAGAAGCGACAGTGACCAATTCTTCACCTGTTGAATACAGACACACACACATACACCCCCAGCCTGCAGTGGGTTAGTTTACAACTTTCCTCTACATCTCACTCAGAGAGCTACACTCACGTCCTCTAATCCGGGAACACTGAGTTTTCTCCCCTAGGTTTGTGTAAATAATTTTTCTTCTCCTCCTCAGTCAAGGAGGTTGGAGAATCAGTTTACCACCGTGCAGGGCTTCTCAGGAAAATGGAGGCAAGTCATTAAAATCCACCAGCACCACCCTAGCAACTTCCCAGTGGTCAAGAGAGTGTGGCAGGCCGAGGGCGGGTCGGGAGCTACCTTTGTTGTACACGTTGGTGGGCAGCTGCACGCTGCTGATGGAGGTGTTCACCAGCAGGTTGCTGAAGTGCGCGTTGGACTCGAGGACAAACTCAGCCCCCAGCTCCACGTAGTTGCCATTCTCGTCCCTCTCATTGATGAGGACGGAGTTGTAATAGTCAAACTAGGAGCAGAAGGGGATGAGCCGGACAGAGACAGTGCAGGCACGAGGGACCCGCAGAGGGAGAGAGGGAAGGAGAAATGGCACAAATCAGAGGACTCAGACATGAGAGACGGGTCAGACAGACTGACAGTGTCCATACAAGCACCGTCTGGGGAGAACTCAGGCAGTGATCCACATGATCCAGGGGAAAATACACAGCCAGACAATTGGAGTGGAGGGTTGATTCGATTGGTTATTGATGTAAAAATTGTCTAGATTATTGCTTCTGTTCTCCACTTTGTTTAGCATGTGTGGACACAGCCAGAGTTGGGGACAGACAGGTGGACATAGATTCAAGGAGAGATGAAGAGACAGAGGCAGCCTCATCAGCATCACCAATTTCTTCCAGGGTGGCAGGGCTCCTAGGGACCCAGAACGGTGGGTCGCTGAGCGATGAGCCTGCTCTGTTCAAGATACAGCCTGCGGCCCAGGCCTCAGGCAGGGCCCGTGCCCACTGTGGAGCCAGCCGTCTGGTCTCTGGCTCTTCCGCAGTGTTGGGGGGTCTGTTTGGATTACCACCCTTGGAGTCATAAGCAGACCCTCTTCCCCTCTCCCTACTCCCTCCACACAGCCTGGTTCACTAACCCTAACCTTTGCAGCTCCCCCAGGCCCCGCTATGTCCTGCCCCGTGTCACAACACTTTCTAAAGCACAAATCTGGTCTGTCCCTTCCCTGCTCAATATGCACTGTTCTGGGCTGAATAAAGGCCACATTCCTACCTTTCTATGGTCACTTTCCGCTTCACCATCCCCTGGACACACAGAGCTGACCACTTGTAACTTCCTCGGTTAATCTTGTGTTTGCTTATTTCAGTGTCTTTTCTTCTCCCTCAGTCTAGAAACCCCTTCTCCACACCTTCGTCTGCTCAAATGCCCCTCAGCCCAGGCCTGCCCCAACGCGGTCACCCCATCTGCAGGGCTTTCTGAGTGCTCCTCCCTTCCCTTCTGGGTGCTTGTGACACTCTGTCCACCCGTCCTACGGACTCGCTACACGCCTTGTACTAAAGATATTTGGTCTATGACCTTCTTGACTTCCTATCTATGCAGCGGCTAGTGCACTGCAGTTGGCTAGTAAATGTCTATGGAATGAGCCGATGGCCACTTTACTCCCCTCCGCGCCCCAGGTCTTGGGAATTGTCTCTCCTACCTGGTCCGGAAATCCCTCCTGAAAAGACTTGAGAGCATTTTGGTATCAAACTATTGTAGGTTCATACAAATCTTGTGCACGTTAAAAGATCGCGTGGTGCCTCCCTCCGCCCCTCCTTATCCTGCACTCAGGTGGCCCTGGCCCTTGGTCAGGTTGGGAGACGAATCATAACACCTCTCAGCAGCATCTCCAGGAGCAGGAGGACTCACCACCAGAGATTCGTTGAATTCGTGGTTCAGGTCAGCCTCCTCGGCAGCCTCTACCAGATTCTGAGGGAAGGAACACAAAGGGGAGACTGAATTGGCAAAAGGAGGCAAGGGTGTCCTCAATAAATTCCTCTCCACGAGAACCGAAAACGGGGACTCAGACAAGAACTTGTGCACAAATGTTCATAGCAGCACTATACACAATGACCAAAAGGTAAATGCGGATTGCCAAGTGTAAAGGCTAATAATCTGTGAAAAGGCCAATCTGAAAAGTCTACAAACTGTACAATTCCAGCTACGTGATGTTGTGGAAAAGGCAAAACTATGGAGATGGTAAAAAGACCAATGGTTTCCAGAGGTTTGTGGGGGGGGATGGATGAACAGATGGAACACAAAAGATTTTTAGGTCAGCGAAACTATTCTGTATGATACAACGATGGTGGATACATGCCCTTATACATTTGCCAAAACCCATGGAATGTACAACACCAAGAGGGAACTCTAAACTGCGGACTTTGGATGATAATGATGGGTCGCTGTAGGTTCTTGGATTATAACAAATGTACCACTCTGGTGCAGAAAGTTGATAGCTGGGGAGGCTGTGTGCTATGGGGGTAGGGGGTATGTGGGAACTCTCTGTACTTTCCTCTGAATTTTCTTGTGAACATAAAACTGCTCTAAAAAATAAAAAGTCTATTAAAATGTTTGTGTGTGTGTATACATATTATTCAATAGGTATATATTCACTTGCCATAAGATGGAGAGAACCCAAATGTCCATCAACAGATGAATGAATAAACAAAGTGTAGGATATCCATACAATGAAATATTATTCAGCTATAAAAAGGAAAGACATTCTGATACATATTCAAATGGGGATGAACTTCGAAAACATTATGCTAAGTAAAAGAATCCAGATACAGAGAGCCACATATTATATGATTCCATTTATGTGAAATATCCAGAATAAGAAAACCCCTTGACAGAGAGCAGATGAGTGGTTGCCAGGAATTCGCGGGAGGAGGAAATGAGGGTCACTGTTTAATGGGTACATGGTTTCTGTTTGAGGGTGATGAAAGTTCTGGAACTAGATAGTGATGATAATTGCACAACATTGTGAATGTACTTAATGCCACTGAATCATACACTTCAAAATGGTAAATTTTATATTATGTGGATTTACCACAATTAGAAGTAAAAAAGGAGGCCACATCAAAGAGCATCATGGGAAGTAAGGAAATTAAAGGAAACACATAATGGAAAGACATCCCATGTTCATGGATTGGAAGAATTAGTATTGTTAAAATGTCCATACCACCCAAAGTGACATACAGATTCAATGCAATCCCTACCAAAATTCCAAGGGCTTTCTTTACAGATACAGAAAAAAAAAATCTTAAAATTCATATGGAACCACCAAGCAATCTTGGGCAAGAAGAACAAAGCTAGAGACATCACATTTCCTAGTTTCAAACTATATTACAAAGCTATAGTAATCAAAGCAGCATGGTAGTGGCATAAAAACAGACACATAGGACAATGGAACAGAAGTGAGAGCCCAGAAATAAATTCACACATCTACAGTCAATTGATATTCAGCAAGAGTACCAAGAACACACAATGGGGACATGATAGCCCCTTCAATAAATGGATATCTGTATGCAGAAGAATTAAATCGGACCCATATTTCACATCGTATAGAAAAATCAACTCAAAATGGATTAAAGACTTAAACGTAAGACCTGAAACCACAAAACTACTAGAAGGAAACATATGGAAAAACCTTCTTGACATTGGTCTTTTTTTGGATATGGTACCAAATGCATAGGTAACAAAAGCAAAAATAGACAAATACAACAAACTAAAAATCTTCTGCACAGCAAAGGAAACAATCAACAGAATGAAAAGGCAACCTATGGGCCGGGAGAAAACATTTGCAAACCATATATCTGATAAGGGATTAATATCCAAAATATGTAAGGAACACCCACAATTCAATGGCAAAAAAACAACCGGATTTTAAAAGTGGGTGAAGGACCTAAATAGACATTTCTCCAAAGAAGACATACAAATGACCAACAGATATATGAAAAGGTGCTCAACATCACTAATCATCAGGGAAATGCAAATCAAAACCACAATGAGATATAACCTCACAGCTGTTAGGATGGCTACTATCAAAAAGACAAGAAATAAGTGCTGGCGAGGATGTGGAGCAAAGGGAACCCTTGTGCACTGTTGGTGGGAATGTAAATTGATGCAGCCACTATGGAAATCAGTATGGAGGTTCCTCAAAAAATGTTAAAAATACAACCACCATGTGATCTGGCAATCACACTTCAGGGTATATATCCAAAGGAAATGACGTTAGCATCTTGAAAAGATATCTGTACTCCCAAGTTCATTGTAGCATTATTCACAACAGCCAAGATACAGAAACAACCTAACTGTCCAACAGATGAATGGATATGTGAGATACATATATATATATACACACACAAACACACACATATATATAATGGGATATTACTCAGTCTTAAAAAAAGAAGGAAATCCTTTCATTTGTAACCACATGGATGAATCTGGAAGACATTAAGTGAAATAAGCCAGATGTAGACAAATAAATACCTCCTGACCTAACTTCTATGTGAAATCTAAACTAGTAAAACTCAAAGAAACAGAGTAGAGTGGTGGTTCCCAGGGCCTGGGGGCAGGGCAAAATGGGCAGATGTTGGTCAGGGGTACAAAGTTTCAATTGTACAGCAATGTGACTTTAGTTGACAATATTGTATGGTGTACTTGAAATGTGCTAAGGGGATAGATCTTGAGTGTTCTCACCACACACACAAAAATATATAAATAGGAAAATGGTAACTGTGTGAGGTGATGGGTGTGTTGGTTGGCTTGGTTGGGTGAATATTTCACAATGTGTATGTACCATATCATACGGTCATTAGGTTGTACACCTTAAATATATATAATTTTTGATTACCAATTGTACCTCAATAAATGTGGGGGCAAAAAAAGAAGACCTGAGCTCCTTTTCTGGCTTTGTCAGGGGGCAAGCCACTGAGGCTCTCCGGGTCTCTATTTGTGCAACTGTAAATTGAGTAGAAAATCCTTGCCTTCCCCCTCCCAACCCCCAAGTCCCAGGATGTGATGAAGAAATGTCACAGAGCAAAGATGATGTTAGAGCTGCTTTGCAGGCAGTTTCTCCATGGGACCCCCGAATAAGGGTCAGTGGCTGTGGCCCCAGAGGACCCCCAGCAGGGAGCGGGGACTGGTGCTTTGAGGTCGGCAGAGCAAGTGCTCCTTTGGGTGCTTTCTGCAGTTGAAGCCGTGGAAAGGAGCCTGGGGAGCCCAGAGCCCTGGCCTCTGGGTATGTGCCAAGAGTACCTGTGCTCTAGTATCACAAGCACCAGCACCTGCAGTGGTCCATTCCTGCATCCCAGTGTCTGTGCTCTGCCCGGGGAGGTGGTTTAACCAGCATTGCAGACTGAGGCAGGTGTTTGCTGGTGCAGGTTGTGTGTGAGGTCAGTGCCCTCCTGCTGTGGCCCAGGGTGGGCCCTCCTGTCCCTAAGTATCTTCTTGTTGCTTCCTGATGCTAAGATCCCTTGCCCCTAAGCCTGGAGAAAAGAGGCTGCCAATTGTAATGCCTGGGAAAGAAGGCCCCAGCGACTTTGACCCTAGATTCCTCCCAGGCTGTGGGCTTCGATGGGGCAGATGGGGAGACAGGCAGGCACACGGCAGGCTGCAGCTTGCCTTCCCAACACCTCAGCCAGCCCACCCCGACCTCAGCGCTGGCCTCAGCCTCCCCTGCGCGGTCTACCACCCCGGCCCCATCTCCTCTCTCTTGTTCTCCTGGCTGCCCAAAGGGAGTCCTTTTGGGGACAATATTGATCTTGGATGGCCAGATGTCTGTCTGGGTGGGGCAGGAACTGTGTCTCTCCAACCAGCCAGGTCCCCACAGGTATGCCAAGGAAGTGTCATGTTCTGATTCTACCAGGGCAAGCCAGGCTTGGTGGAGGTGCAGTGACGGAATCAGCTGAGCGTGAGGCCCACCACTGTGAGCACCTCTGCTGCCTGGGCAGCCCGCAGAGCACTTGGGTACCACAAAGCTGGGTCGTATGGCAGAAGGGGAGGAGGAGGGGAAGGAGAAAAGGACAGAGGAGAGAAGGGAGAGCAGAGGGAGGGAGCCTTGCTTTGCATGCTCTCTATCCAGCTATACTCCCACCCATCCACCACCCACCCGTCCAACCATCCGCTCATTCAGCAGGTGACTCCTAAGCCCTCACTCTGTAGCAGTCACTGACTATGAGGTGGTGATGCACAGTCCAGTCCCTCTCGACACTGTAGGTTGATCCTACTGTGTGGGGCGTCTCTCCCTACGGCAGAGCTCAAGTGCCTGCCTCTCCCGTCTCCGTTGCTTCCCACCATTTCCTCCTTTGCAAGGATCTTTTGGCTCATGGGGATACAGGCAGGCGTTTGCGAGGTAGCAAAAAGGATGATGTGGGTGGGAGGGTGACTCATCAGTGAGGGTCATTTTGCTGTCACGGGAGCCGAGGAGGAGTCCCCCCATGGATCATAGGCCCTGGAGCACCTTGACAGCCTCCACTTTCCTGCGCAGCATGGTCTCCATGGCCTCTGAGAACTTCCTCACCAGCTCCAGGCCATCCACCTCCTTGATCTTCAGACTGGGCTCCACATCCTTGTATTTCTGTTCAGGGAAGTGGGAGAGATGGTCACCTGTGTCTCGGATGTGATTACGCATGGCCTCTGTCCTCTCAGCTGGAGCACTCACACTAGTGAAACCCTGTCTACCCAACCAGGGGCAAGGACAGCCCTTCCTGCCACGTATCATCTCCTCCACTAACAATAATAGCTGTCTTTTATCAAATGTCCTCTCTGTTCCACGGACTCTGGACACATTGAAGTTAATAGCCTTAAGAGGGAGTAGACTGAGGCTCAGAGAGGTCAATGAACTTGGCCAAGGTCACACAGCCAGTGAACCGGGGACCTGGGATGGGCCAGGTTTCCCAGACTTCCATGTTCTTTGTGCAGTCATGCAGCCTCCCTGGGGCGGCTCACATGGACTGTGAGACATCAGTTCATCTTTGCCGACGCCTCGTGATGTCAGTGTGCCCTGCTTGCATCCACATGAGCCTCGAGTCTCCCTGTCCAGGCAGAGCTCAGTGGCTGCAGGAGTTGACACCACCTGACAAACTGCCCACCAGCCCAGGAGAGTTGAGAGCTGGGTTCCAGTTTCTTCTCCGGGCCTGTGGGAGACAATCTCTCACAGAGTGTGTCTATAATCAACGTCCAGTGACCCAGTTCAGCAACCTACTGGCCATGTGACCTTAGGGAGTTAGTCACTTTTCTCATGTGTAAGATGTGACATTTGCAGGCTTTAGAGAGCGCTCTAGAATGCATGGAGAATACTGTACACAAAACGGCTGCATGATTACTGCTCCACCTTCCTCACCTGGGCTGCAGGGCATGATGGGAAGATGGGATGGAATGGTGTCTGGAGTGGAGGAGCGCCGTGTGGGTGGAAGGGGGTGTGATCTGTCATTGCTACAGTCACCTGTGGCGACCCACCCCGGCTTCTCCCACCCCCTCCATGCAGAGGAGCTGCGGGGGTTGGGGCAGAGGCAGTGGCTGCAGTGGGGTCACCTGTAGGCGGAAATGCCTGAGACTTACTTTTAGCAATGTTTAGAAAATGGTGAAGATCATACTCATGTCATGAAGTTGTGGTGAGAATTAAATTCTGAATATAAGGCTCTGAGCAAATGATAATGGTAGACAATGGCAAGCTGTTATTAAATCTGGTCTGGGAGTTATAAATGTTGGAGGAAAATGAGGTTGTTTATAATCTAGTAAGAGGACAGGCTAGGTGTCAGTCTGCAAAGAAAGCAGTTAATAAATGGGGCGAGGGGCTTGGCACATTGTCCTGTTCCTGCCCAGGAGCCAGGCATGGGCTCAGACCTTGGCGAGGGTCCCATTTGGGTCTCCAGTCCCCCCGGACATGCTGGGGGTCCTGAGACTGGAGGTAAGGAAATCTCTCCCTGCTTTCTTGCTTTCCACAGGCCCATCACCTGCTTTTCCTGCCTGAGCAGCCCCCGCAGGGCTCTCAACACGGCTGGCCCGGCCACCTGAGGCCCCTCTTGCCTGCCCCTCCTGCCTTCCCCTCCCTGTTCACAGGTGTCAGGCCTGCATCCCAGTCTGCTGGCTCCAGTTCCCTCTCCCTTTTGTTCTTCACAGTCCCAATGCCCCCTAATGAGTCTCTTGCCTGTCTATTCCATCTCGGCATCAGCTTCCCAGGGATCTGAGCTGACACCACGCTCTTGGCCACCCCTCTGTACTGCCCCCACTGACTTGCTCTGTGACTTGGGCAAGTTGTTCTCCTCCCTGGGTCTCACTCTCCCCATCTGAAAGTGAGGAGATTGGATTAGATGATCTCCAAGACCCCTCACGGCCTTTTGGGGATTCTCTTCTGGAAGGGCCACCTGACTCCCTGCTGACTGCCCTCTGACCCCTGTGAGCTCCCCGGAAGGGGTTACTGACCTTCTGCAGCAGGAGCGAGCCTGAGTATTTGGTCACAGTCTTATACAGGTCCCCACCGAAGGTGTCCGCCCACAGCTTCACCCTGTACACACACACAGATACAGAGACACTTGCACAGATGCACACAGATATGCACACAGAAGACAGGTGTCTATACTCAGACACCTACTGATGCACACACACACAAACACCCACAAACAGAGACCTACATAATATATACAGATATGCGTGTATATACATAGACGTACACACACGAATGCATACACACTGACGAACACCCAGAAAACACAAAGAGCTACTGTCCCCCCAGCCAGTGCAGGGGACTCGGAGGACCGGGGCCCAGAGGCTGCTCTGTGTGCACAGGACACCCTGGGCTGGGTCTCCCGCTGAGGCGCAGGGGCAGGGTCAACGAACCCCGAACCAAAGCCTGACCCCAGGCCCCCAGGGGCTGCGGTTTGTGGGTGGAGAACGGAGAGGAGCGAAGGAGGGGAAGAGGCTGTGCCCACGCCAGCACAGGGCAGGGAGGACCCGGGGCACGGATGCAAGTGCTGCCTGGGCATGGCTGCAGCTCCTCCACGGGTTGTTGCCTCCAGCATGTCCTGCTCAGGGCCACCGTGGGTGCTGAGTCCTCTGCTGAAACCTCAGAGGCAGCGTGGGGCAGACAGGCAGAGGAAAGGCTCTGAGCTGCTCCCGCTGGGCCAAGGGCTGGCTGGGCACGAGGGCCCCCACCCTGGTGCAGGCTGCCCAGCGGGGATACCTGACCTCTTGTCCGACCCCCAAAGGGCACTGAGTTCTCGCCATCTGGGCTGGCTGGCAGGCGCCTGCGGTGGGCATAAAGGACTGTCTGAGCCTCTGTAGCTGGAGCAAAAGGAGTTTGCGTGCGTGGCCGTGTCAAGGTCGGCATTCAGTCAGTCCCTCAGTCAGTGTTTACTGCGGCCTCCCGCGAGCCGGGCCCGCACACGGTGCTGGGGCCACACTGGGGTCCTGACCTCTGTGAAGGCCCCCTTGAGGGACAGCCCTTCCCATACAGGGAGCATAGGACGCGTTGGCTGGGTCGCCAGCAAAGCCCTGGAGGGGCAGCGGTGGCGAGGGACGGCTTCCTGGGAGAGGCGGGGTCTGGGTGCAGTGTTGGAAGTTTGGAAGGGTCTAGCCGGACAAAGAGAATTCCAGGCAGAGAGAAGAGAAGAGCTCGGAGGGGTCAAAGATGACTTCCAGTTTTCTAGCTTGGGCATTCGAGCTGAAGGCGGTGTGATGGATAAACTTAAGACGATCAGGAAGCTCAGGGGGAGCATGTCGGGGAGGGCGCAAGGTCATGGTGCAGCCTGGGACGCAGAATGGGAGGTTCCTGCTGCAGCGCTATGGGGAAGGGTGCGCTGGCCAGGTTGTGTACTGCACAACTCTAGAAGGCACCAATCTCTGCGTCTTGAAAGACACAAACTTGAACAGATGATGTTTAGGAAGAGCTATCCACAGGCCACGGATGTCTGAGTCTAACAGGCAGAGGCAGGGCTGAGAGTCATTAGTACACGGGTCGGGGGTTGAAATTCTGAGGGAAGATGGGCTCTCTCAATGACAGCGCATAGCCTGAGAAGATCTGAGGGGATGACAAGCCCTGGGGAGCACCAACAATCTCAGGGGCAGGCAGAGGGAAGGGAGCCCTGAGAAAGATGAAAGGTAGCGGGCGCCCGGGAGACCCGGGAGGGCACAGCGCTACGGAAGTTGAGGCGCTGAGATCCAAGGAAAAGGGGGAGGCTGGCATCCAAAACAAGAGTCCAGGGAGAGGAGGCCGGAAGCATCCACCGAATCTGGCAACGAGACTCCGGTGAGCTTGGCAGGGCAGATTTGGGAGGACAGTAGGGGCCAGGGCGGGGCGAGGCGGGGGCTGAGTGGGAGGGAGGGCCGGCTTGACAGCAGAGAGGTTCGGAGTCTTTGGGGTGGGAAAAACTGAGAAGGATCCAGTTGTGGGGGCGGTTAAAGGCCTGGGCTGGGGGGGGGGGGGGCGGTGGCTGTGGGCTGTTTGTGGGCCGTCAATCCCAGCCGACTCCTTCAAGGTTTTGTGTAGGTGGTCCCCTCTGTGGCTCTCCCCAGGGAAGCCCTGGATCCCAGCCACCTCTGCTGGGCACTCAGCCTGTGCCCAGAGTTCGCCTTCTCCCATTGGTGTGTGCTCCAGGCATGCAAATCATCCCCCCCTCAGCAGCGGGCAGTCTCACGCTGGCAGTGGGGGACGGTCAGCCGCGGCCAGGCTGACTGGAGCTCAAATTCCGGCACTTCCGTTTACTGGCTGCGGGAACTTGGCGAAGCTGCCCAACCTCTCTGAGCTATTTCCTCAGCTGCAGAACGGGGGGTGCTGTTACCCACCCCTGCATGTCTGTGTGGACCCCAGGCATCCTGTGTAAGGCACCTAACACAGCGCCAGGCGTATAAAAAAGCAGAGGCTGTGCAGCTAGATGGAAACGATGCTGCTCAGCAAGGCTGAGAACACACACTGCAATCGCTCAGGCTCCCTGGTCCCCACTTCCACTAGGATGGGAGGTTACTGTTGGTCTGGTGGCCTGTCATGCTGGACTCAGAGATGGACTGAGTAGATAACCCTCTTTTGTCTGGAGTGCTCTGCTCCCCACGGGTTGGAAGTTTCTATAATAGCGCCACAGAGCTAAGGACTAAAAGCCAAACACCCCAGAGGGGTCACACAGTAATTTAAATTTATACCAAAGTATAAATGACTGATACCAGATCCTTTCCTGGAGCTGGTCTTAATGACAGGACGTAGAACGGGGCCTGGAAGGAGGCAGAAAGGCGCAGAACGGGAAGATTCAGGCTACCAACGTGCCAGTGTTCCCAGTTCCTGGTTGCAGGAGCCATTTTGTGGGTTTAGAACTGCTTCACTCTTTCAGATTGTCAAAACCCAAACTCCCTAACAAATCCTCGGGGAGCCGCGATGATCACTTAGAGCCAGCACGGCTCCCGCTCCCGGTCGCCTGACCGCAGCGATCGATCATCCCCAGGAGCGTCCCGCCAGGCGCGGGGCCTGAGCGCAGCTCGGCCTGAAACCGTCCGGCGTCCGGGGGGCGCGCGGGACTCCAAACTGGGGGCGCTCTGGGGAAGAGAGGAGGGTACAGCAAAGGTCTTCACAGCGAGAGAGGGAGAGTGGGCAGTGGAGCCCCCAGGGGAGAGCCTGGAGGGAAGTCGGAGGAGGAGGAGGAGAGCGTTAGGTCTGCGGGGGGCGGGGGGGGGGGGGCAAAAGGGTTTCCGGGGTGGGGGCTGAACTTGATGCTTACATTTCCAGAGGAATCTCGGCCTGCCCCCACGCGGGGGACGGGGAGGTGCTGGACAGCAGCAGCCACAGCATGACAGCGGTCTTCGGCAGGGAGGCCCAGCGCATCCTGCCGTGGGCGGACCTGGTGTCTGGTGGAGCCCGGGGAGTCCCGGCAGGATGCCTGCGCTGGGACCGCGAGCCGCAGAGGAAAGAGCAGCCTCAGACACGAGCCCTGTCTGCCTGTCGCTCGGATCCTTGGGAGGTCCCCACGCCTTGCGCCTTGCAGGTGCTGGCTAGCCTGGGGTCCCCTGGCGCTCAGGCGGATCCTGGGGCAGGGCCCGGGGCGAGGGGTGTGCTCTCCGCCCTGCCGATGAGCAGGCTCCAGGAGGGGCTGCCAGTGCGCCCGGGGAGGTGGTGACAAAATGAGCCCGTTAATCCACTGGCCTCTCTTCTAATCCCCGCCTGACTGCAGGGAGAGGGGCTGGCAGGGTGACCTCAACAGGATTACCCCCATTTCAGGACACTGGGCTCGGCTCCTTCTGTTGGGGGTAGGAGCACACCCCTTGCATTAAAGAGGCAGACCTGTTCGTGGAGGCCTGCTCTTTCCGGCCCGAGGGCAGGAGGATGCTGTGCACGTTGTGAGGCTGGACCCAGGACAACAGCTGTTTGTCCCTCACTCCACATTACTAAGCGCCATTACACATCCTCTCTTTAAACATACAGTCCTGGGAGGTTGGGGTCATCATCCCTACTTTCAGGGCCCTGGAGGCACAGGGAGGCTAGGGGACAGAGCTGACTCACTCTGGCTCATATCTCCAGTCCTGCTGCCTTTGGCCAGGTCAGAAACTGTGTGTACATGCCAGGGCCCCCACATCTCACCTGCTCCTGGTTCTAGGCTCTGGACGCATTCGAGGTGAAGCCAGGGAAGCCGCAGGGCCCCTCCCTCGCATAGCATGTTCCTAATACACGCCAGAGTGTGAGTCCCACCACAGCTGGCTAAGGCCTCTGGCTCTCTCCGTTCCAGCTTCTTCTGTCCCATCTCCCCTGGCTGGGTGATGTTTGAGTGGCTGTGGGCATTTGGAGGATCCAGCTAAGGGGAAGCTGAGGCGGGTAAGCATTTAATGTGGGCTCAGTGGGATAATTTCCACAGCTCACCGTTGCTTCCTTGCATGGACAAGTCATCTCCAGCCATCCTGGTGTGGGACTGGTTTCCGGGAACCCGCATCACCCAGCGCGAGTCGCCTGCATCAGGAGCCCAGGGGCAGCACCTGGCCTTGACCCGAGTGAGGGTCCTGCAGCACCTTAGCTGGGAGCATGTGGGAGGGGAGGGCAGAGGAAAGTCTGGAAGACAGAGCCAGAAGCTCGTCCGCAGACCTGCTAGCAGGGGGCTGGGTTCCCACGATGACCCGGCCGGGACGGGGCTCTCCCGTGGGGGAAGGAGTCCATGTCCAGTGTGCGGCTTAACTCGCCACGCATGGGCCTCCCCTGCTGACCAGAGTTATGCAAAACAGAATTTGATAAAAATTCCTGTGTTTGTGGGCCCAAAGTGGTAATAGTACCACCTGAGCACTGGGGGTGACGTCACAGTTTCCACCCCAGCCAGGGTGCTGCTCCGAGTGCCCGATGCACTGCGGCCTGATGCAACCTGCTGGTTCCAGCAAAATGGCAAGCAGAATGGCCACCTGCGCAGAGAAATGCCTGGAGAGGCAAGTGTCCTAGTGACGAACTCCCCCGCACACACTTCAGTAAGTCAACGTTGTAGCATCAGAGGAATCTGGTTACACAATTATGTGGCTCAATACAACGTGGCAGGGATTTTTTTTTTCCTGAGGAAGATTCACCCTGAACTAACATCTGTTGCCAATCTTCCTCTTTTTGTATGTGAGCCACTGTCACAGCATGGCCACTGACAGACCAGTGGTGTAAGTCCCCACCTGGGAACCGAACCCAGGCTGCTGAAGCAGAGCACGCCAAACTTAACCACGAGGCCAGCAGGGCTGGCCCGGCAGTGATTTTTAAAGGCGTCTGAATTGTTCCTGTGCCTGCGTTAATTTCAGGTAAATTTTTGAGGATTACAAATCATACCAAATTTAGAAAAAGTACTACAGAGGTGTGTGGGGCAATTAATAAATAAAAAGAATATGTAATTTTTCTAGATTTTGTGATGTGTGTGGTGTTCATCAACTTTTTAAAATTTGCAATTTGGAGTGATTTTTTTCATCCTAAATAAATTTTCACTTTTACATCTATTTTTGTATTTGTAGTTTGTATTCTTTTCCTAGTAGGGATGACCACCCCCAATGACACAAGCTCCTGAGCCCCAGACCCGCCCCTGACGTTCAGCGCCTGCTCACGGCAGGCCTGACTCCTCCTGGGTGTTGGGCACGGGCGCTGCTCAGAAAGCTCTGTCCATGCCCATTTTGCGCATGTCACAGACACCGTGGTGGCCGGGTCCCCCCAGCCCCGTAGACCTGCTGAGGAAGCCTTCCAAGTGCTTGGAATGACAAATACTGACGTTAGAATGGTGGGTAAAGTAATAGCCTGTCTTTTTGCAGACCTACCGAGGCAGCGCACCCCACACGTGCCCTCACCAGCTGTTCTGAGAAAACACCTTTTCAACAACTCAGAATCGAGTTTGCTATGTCCGCGTCGTTGCCTGGCCAGCTCTGGCGTCTGCGGACCGCGGCCCCTCTGACCGGGGTCCACCATGAAGCACTGGGGCTTGTGGAAGGAGCCGGGGGAGGAGGGCAGGGCAGAGGACTTCAGAGAAGGGATTTCTTCGCAGGAATAGAGTGAAACGTGGGAGCAGAGCCTAGAGCTAAGGAATTTTCAGTCCTTAAGAGAGACCTTGGAAACTCAGAACCTTCAGGGGCGCCCCCCTCGCTGCAGGCCAGGGAGGCTGTCGCTCCCGCTGGGTGGGAGGGAAGCTGCGTGGTCTGTCTGGGCTCTGAGGGGAGGAGGACTCCCGCTGTCTCTGGGTCAGTCTTTCATCTCAAACGCCTGACGATTTAATCCAACCTAACCCACTTCCCTGGGGATCTGCTTGGGGCGAGCCCCTCACCAGGCCCTGGGGGCGAGGTGCCTGGAGCTAGCATGGTGGGGAAGAGAGCAAGCTCCTTGGACTGGCCGGGCTCTCCACCCCACACCACCGGGCCTCTTCGGGGGCCCCGGCTCGACTCTCCCTGTAGTGCTCAGGGCTCTACAGAGAAACAGAACCAACAGGACACATGGAGAGAGAGAAAGAGCTTTATTATACGGCATTGGCTCACACAATTAAGGGGGCTGACGCACCGGAAGCTCTGCGGTGGGCAAGCTGGAGACCCAGGAGAGTGGGTGGGGTGGTTCCAGGCCAGAGGCTGGCAGGCTTGAGACCTAGGGAAAACTGTCATGATTCAATTTGGTGCAAAGGAAGGAAAACACCAACATCCCAGCTCAAAGGCTGTCAGGTAGGAGGAATTCTTCCTTACTCACAGCAGAGGTCAGCCTGTGTTCTTTGCAGGCCCTCAACTGATTGGATGAGGCCCCCCCACATTAAGGAGGGCAGTGTACTTTACTCAAGTCTGTTGATCTAAATGTAAATCTCATCCAGAAACACCTTCACAGACACAGCCTCACAGCTCCAGCAGTGACCACTTCTCTCCTGTGACCTGAAAGGAGGTGACAACTCGGCTGCCCCTAAGCCCTGGGTGACCCTAGTGTTTTCTCTACATCCACACCTTTGAAAAGAAATTTCCTCCCATCATCCCACTGTGAGCCTCCCTCCCAGCTCCTGCTGGGCCTCTGTCTGACCACTAGCCTCCTTGCTTCTGCTCTCCCCTTCCAGTCTGTTCCTAACACGGCAACCAAGGGCTCTTTCTAGAGCGTAATCAGACCACGTCACTTCTGTGCTCGGAGGCCCGCAGTGCCTGCCCATCCTACCTAGAGTAAAGGCCAAATTTCCACCACAGCCACAAGGCTCTCCGTGAGCTGGAGCTGGCTGCCTTCCAGGCCTGTCTCCTCTGCCTGCCCTTACTCATGGCCCCCAGACAGTGGCATCTTGCTGTTCCTTGAGCATGCCAGGCCTGCGCCCAGCTCAGGGCCTTTGAGTTTCCAGCACGCCCCCGCCCCATGCCCCAGCTCTGCTTGCGCTGCTGCCCGCTGGGGGCCAGCTCTTTCCTTTCCACCAGGTCTCTGTCAGTCAGGGGCCCTGGCATGAAGAGACGGCATGCTTATATTGGGTGACTTGAAAAGAGTTTAATAAAGGGACTATTTACAGAGGTCTGGACAGAGTACATGGAGGAAGCCACAGGGACACTGGGGTATCCTGCGCTGCAATGAGCAGGGACCCAATCCCTGGGCCTGACAGGACAAGGGGGAGGGAAAGTCTCTGGAACTCGGAAAGAGAGTGAGCTGCGTGGAGACAGTGGTTCTAGGGGGACTGCAGTCTCAGGATGCAGCCAGCCCGTGGTGGTCCCACTCCTGCCCCCACCCAGAGGGGGCTGCAGAGGGGGCTGCAGGAGTAAAGGCCCCAGCCCCTCTCCCCCTCCCGCTGACCCCCTGTGGGGGCTCCCAGCTGTTAGAGTGGACCGAAGGCTGAGGGAAGGAGCCTCAATGCTCTCCAGCCCAGTCCTCCTCCCAGGGCCCAGGGGCGGGCAGGTAGACGGAGGAGCAGATGGAAGACATCCAGCGTAAGATCTTTACTCAAAAAGTCACCTTTTATGGTGAAAATGTTCTGCAATTAGATAGTGGTGGCGATGCACGACTTTGTGAATACACTGAAAACCAATGAATTGTACACTTTAATGTGCAATTGTATGGCATGTGGATTTTGTGGTACGTGAATTACATTTCTATTTTTCAAATGCATTTCTACGTTTGTATTTTTTAAGTCACCTTTTCAATGAGGGAAGCCTTCCCTGGCCACAGGATCTAAATTTTACCTGCCCCTGACATTTCACATCCCTCTTCCCAGCACCTTCTTTTCCTTATTCGTTGCCATAAACATACCCTCAACAGGATTTGCCCTCTGTCTTGGGTTCATCTCCTTTCCCCTCCGCTCAAGTGTAAGCTCTGTGAGGGCAGGGCCTGTGGTCCGTTCTGGGCCCTGAAACAGCGCCCAGCACAAGGAGGTGACTATGTGTGGAATGAATACGCTGTGGAAGTGGAGTTGCTCTGATCGGAGGTGAGGTGAGGACTCAGGCCAAGTCCTACCTCTTGCTCCGTGGTGCCCCCCCCCACCCCCAACCAGGGC